TCCTGAAGAACCTCAATTTCCATGGATGGAGTATAGGAAAAAGATCTAGCAAGGAAGATTTGGAATGCATTTTATGCCTGGAATAAAACCAGGTGAATGTGGTATTGAACAGAAACCAGAAGAAAAGAGGGGTTCCAGAAGAGGCAAATGCTCCTCAGGGGTCAAGTGTGATAATAATGAAAGATGTCCATTGGATGGATTTAGTAATTAATGTCCCTGGCACTTTGGAGAAGCCATGTAGGGGCAATGGTGAGAGAGGAAACCAAATTGCAGTGAATTAAGGCATTAGTGGGAAGTGAAGAAGTGGAGTCACTCTAAATTTACTTTGTTCAGAGTATTTATTATGTATGGATATTGTACTTTGTCAGGTGCTTTTTCTGCATCTATTGAAATGATCATATGGTTTTTATCCTTTCTCTTGTTAATGTGATTAATAATATTGATTGATTTTGTAAATATTGAACTGCCCCTTGCATCCTGGGATAAATCCCACTTGATGTGGTGAATGATTTTTTTTTTTAAGATTATTTATTTATTTATTTGGGAGACAGAGAATGAGAGACAGAGAGCATGAGAGGGAGGAGGGTCAGAGGGAGAAGCAGACTCCCGCTGAGCAGGGAGCCCGATGCGGGACTCGATCCCGGAACTCCAGGATCATGACCTGAGCCGAAGGCAGTCGCTCAACCAACTGAGCCACCCAGGCGCCCCGTGAATGATTTTTTTTAATGTATTGTTGGATTGGGTTTGCTGATATTTTGTTGGGGATTTTTGCATCTATGTTCATCAGAGATATCGGCCTATGGTGTTCTTTTTTTTTTTAAGATTTTATTTATTTATTTGAGAGAGAGAGAATGACAGACAGACAGCATGAGAGGGAGGAGGGTCAGAGGGAGAAGCAGACTCCCTGCCGAGCAGGGAGCCCGATGCGGGACTCGATCCAGGGACTCCAGGATCATGACCTGAGCCGAAGGCAGTCGCTTAACCGACTGAGCCACCCAGGCGCCCTGGTGTTCTTTTTTTAAGTGTCTTTGTCTGGTTTTGGTATCAGGAGAATGAATTTGGAAGCTTTCCTTTTGTTTTTTGGAATAGTTTGAGAAGAACTTTTCTTTAAATGTTTGGTAGAATTCACCGGTGAAGATGTCTGGTCCTGGATTTCTGTTTGTGTTGGAACCTTTTTGATTAATATCAAAATTTGATTGTTTTGATTGTTGTCAATTTTATCAGTACTTGGTCTGTTCAGATTTTCTGTTTCTTCCTTATTCAGTTTTGGAAGGTTCTTTGTTTCTAGGAATTTATCCATTTCTTCTAGGTTGTCCAATTTGTTGGCATAACATTTTTCGTAATAGTCTCTTATAATCCTTTGTATTTCTCTGGTGCTGGTTGTTATCTCTCCAGGATTTCTGATTTTATTTATTTGAGTCTTTTTCTTGATGAATCTGGTTAAAGTTTTGTCCAGGTAAAATAAAGTAAAATTTTGTTTATTTTAAAGAACTTGCTCCCAGTTTCATTGAGCTTTTCTCTTGTGTCTTTCTTTCTTTCTTTCCTTCTTTCCTTCTTTTCTTTCTTTTCTTTCTTCTTTTTTCTTTAGTTTCTATTTCATTGATTTCTGCTCTAAACTTTATTTCCTTCTTTTGACAGGCTTTGGATTTTGTTCTTCTTTTTCTAGCTCTTTTACGTGTAAAGTTAGGTTGTATGTTTATTTTTCTTGTTTCTTGAGGTAGGCCTGTATTGCTATAAACTTTCTTCTTAGAACAGCTTTTGCTGCATCCCAAAGATTTTGGACCATTGTGTTTTCATTTTCATTTGTCTCCATGTATTTTTTGATTTCCTCTTTGATTTCTTGGTTGACACATTCACTATTTAGTAGCATGTTATTTAGCCTATATTTGTGTTCTTTACAGATTTTTTCTTGTGATTGATTTCTGTTGTGGTAGGAAAAAATGCATATGATTTCAGTCTTTTTGAATTTATTGAGACCTGTTTTGTGATCTAACTTGTGATCTATCCTGGAGAATGTTCCATGTGTACTTGAAAAGAACATGTATTCGAATGGAATGTTCTGTATATACCTGTTAGGCCCATCTGGTCCTGAGGGAGAAAAAATTAAGAGCTTTTCCTCTAAAATCAGGAATAAGACAAAGATGTCTACTCACCACCTTTATTCAGTATAGCACTGGAGGTCCTAACTCCTCGCTGTAGCAATCAGACAAGAAAAAGAAATAAAAGGCACCCAAATTGGTAAGGAGAAAGTAAAACTTCGACTATTTGCAGATGACATGATAATATATATAGAAAATCCTAAGGATTCTGCCAAAAACTACTAGAACTGATAAATGAATTCAGTAAAGTTGCAGGATAAAAAACCAATATATAGAAATCTGTTGCATTTCTGCACACTAATGAAGTAGGAGAACGAGAAATAAAACAATTTCATTTATAATTGCACCAAAAAGAATAAAATACCTATGAATCAACTTAACCAAGGAGGTGAAAGACTTGTACTCCAGAAACTGTAAAACACTGATGGAAGAAATTGAAAATGACACAAATAAATGGAAAGATATTACATGTTCATGGATTTGTAAGAACCAATATTGTTAAAATGTCCATACCACCCAAAGCAATCTACACGTTTTATGCAATCCCTATTAAAATACCAACAACATTTTTCACAGAATTAGAACAAATAATACTAAAATTTGTGTGGAACCACAAAAGACCCTGAATAGTCAAAGCAATCTTGAGAAAGAAGAACAAAGTTGGAGGGCGTATCATAGTCCCAGATTTCAGGATAAATATACTACAAAGCTGTAGTAATCAAAACAGTATGGTACTGGCACAAGATAGACACATAGATAAAAGGAACAGAATAGAGAGCCCAGAAATAAACTCACACTGATAAGGTCAACTAATCTGTGACAAAGGAGGCAAAAATATATGGTGGGAAAAGGACAGTCTGTTTAACAAATGGTGCTAGGAAAACTGGACAGCCACATGCAAAAGAATGAAACTGGACCACTTTCTAATACCATACAGACCTAAATGTGAGGCCAGAAACCATAAAACTCCTAGAAGAAAACATAAGCAGTAATTTTAACATTGACAGTGGAAACATTTTTTCTAGATATGTCTCCTCAGGCAAGGGAAACAAAAGCAAAGTTAAATTTTTGGGAGTATACCAAAATAAAAAGCTTTTGCATGGCAACAGAAACCACCAACAAAACAAAAAGGCAACCTACTGAATGGGAGAAAATATTTGCAAATGATATGTTTGATAAGGGGTTAATATCCAAAGTATATAAAGAACTTACACAACTCAACATGCAAAACCCACAAATAATCCTATTAAAAAATGGGCAGAGGACCCGAGTAGACATTTTTCCAAATAAGACATGCAGATGGACAGTAGATACATGAAAAGATGCTCAATATCCCTGACCATCAGGGAAATGTAAATGAAAACCATAATGAGATATCACCTCATACCTGTCAGAATGGCTGGAATCAAAAGGACAAGAAATAACAAGTGTTGGTGAGGATGTGGAGAAAAAGGAATCCTCATGCTCTGTTGGTAGAATGCAGCCACTGTGGGTGGGGTGTGGGGGTGGGGAAGGACAGTGTTAGACAGGAGGGTGGACATTGTAAGTGGAAGGAAGACAAAAAGAATGAGTATCAAAACATAAGTTTGTAGGGTTAGTGATAAGAAGTTGGAGAATTCACATATATTTTGTTTCTCTGAAGTAGCATGTGAAATCATTTCACTCTGGAATCATAGGCTGATGATTAAAAACCCATTACCTCATCAGTACTGAAGATTATAATTTGGATTCATGTATGTATTGTGTATGTATTGATCCTGAGTATTCTATTCAGTTTATATGGTGATAATGAAGGTTTAGGGAGAAGTTCTTCTAAATCCAGTTTGTGATTTGGTACTCTTAGTTATGACCCTTAGTTTTCATGATTGAGTTTTTATGTTTTTAAAAATAATACTGTTTCTAAGACAGGGCCTAAGAAACTCTGACTAGTAAATTAGTATCTTGTGCTTACTTAATAATTTTATTCATTTGCCAGTGACATCTGTCTTCAAAATGATTTTTATTTGAACTTTTAAAGTGAATATATTTTGACTTATTGCTGAGGTTTGTTATGTTAAATGAACTTTATACACTAAACTTTAAATAGTTGTAATTAATTGAACAGACCATTTAAACTGAAATGGGTAGAAATTAACCAAACGTTACATTTATAGATATTTTATAAATTAGAAACATATGGAAATTGATGTTTTCCTCTCACTTGTAACAAGTTTGAATTAAAGAAGTTAAGTTTATGACTACATAAGCAGTAATTTTTAAGTTAACATATAATCACGTACTATAAAATTCACCCGTTTAGAGTGTGCAATTCAATGCTTTTAATATATTCACAAGGTTGTGCATCCATCACCATAAAAGTAGTAATTTAATGCAAGGTAATACAGAGAATGTGGATTTGGGATATCTATTTCAATATTATTAACTTTCAGTTTTTGGTAGATACAGTAATCTGTCTTGTCATTGAGCTGATGATTTAGGAGAAGGTAATTTATCTCCTGTAAAATTCTGTAGAGTCAGATGAAGAGTAAATAACAGAATGTTATTTAAAAAAATCTCATCTATATCAAGAAAGCTCTAATTTATGATCTTCAGTACAAAGTTATTTCATTTAAAAATATATTTATCAACCTAAGTTTTCTTCTTAGAAAATATCAACATATTTTCTTCTTAGAACTGTTTCCCCCTTCTCACTGAGCTACTCTGAGGTAAATCTTGATGGAGGATTGATTGGAAGTCGATTCTTATTAGAATACCAGATTTATAAACTTTCTGGCCCTCAGCTGTTACTGGTGATCATTGCTGAAGTTGCAACCACTGGTTCAGCTGTCCTTTGCTAGTCTTTAATAAAAATTTGTGATCATATTTCATACTTTGCTGTAGTTATTATTAGTTAATTATTATTCACTGGTGTTTTCAGTGTTTTAAAATGAATCTTTTGACAGTGCAGTCTTACCGTTTTAATTCTTTCCATGTATTTTTTTTTGTTTCCTTTACAGTACTCTGTGCAAAAAACTTGGTGAAAAAGGATTTTTTCCGTAAGTAAATTAACTTTAAATCTTGTATGTTGTGTGTTGACTTTTTGGATAACATTTTCGGAATTGTCTGGCTTAGTGAGTTCTCTATTCAGAAATCTACTTGGTACTGTTTTATGAATGCTTTGGTTCAGAGCCTTTTGGCAACACTGTTTTTTGTTTTTTGTGTTTTTTTTTTTTAGAGGATTTTGTGCCTTTTTAGCTTTAGTCTCTTTCCTTTTATCCACCCCTCCCACATATTTGTGTGAAATGTGTGTGGTTAAGTGTGTGTATATGAGATGTGTGTAAAGAGTATTGAAGGTGTGCATATACTACTAGGTTTCTAGAAAAGTAGAGATTATTTTGTAAACACTTTTTTTTTCTTTTCTAACATTTTATAGGAAATTTTATTCAGGCAGTCATGATTCCTTGGAAAGTAGAGAAGTCATTCAGCCTGCTTGGAATTTCCAGAGTGTAGGAAAGAAATCTCTGCCACATCCTATCATAGATGCTCTTATGTCTCAGACTCCAAAGCAGACATTTGGTTCCCATATTTTGCAGTCTCTTTGCCAATAAGTTGTCAGTTTTTTTTTTTTTTTTTTTGGTGGCTTTATTTAGGATTAAGTTTTGTGAGGGAGGATTGGGAAGAACCCCTCACGTGTGTTTAGAATCTTTACCCTGTAATATCATATTTCATAATAGCTTTAAATTATTGAGTAAAGAAAATTTAAAAATATATAAATGAGTAAAAATGATATAATTTTTGATAAGGAACTATAAGCCAACAAAATTTTATATGTAAAATATTTGAAGTTATAAATGAGACATTTCATTTGATTTTAAAATTCAGGTTCTACCAGCCAGCAAAAACTAGCTGTAAGTGCTGTCTAATTTAATATGATACTACTTAATTTTCAGGGGTTTGATTAAAAGAAGTAATAAGCTCTTGATGCATTTTAAAATCATACTTAATTCATTTCACTTGAAACTTTCTTTTAAAATTTCTGGAGAGAACCAAAATTAAAGTTTGTAAAATAACATCTTATAAACCTTTATATAATTAGAAAATTTTCTGGTGTCTGTGTTTATATGGGAAAGGAGTTAAATAGGATAATTGGGGACATAGTTAAAGTTTTAAGCAGTCTCCAATTTATGTACTGTGTGTTCTCCACTCTACTGCATGTTGCAGTAGTAGAGGCCACTGACCTGTCTTCATGCTGCCACCAAATATTATCTTCACAGGCTTTTGCTGAACTACCTATCTCATCCCTGTCACTGATAACCTAGTAACCAGTGTATACTCTTTTTTACCCTTCTTAAAGGTTGATTTGATATAGGATTTATTCTAGTAGGACTGCAGAGTGGCAAATAGGATCAGATAGGCAAGTGACAAGGAAAAAAGGGAGGAAAGTGAGGAATGCATACTCTTAAAGTTGCTTCTGCACTCTCCAAGACATCTGCTCTGGTTTTAAAGATAAAATCTTCCATTTTGTCTCCCAGCCTTCCTTCCCAAGTTCGTTCTTGCTGCCAGAGTCCCAAGACACGGGTTCTCCAGTAAAATATCCAAATAACCTTGTCTCAGTTTTCCTAGAAAATCTAGGGGAATCTTACTTTAATTTTTGATAAACCTCGGAGAGCCCATTGTTATCACTTACACGATCTTTATCTGCCCTTAACTTGTAGTTAGGAAAAAAAGAAGTTCCTTCTTGAACTCTTTCTCTTTTTCATTGGTGTAGGCGTAAAAATTAATAAAAATTCTTAAGAGTTGTGAGTTTGCTCCAGGGATAAGAAAATTAGGGGAAACTATGTGATTATGATGGCTCTGGAAAGGGAAACAGGAAAGCCAATTGTGAGGCCTTCAGAAGGCACTCAGCCAGGGATGGACTATCTCCCGGGTTCACAGTGAGAACAGCCTCTGCTGTGGTAGCTTTACATCTGTCTTTGATCTGCTTATAAGTTGAGGGTGGCCCACATTAATTCCAGAGAAAGAATTATAGTACTTCTTAAATCTTTTAATGAAATTTGAGTGAGAGTGTCTGTTTATTGATCAGAATGCAATTATCATTGATACCAAAATACAAAGTACTTGTTTGTAATGAGGTTTAAAGCATGTTGAATGAGAAGTAAATTTTAATATCAAGCATGACTATAGGCTGATGAAATATGTATGTGTGTATATATTTAATTATAGGGAAAAAATACAAAGCCAAGTGTTATAGTTTGTATAATTTGAGATAATACTATTTATTTTGGGTAACTACCCTTCCTGAGAAAAGTTTTGCTAATTCACTTTTTAGAATTGTTTGCAAGCTTATTGGCTTTAAAAAATAAGTTACTTCCCCTTTCCCCAAAATTTTAGAAGGAAAAATTTCTCAACATATAGGAACATGTAGAGAGTTTTATAGTGAATATCCACATCTAGATTCTACCATTAGCTTTGTCTAATGTTTATCCATTATCTGTTTTTTAAAGACTGTTTTCTTTTTTTTTAAGATTTTGTTTATTAGAGAGAGAGAGAGTGCAAGAGAGAGCACAAGCAGGGGGAGTGGGAGAGAGAGAAACAGACTCCCTGCTGGGCAGAGAGCCTGATGCAGGGCTTGATCCCAGGACCCTGGGACCACGACCTGAGCCGAAGGCAGTCGCTTAACAAACTGAGCCACCCAGGCGCCCCAAGAATGTTCTCATTAGCGTATTTTTTTCTCTTTTATGCAACATTTAAATAAAAGATTTGTGTGTAAGCTCCTGTGTTAAGGTGCTGCATATAAGGGCCAAATTGAAGTCACTCAGAACCAAGACGGTTGGTGAAAAGATTTTTATTTCCTTCCCCCAATCACAAATAAAGCTTTAGGGGCACTTGGGTGGCTCACTTGGTTAAGTGTTAGACTCTCTATCTCGGGTCTTGATCTCATGGTTATGAGTTCAAGCCCTGAGATTGGGCTCCATGCTGGGCATGGAGGCTACTTAAAAAAACCAAAAAACCCACTTTTTCTCTGGACAGCAGCACAACTTCTGAGTTGAAATGTTTGTTTCATTATCATTTGCAGCCCAAGCACATTTGTGTAGCGAGAAAGTCTTGAGCTTTAGCTGTTTTCATATGACCTAGAAATGATGGGGCTAATTGAGAAGTTTTTTAAAAGTACAGAAAATACCGTAGCCACTTTATATTCACCACTAGGGGTCTCACTCACTTCAGAAACTTGATAGCTTTTGATGACATCACAGTAACTTGGCTCTCAGGTTAAATTTTTGTGGAGTAATAGAATCAGGTAAGTTGAAAGTTAGGTATTTTTATTGTTGTTAGGGTGTAGAGCTTGTACTTTGTATTATTTAACAAGAGAAACGTAGGAGGCTGGGACTGATGATTTCATACTTAAGGATGTGGAAGCCATACGTAGTTTTTTTGTGTGTGGAAAAGTTGTTTTCCTTAGTCCTTAATCCTATAACTAAACAAAATCTAAAAGGAAAGCTAGAAATGTGATTTTTGTTTTTGTTTTTGCTTACAAACATATATTTATGTGTTTTTTGAGATAGTAGAATCAAAAGAACAAGATAGAATGGAGTTCTTCAGGAGAAAATACTTAATGTTATTGAAGGCAGAGGGAAAAGTACTCTTCCATTAAACACAGTTAAAAATGATTAGGTATTAGGAGCGCCTGGGTGGCTCAGTCGTTAAGCGTCTGCCTTCGGCTCAGGTCATGGTCCCAGGGTCCTGGGATCGAGCCCCACGTCGGGCTCCCTGCTCAGCATGAAGCCTGCTTCTCCCTCTCCCACTCCCCCTGCTTGTGTTCCCTCTCTCGCGCTCTCTCTGTCAAATAAATAAAATCTAAAAAAAAAAAAAATAAAATGATTAGGTATTATTGAAATAATATGAGTAGCAGTAAATTTCAATAATATAGTTAAATAGGGGGGCCTGGGTGGCTCTGTCAGTTAAGCGGCTGCCTTCGGCTCAGGTCATGATCCCGGGGTCCTGGGATTGAGCCCTGCATTGGGCTCCCTGCTCAGCGGGAAGCCTGCTTCTCCCTCTGCCTGCTGCTTCCCCTGTTTGTGCTCTCTCTATCTTTGTGTCAAATAAATAAGTAAATCTTAAAAAAATATATATAGTTAAATATATCAATACCCTAACTTCCAAGTATGTTCTTAAATACTTAACACTCGTAAATTTTGATCTTCTCTTATTTGAAGTTGACAGATCACAGAATCATAGAATTGGGGAACTGATGACACAATTTCTGCCTGGCCTTGAGTCTTGGCACATTGGTATCTTGACTTAAAAAAAAAAATTAGATATCAAGGTGTACAAGTTCTTCAGTTATCACGACTTACCAACATTTTGTTCTAGTATTTTCAGCTGTCCATAGGAAATCTTTGCTATCCCAATATGTCTAATGCCTAAATTGTCATTTTTGTCTCTTTAACATTTTATTTAGTTTTACCTTCTAACTTTTCCTTTTTTTTTTTTTTTTTAAGATTTTTTATTTTTTATTTGACGGAGAGCGAGAGTAACAAGCAGGGGGAGCGGCAGGCATAGGGAGTGGGAGAAGCAGGCTCCCTGCTGAGCAAGAAACCCAATGTGGGGCTCGATCCCAGGACCCCAGGATCATGACCCGAGCCAAAGGCAGACGCTTAACCGTCTGAGCCACCCAGGAGCCCCGACCTTCTAACTTTTCTTTCCCCCCAAAAGACCACTCTTCTCATTGTTACTTAGGGCTGAGAACTGTAGTGTCATTTTTGACTTTAGTTTCTTATAAACTCAGATCTTTCAGAGTAGCTTATTTCACTGTCACTTTCCTTTTCATGTGACTTCCCTAGTGCAGGGTCTACTCATCTTACTGTTCTTTTATCCTACTCTATGGAACTTACAACAGCTTCATAGATGTTCTCTATACCAGTCTTTCCTTCTCCCAGTCTACCCTGAATACGACTAGTGGGAAAATAGGACCATGTATTTACAGCCATGCTTAAGAACCTAAAGTGGCTCCCTGTTAATCTATTTCAGTCATTTCCTGACTTTTAAGCCTCTCTTACCAGCAGTATTTACTTTTACACATTAGCACAGAAGATTTGGTTAGACTCCTCAGAGCCCTTCAAATATTGTCAATATTGTTATACCTTTCTTGGCAATCTTCCTGTTTGTCCTTTAAAGCCCAAATGAGTCCCATCCCCTCAAGAAAACAAACAAACAAAATACACCTTGATTTGCTGTTCAAACTTCAACTGTTCTCCTGTTTTTCTGAGCTCTTACTTGTACTCACTGTTGAACTGCATAGTAAGTGAGAGGTATAACATAGCATAGTGGTTAAGAGCATGAAATCGAGAATCAGATTATATGTGCATGGCTTTAAAAATCGAAACTTTAGACCCTGGCTCTGTCATGTACTGTTTGTCCTTGGACTAGTTAATTAACCCTTTTGTGCCTTAGTTTCCTCATCAGTAGACATTATAGTAGTATTTACTCCATTGGATTATTGTGAAGAATAAGAGATTCAATATATGTAAAGCATTTAGAACAGCGCCTGACATAGTATTAAAAGTGTTTTCTTTATAGTCAGTACAAACACTTCTTTATTCTCAGGTTCCCCTCTCCCCCACAGCATTCTTTTTTTTTTTTTTTTAAAGATTTTATTTATTTATTTGACAGAGAGAGACACAGTGAGAGAGGGAACACAAGTAGGGGGAGTGGGAGAGAGAGAAGCAGGCTTCCTGCAGAGCAGGGAGCCCGATGCGGGGCTCGATCCCACGACCCTGGGATCATGACCTGAGCCGAAGGCAGACGCTTAACCGACTGAGCCACCCAGGCGCCCCTCCCCCACAGCATTCTTAAAATAATATTTATTTATTCATTTGAGAGAAAGAGAAAGAACATGAGCTGGAGGAGGGGCAGAGGGTGAGAGAGAATCTCAAGCAGACTCCCTGCTAAGTGCGGAGCCCAATGCAGGGCTCAGTCTCAGAACCCTTGAGATCATGACCTGAGCCGAAACCAAAAGTTGGAGGCTTAACCCACTGAGCCACCCAGGCGTGCCAACCCGTCCCCCGGTCCTCCTCCCATCCATGGCATTCTTATCTCCCCAATTAGATAGAAAGATCTTTTAAGGCAGGGTATTAGATTTTTTATTTCAGTTTCTCATCACTCATGGTAGCTATTGAAGAAAACTTTTTGGCTAATTTGATTTCTCTGTAGCCCATGTTCTTGTGTGAAAACCTATTAAAGGTTATTAAAAGCTGTTTCTTTAAATGCTACTAAGAGAGACCTTGGGAAGGTTCTAAGAGGAACCTTAAAACCTTAAAACAGGAATGTTTTAAGCTCCCTTGGGTCAAAGGGCTGGTAAAGATCTATAAAAACTTCCACATTCTGAGGTAACCTCTAGGCTTTTGTAGTTTAAGCTGAGAATGTTTTGAGATAGGAGCAAGAAAAAAAACGTAGCTTTTGGTATTTAATATAGAATTACCTTTAATCTTAGTTTTATTTATTTATTTATTTTTTAAAGATTTTATTTATTTGACAGAGAGATAGCGAGAGCAGGAACACAAGCAGGGGGAGTGGGAGAGGGAGAAGCGGGCTTCCTGCCGAGCAGGGAGCCCAATGCGGGGCTCGATCCCAGGACCCTGGGATCATGACCTGAGCCGAAGGCAGACGCTTAACGACTGAGCCACCCAGGTGCCCCTAATCTTAGTTTTAAAATGGACCACTTTATAGCTGAATGTTAAACTTTTTATAAAGAATGGGAATAATCTTTTGTAGTAAATAGTAAGCTTTATACAATTAATCTTCTATTTTCCATGTTATAATATTCTTTAATAAAAAAAATTTCTTCCCCTTTTTTCACAGGACTTCCTGATCCATTTGCTAAGGTGGTGGTTGATGGATCTGGGCAATGCCATTCTACAGATACTGTGAAGAATACACTTGATCCAAAGTGGAATCAGCATTATGACCTGTAGGTTTAAATGATTCATTTGAAATGAAACCTAGAATCAATATTATTTGATATAGTCTTCGAAAAGAATCACTGAAAATGATCAGAATTTGATCTGTGGTATAATTTGGTCTTCACAGAGGGACACAAAACCTAATGGGAAAGTACTTTGGCTTATTGATAGCTGGTTTTGAAAGACTAAGTGCCCTTAATAAGCCTATGGAGAACAAAATGTATATGCAGTTTAGAGCAGCCCCACCCCATCTTTCTTCAGTTAAATAAAGGTATTAATTTACTTTCCACCAGTTATGAGTATAAAACCAGAAGTCATAATTGGGATGCACTCGTAGGCATTCTTTTTGCTTTTGTAGGGATGGTTTTATTTTAATCACAGTAGTATATGTAACTTCTAAAAAGGCACATAATACTGTAAGGCTTTTAATGGGAAAATGCACTTTGCTGTCCCATTCTTATTCCTGATTCCCATTCTCAAGGTAACTACTTTGAGTAACTTTGACTATTTATTCTGGTATTTTCTTCTATTTCCAGATATCATGCTTATTTTATACATCTCTCTATATGGGGTGGGGGTGGGAGGAGAGATGCAGAGAGATTTAGTGTCTACATACTTTTAGTTTTAGGTATTATTTTTACAATTCCTACCGTACAAGAAAATTCAGCTTTTACAACTGATCTCTCTCATCCCTACTCCCACAACACCCATAACACCCACGTGGCCCTTCTTTCTCCCAGCCCCCCAGTATAGTTATGTGAACCTTTTTGGTTAAATCATTGTTCTCTATTTACATTACTATGGTCATGTAACTATTCATAATTGAGTCATGTGGTATGTAATGATTACATTTCCTTTCTTGACAATTTTTGTTTTTCTGGAGTTATAACTGTCTTACTTTGCCACTTGCTTAGTTTTCTGTCTCATTGGTTAATTCCCAGAGTCTCCCACAGGACTGAACATATCTTCATGTATTCAACCACAGGAGCTATTCCACTGGCTTTGTTTTCTTCTTTGAGATATCCCTCCTGAAACCTCTGTCTTTTTCCTCCAGTCTGGTCTGGTAGTCTAAACTGGTCTAAGACCTGCCGCACAGTTGTCTGGGAACTTGCCTTTATCATTACATTGGGGATTTCCTTTCTCTCTTCTAGGTTCAGCGACTTCCCATTTTTTGTTTATTCCCTGTTTTGGTGAAGTCTGTCCTTCATTGAGAAAGAGTACAAAGATAGGGAAAATTCCTTTGATATCTTACCTGAAAATACTTTGTCTTCTCACTTGATTGTTTGAGTATAAACTTCTAGGTAAAGACATCACTTTCTTTCCAAATTGTGAATACAATGCTCCATTGTCTTCCAGGTCTAGATCAGCACTGCTGAATAGAAATACAATGTGAGCCACAAATGGGAGGTTGTTTGCAATTTTAAATTTGCTAGAAACCACATTTAAAAAAGCTAATAAAAAGGATTAGGCTTAATAAATATATTTTATTTAGTTCAGTATATCTAAAATATTCTCATTTCAACATGTCAATATCAAATAATTGTTTTTTATAAATAAGTAGAATTAAAAAATAAATATTTTAAAACTAAGTCTTTGAGATCTTAGAGGAGTTTGTTTTGCACTTACAGAGTGCCTCAATTTGGACTAGCCTCCATTACTCATCAATAGCTCCATGTGGCTGGTGGCTGCCCTTTTGAACAGTGCAGTTTTAGAGTATTGCTAATGGCATTCTGATTTTGGTCTTTCTTGATTATTGTTTTCTACTGGAAGATTTCAGTGTATTCTCTTTATGCCTGATACTACATTTTTTTGATAATGGTCTTGGTATATGTTACATAGTGCTAGATACTTATTGGAAACTTTTAATCTGATAAACTCTTTTTAAAAATTTAATTTCAGTATAGTTAACATATAGTGTTATATTAGTTTCAGGTGTACAATATAGTGATTCAGCAGTTCCATATATTACCCAGTGTTCATCAAGATAAGTGTATTCTTGGGGCATCTGGGTGGCTCAGTGGGTTAAGCATCGGACTTTTGATTTCAGCTCAGGTTATGATTTCAGGGTTGTGAGATTGAGCATCAGGCTCTGTGCTGGGCATGGAGCCTGCTTAAGATTTTCTCTCCCTCTCACTCTGCTCCCCTCCATCCCACTTCCTCCCTGACTCTCCCCCCACCTCCCAAAACTAAGTGTACTCTTAATCTCCTTCAGCTTTTTCACCTGTCTTTCCCCCCGCCCCCCCGCCCCATAACCATCTGAATCATCTCTGTGTTCTCTATAGTTAAGAATCTGTTTTTTTGGTTTCTCTTTTTTCCCCCTTTGTTCATTTGTTTTATTTCTTAAATTCCACATATGAATGAAATCATATGGTATTTATCTTTCTCTGACTGGCTTATTTTGTAGCATTATACTCTCTAGATCCATCCATGTTGTTACAAATGGCAAGACCTCTTTCTTATGGCTGAATAATATTCCATTCTTTATCCATTCATGTCTCAGTAGACACTTGGGCTCCTTCCATAATTTGCCTATTGTAAATAATGCTGCAATAAACATAGGGGTACATATCCCTTTGAATTAGTATTTTTGTATTCTTTGGGTAAATACCCAGTAGTGCAATAACTAGATCGTAGGATAGTTCTGGTTTTATTTTATTTATTTATTTATTTATTTATTTATTTATTTATTTATTTATTTATTTATTGAGAGAGTGAGCGAGCCGGGGGAGGGGCAGAGGAAGAGAATCTCAAGCAGACTCCACGCTGAGGTTGGAGAAGAACATGGGGCTCGATCTTATGACGCCAATTGAGATCACAACCTGAACCGAAATCAAGGCTCAGATACTTAACTGACTGAGCCATCCAGGTGCCCCTCTATTTTTAATTTTTAAAAAAATTTTATTTATTATTTGAGAGAGCAAGTGCATGAGAGCAAGCAGGGGGTATGGAGAGGGACAAGCAGACTCCTCACTGAATTCAGAGCCCAACATGGGGCTTGATCTCAGGACCCTGAGATCATGACCTGAGCTGAAATCAAGAGTCGGATGCTTAACCAACTTAGCCACCCAGGTGCCCCGCTATTTTTAATTTTTTGAGGAACTTCCATACCGTCTTCCATAGTGGCTGCACCAGTCTGCATTCCCACCAGTGGTGCATGAGGGTTCCTTTTTCTCCACATCCTCACCAACACTTGCTGTTTCTTGAGTTTTTGATTTTAGCCATTCTGACAGGTGTGAGGTGATATCTTATTGTGGTTTTTCACTTGTATTTTCCTGATGATGAGTGTGAGCATCTTTTCATGTGTCTCTTGGCCATCTGTATGTCTTCTTTGGAGAAATGTCTGTTCATATCTTGCGTGTTTTTTAATTGGATTATTTGCAGTTTTTTGGTGTTAAGTTCTTTATATATATTGGATACTAACCCTTTACTGGATATGTCATTTGCAAATATTTTCTCCCATTCAGTAGGTTGTCTTTTAGTTCTGATTGTCCTTTTCTGTGCAGAAGCTTTTTATTTTTTTTTATTTTTTTATTTTTTTATTTTTAAAGATTTTATTTATTCATTTGAGAGACAATGAGATAGAGAGCATGAGAGGGGGGAAGGTCAGAGGGAGAAGCAGACTCCCTGCTGAGCAGGGAGCCTGATGCGGGACTCGATCCAGGGACTCCAGGATCATGACCTGAGCCGAAGGCAGTCGCCCAACCAACTGAGCCACCCAGGTGCCCAGAAGCTTTTTATTTTGATGTACTCCTAATAGTTTATGAGCTTTTTATTTTGATGTACTCCTAATAGTTTATTTTTGCTTTTGTTTCCCTTGCCTCTAGACATATCTAAAAAGATGGCTGATATCAGAGAAATTACTGCCTGTGGTCTCTTCTGGATACTTTTTAGTTATGGGAGGGTTATTTATTTATTTAGTGAGTAAATAATTAAAAGATCTTATTTTAATTTTTAAAAAATTTTATTTTTTTAAGATTTTATTCATTTACTTGACAGAGCACAAGCAGGGGGAGCGGCAGGCAGAGGCAGAGGGAGTAGCAGGCTCCCTGCTTAGCAGGGAGCCTGACTCGGGGCTCGATCCCAGGACCCTGAGATCACGACCTGAACCGAAGGCAGACACTTAACTGAGCCACCCAGGCACCTCCCTCCCCCCAAAAAGATATTATTTTTAATCTCTACACCCAATGTGGGACTTGAACTTACAACCCTGAGATCAAGAGTTGCATGTTCCACTGACTGAGCCAACCAGGCGCCCCTGTCTTTATTTATGTATGGATAATTTCCTTTCCGTTTTCTCTTTATCTGTTTTTCCTTTTCTGGAACTCCTGTTATTTTGGATGTTATCCCTTCTGAATTGATCATCATTTAGTTGTCTTATCTTTTTTCTCTCATGTTTTCTCTCTCTTTTTTTAAGATTTGGGAGAGAGAAGGAGTGTACAAGTGGGGGGAGGGGTTGAGAGAGAGAAGGACAGGCAGACTCCCCACTGAGCAGGGAGCCTGACACAGGCCTTGATCCCAGGACCCTAAGATCATCACCTGAGCCAAAGTCAGACGCTTAACCGACTGAGCCACCCAGGCACCTTCTCTGTTTTAATAAACTATTTTTGTTTTAGTAAAAACTTAAAAACTATAATGAAATATCTGGGCTGTTTCCCCAACTTAATTTTCAAGCATTCCTTTTATTGGAATTTCTGCTTTCACATTTTTAGCTTCCAAGATCGCTTTGTTTTTTGACTATCTTTTTTTTCATAATTTCTTCTTATTTCTTGGATGCAATATCTTCTCTAATAAGAAGTGGGTTTTCTTCTGTTGTTTGTATTGCCTTTCTTTTGTCAGAATTCCTTTTTTTCTGTTAGTTTGATTTGGGTTTCTGTCTTTTTATGTTTAAGGGGAGGCATTTAAATGTTGATTGGAAATTCTGTGCCCATGGGTAGAGCTGGTCTACACACTAGGGTAATCAGGTGTGACTGACAATTCTCCCCTTTCCTGCTTGGGGGCTATATATTCTTGGATGCTAGTGTTCTTGGAGCTGAAGAGCGTAAGGATGCTAGGGAGTGTCTCTGTTGCCTGTATTAACCTCTTCTTAATATGCCTGCTTTTATTTTATTTATTTATTTATTTTTTAAAGATTTTATTTTTTTATTTGACAGAGAGAGACACAGCGAGAGAGGGAACACAAGCAGGGGGAGTGGGAGAGGGAGAAGCAGGCTTCCCGTGGAGCAGGGAGCCCTATGTGGGGCTCGATCCCAGGAGCTGGTATCATGACCTGAGCTGAAGGCAGATGCTTAACGACTGAGCCACCTAGCACCCCAGTATCCCTGCTTTTATGAAGGACTTCTATCTCCTTCCTCAGCTGTGCCTCGTGTCCCTCAGTAGAGATCTTTTCCGAGTATAAACCTTAGGTCTCTTCCTAGGGTTGAGGATGAACTGGATCAGGGAGGGAATTCAAGAAGGCCTTCCATTCCTTTTCAGTACTTTCACCAGTCCTTCTGTTTTAGCCACACCATCTCTGTCAGAGTATCTTGGGCTTAGAAGTTCAGGAATATTTCAGGGATTTGATGATAGTAATAGTCTTGTTTCTTATTTGTTCCTCCCTGAAACCAGGTGTAGGTTGCAGTTTTCTCCAGGTTGTTAATTCCATTATCACATGCTTTCTACACCACTACCATTTTGTCAGCGTATCTCATGTTATAAACATGTTGACTGCCTTGATATCCTCTTTTAAGTCTTTGGTCTTTTAAGCTTTGGACTTCACCCTTCATCAATTTCAGTTTTTCTTCAAAGTGTTCCACTTGACTTACCTACAAAAATGAATTTTAGATCTCCCATCAAACCCTTACGCCTGACATCTCACCTACTTACTTCAGACAGTTCTAGAACCACCCTAGAGTACCCACCTCAGCCAGGACTCTGGTCAGTTACTTAAATTTGACTTTTTAAACCACATGTGAACAAATGTCCTGTCTCTACTACTGAGACACTGAGATACCTGGAGACAACTCAGAACAAGGCTTCTGTGTATGCCCCTCAGTGCTGTGGCTCAGTGACTCCAAGTTAGTATGCAGATAAATCGGAACCAAAAAAGTAAGCAATAGAGAGAAGTGAGAGTACCCAGCTTCCCACCTCCACCACTTGCTTCTGTGATCATTAGCTCAGTGTTTAACCCCTTGTGTGTTGGTTTCCATTGACTACAGCAACAATGCCTACTTTAGAAGACTGATAGGAAGAGTGAGACAGATAATACCTGTAAAGTGCTTAGACTAGTACCTGACAGGTAATTCTCAAATGTTAGATGCTTTTAGTAAAAGTATATTAGGTCACACGTTTTTTTCTATTACTTGATTTGACCTGCAGTGAATTTGAAATCACAACTCTAATAAGCTACTATCTGTGTAACTGACTAAGCTTTTGAAAGTTCTTAATCAGATTGTTTTAAGCCATGTCTTTAAGTTTCAGTGAGATTTAAATTCAGCCAGAGACCCAGGTACAGTAGTAAATAAGGTGTGGTCCTCCAGGTGTACAGCCAAGTGGTGTATCAGCACAAGTAAATAGGAAATTATAAACAGTGTGATAAGAAAATGGGGAAGTATAGGGTGCTCTGGAAATACAGAGAACTTCTTTATATGAATTTAGGAGTTAAGGACAGCTTCCTAGAAAAAGTGACATTTAGGCTTTGACCTTAAGTAGGAGTTTACTTGGAAGGAGTGGGCCGGCTCTAAGCAAAAGCAGTCTGTGTGAAGACCCAGAGGTGAATAAGATAATGACTTTGAAAACAGTTTGGAGGGGCAGCATTAGTGAATTCTTTTTTTTTTTTTTTTTAAAGATTTTATTTATTTTTTAGAGAGCGAGCGAGAGAGAAACAGCATGAGAGGGGCGAGGGTCAGAGGGAGAAGCAGGCTCCCCGCTGAGCTGGGAGCCCGATGTGGGACTCGATCCCAGGACCCTGGGATCATGACCTGAGCCGAAGGCAGATGCTTAACCATCTGAGCCACCCAGGCGCCCGCATTAGTGAATTCTTGTAAGGGGAGTATGGCATAGGACAAGCAAAGAGAGGTTAGCAGGAACCAGCTCATGAAGGTCCTTGAAAGCCTATTAGTAAATTTGAATCCTCTCCTAAAAGCAGTGGAGAGCAATGAAAGGGTTTTCAGTGGGGGAAATAATATAATCAGGTTTATATCCAAGAGTGGACACTTGGGCTATAATGTGAAAAATTGCTTAGAGGGAGGCAAGGATGTCCAGGAGACTAGTTACTACACTGGGGTGTGGGGCAGCCTGATCGGGTGGAGGCCGGCAGAACAGGTGCTGAGAGGATCACCGAAGGCAGAACGAAAGAGAGAGAAGTTTACTGAATACGCTGGGAGGGAGCAGTGGGCAGGACAGCAAAGTGTAGAGACTGTCCGCCAGGAGGCAGTGGTGGGGGGCTGTAGTTCAAGGGGCGGGGTGAAGAAGTATAGGAACATACGGGATTTTCCTTTTTTGGTATCTGTGCTGGTTGTAAGTAGTCCATTGGTCAGCTAAGGCCTATGGATATTTTGAGGTAGGTCTCTTAATGAGCTTGTTTGCATTCAGCCCGGTGGTCACTGTGGCCCCTTTGACCTTACTCAGGTTTCCATTGCTCAAGCCTGTTGTCCAGAAGTAGCCTCTACATTCCCCTCCTCCCTCCCCGAGATCGACAATGACAAATCTTTGGCATTTGGGCAGAGGTCTCCTCTTTAGTAGTTGCTTCATGCTGGACCTGGGGGAGGGGGTGTCCCTACCTAAACTTGTCTGTTTGTCAGGGGTTCTGTGCAAGTTACAGACCAGAGCTTGGTATTATATTCATGTGCTAATGGTAATTTGAGTGGGATTCCCTGGTGGTCAGGTTCATGGGATTTAGGGGAAGGGGACTCTCGCTGTTGGATCCAGCCCATAGAAATGATGACTTTATGTTAGAAAAGTGGTAATATGAATGAAGAAATGTAGACTTTCTGAATATTTATAATATGGCCTTAAAAGTTAAAAAAAAAAAATTTATCCTTGAAGAAAATGAAATCACACTATACGGTGTGCTCTGCTGGATTTGACTCACAGGCTGTGGTTTGCTGACCTCTGCCTTAGACTCCTAGCTTTTCTAGCCTTGCTTTTAAGGTCTTTCTCAACACAGCAGCTAGGGTGATCTTGTTAAAACATATTTCAAATCTTGTTACTCCTCTGCTGCACATCTCCCATTGGTTTCCAGCCTTACTTGGAGTAAAGGCCAGAGTTCATACTATGGCTGACAAGGCCCTTTATGATTCGCCTTCTGTATTGGTTAGAGCAGACTAACTGATATAATAGGCAACTCCAGATTTTCAGTGACTTCATACAGTAGCAGTGTATTTTGTATAAAAGTTTCATTTGTCAGGGAGGCGATTCGCCATCTCAGAGTTGTTCAAGGCACAAAGTGACAGAATCTCCCCTGTTTTCAAAGTATGTGCCTAAGGTCTCTGGGCCTTGACAGGATGTTTATGCCAGTGGTAGGCTAAGGGCATGAGGGGATCAGTATTTTATCATACTTGTACATCCGGCTTACCAGTTGGGAAAGTGATTTAATGTGATTTTTTTCTTTTTAATGTTGGTTTGGGGTTATTTAGCTGTTTAATAATTGATTCTGGGTCTAGAATTTTAACGTATCACACAGGAGATACTTGCCAAGTTAGGTCGGTTAGGTATATTTAAAAATTGGTGCATGCATCCTGGATATTTTAGTTCAGAGTTTTTCATTTGCAAGCAACAGAAATGAAATTCAAATTGGCTTAATTTTTAAAAAGGGAATGTATTGGTTTGCATAATTAAAAGTCCAGGGGGTAGGCCTGCTTTAAAGCACAGCTGGATCCAAGTGTGGCTTCCCTGTTTCTCATTTAAAAGTTTTAGTTCTCACTTAAGTGGTTTTGGCTTTTTTATATATTAGGTGAATTTTTCTGATATTATTGCTTTACTGAATGACACTTTAAGATCAAGGTTGCTGGACCAAAAATTTGACCACTTAGAGGGAAATAGGGTTAGGTTTCTACTGGTATAATTATGTTATTTTATTATATTTTTGCATGGGATGGCACCATGTGAACAATTGGCTGTGGTAGAGCTTTTACATACTTGCAGGTATATGCACAGACAAGTATAGTAACGCTTTTCCCTGCTCTGCTTGTCTGCAGGCAGTGAAGTGAAATCTGCAAGAGTCCTGCTCGCTCAAGGCCTGCATACAGGAAAGAAGCAGGGGAAAAGCGTTACAGTCAGCTTTTGTTCTACAGCATTTTAAAACATAACAGGTATGTCAGATTTTTGGTCTGTCAGCCTTGACGATGCCCCTTGAAAACTGACTACTCTCTGAGATGATAGGTCATATCATTGAAATGTTTTTAAAATGTGACTGATAAAAATTCTTGTAACATTTTTGTTCTTGGAAAGAAATGTCAGAAATTCCTTTAGTGTTAATTGACACTAGCTACTAAAATAGATTTTTACTAAGAAAAATTGTCACCCAGCCTGAGAGTGGCAGATGTGATGAAGGATATATTAAAAATTCTTTTTAGATTTTACTTTTAAGATTTTTTTAAAAGTTTAAATTCAGTCCTGTGGGATTGATTGAACTCAAAACATATTTTGCATTATTTAGTCATACTCTGAAGCATTTGTGACTTTAGACTACAAAAGCAAAAGAAAAATTTCACACTAACTACTTGTAGTTGCCAAGTTACTCATTCAGTCATGTTGTGTTTTAGGTATATTGGAAAGTCTGATTCAGTTACGATCAGTGTGTGGAATCACAAGAAGATCCATAAAAAACAAGGTGCTGGATTTCTTGGTTGTGTTCGACTTCTTTCCAATGCCATCAACCGCCTCAAAGACACTGGTTGTGAGTAGACACTAGTGCTTTTTAAAATTAAAAAAAAAAATAAAAAATAAATAAATAAATATATATATATATATATTTGTGTGTGTGTGTGTACACACACATTTTTTGGGGGGAGGCAGGGATTCAGAAACTTCCTATGTGTGTTTGAAACATTGGTAAAAATTCTTGGTTACATTTATTTTATGGACTTTATGAAAAGAATGAAACATTTAAAATATGTGAAACTTGAACTGAATCAGAGCTGATGCTTAGTATCCCCTGAATTTGTAAGTGTTAGGAAAGGTTTGATATCCAAGAGTAAAAAGAAAGGTGTCAAAGTATATATGCCTTTTTTTATTTCTTAGGACCCTTCTCTGGTTTTGGTGGATTTATGAGATAAAGTGAGTTTTATTTAGGTGATTGGAATGTTTAAAGGGGAATTATTAGTGAATAAGAGTGATACATAAAATGGGGTGAAAAAAATTAAAAGTTCTGGAAGGTAAGACATTGAGTGTAAGACAGCTGTATTAACTACTTAATTATAGCTTAGTTTTCCATCATCCTGGGCATTTATAAGATGAGGCCAAGGTCAAGACATTAGAAATGATTTACATATTGGATTGACAAGTTTAATTAGCATATGCATAATTCATGTAACCAGGTGACAAAGCATCTTTTGGGGGATTATTCCCATTGAGACATAGATGAAAATGTCTTTTTCTTTTCTTTTTTTTTTTTTTTTTAAGATTTTTTATTTATTTATTTGAGACAGAGAGAATGAGATAGAGAGAGCATGAGAGGGAGGAGGGTCAGAGGGAGAAGCAGACTCCCTGCCGAGCAGGGAGCCCGATGCGGGACTCGATCCCGGGACTCCAGGATCATGACCTGAGCCGAAGGCAGTCGCTTAACCAACTGAGCCACCCAGGCACCCGAAAATATCTTTTTTTTTTTTTTTTTTAAGATTTTTTAATTTATTATTTATTTGAGACAGAGAGAATGAGAGAGACAGAGAGCACATGAGAGGGGGGAGGGTCAGAGGGAGAAGCAGGCTCCCCACCGAGCAGGGAGCCTGATGCGGGACTCGATCCCGGGACTCCAGGATCATGACCTGAGCCGAAGGCAGTCGCTTAACCAACTGAGCCACCCAGGCGCCCGAAAATGTCTTTTTCAACAAATTTTTTTTGTTGTTTCTACAGGATTCTTTTTTATATAATACAAAAAATATTGCTAGTCACTCATCGTCAATGGGATTTTAGCCCAGATGTCTCTGCTCAACAAAAATTCACGTAGAATCTAGCTAAGAAATTAATTAAAAATAGAGCAAATTTAGCTTTGAATATTAGGTATATTGAAATGACCCCTTTTAATGTATGATATCATAGTCCAGATATATAAATATTGATCTGTTACAAAGGGAGAAAATTATGCCAGAAGTCCAGAGTCGGAGGAATTTAAAGGCACTTGAGAATTTCTTGTATTTCTGGGTTGACAGGGTGATCCAGCAGGAAACAGAGGACGTTGGGTTTGGTAAAGGTCTAGCATATAAAAACGAACTGTTTTATTACCCAACCCAGCAGGCAAACTGAAGACTTATAGGCCATATGTACGACCTTATCTCTGCTTCAGTTTAGCCAACATATATTGAACCTTTAATGTGCCAGGTACTGTTCAAAACCCTGGTGATAAAAGGTGAAAAAGGCATGGATCCTGTCCTCTGAGAAGCAAGGGCAAGGGCCTGCTGGCAAAGGGAGGAGGACTCACTGGAGAGACTGAACAAGAGAAGAGGAATTGCTTTGCAGAAGTCCACTATGAAGTGGATTTAGCAGTGTCCATTTATTTTGTAAAGGGAAAAATGTCTGTTTTTGGCTGGATAACCAGGCACTGTAATGTTGGGACACAGAGTTTTCTTTCTGCTGCTATGAGTGTTTCATTGCATTAATTTACTTGACTCTTTTGATGTGCCATAATATTTGATTTATCAAACATTTATTGAGCACCCTGATACAGTGTGTGGAGTGGAAAACACAAAGACTAATGTATGGTCTCCTCTTATCAGTTCACAACTTCTTTAAATAGACAAATGGCATATAACTGTACAAGAATTCAGTTTTAAGTGCTGTAATCAAAAGCAATGTGCTGTTGGGTGACACTGTTCCTTATTATAACTGACCAGGTCAGTGTGATGTCTGTTCTATAGATGAGGCATAAGAGAGTAAATGAGTTGCCTCTAAATGAGTTAGTAGCCAAACTGACTCAAATCCTTATCTTACAGTTTATACTCAGCCTTTTATTAACATTTACTTTGTGTGTGTATGGAGCTCATTTGAAATGGTTAGATAAAAAATAACAGTGATACTAACTTAACATTTATTGAACACTTATATGCCAGGTACTGTGCTAAAAGTTATACATAATTACCTAATTTGATCCTTAAAAAATATGAGGTAGATACTACAGTTATACGTGAGAAAATCAAGACTCAGGGATAAATTGCTTAAGAACAACAACTATTAAGTGACAAGCCAAGACTCAGACAAAGTGGTCTGAAATCTTTGGAGAAAAAATAATTGCATGTTGGTAATGTATACACCAGTGCCTTATGGTTTTTGAAATCTGAATTTATCAAAACTTTGTTAAGACATTTATACTAATTATATATACAGTTAGAGATTTTAAACATTTGTTTCATCTTTAAAACATTATTTAAATGATAGGCCTGATTGCCATTGGATTATGGAAATTTACCGTCACTCTATGGAAGCTCTGTACCAGCTTATTTTTTAATTGCTTTTTTTTGTTGTTGATTTGAAATAGATCAGAGGTTGGATCTGTGCAAACTTGGGCCAAATGACAATGATACGGTTAGAGGACAGATAGTAGGTAAGTGGAATTTAAAGTCATGTGAAATTTTGGCATCATTCAGACTGACCTAAACTCTAAACATCTTTCAAATCCACGTACACTAACAATAGCTTCACTGTATTGGCTTGAGTTAAATGAGTCACGTAAAATGTTTCAAACAGTGGCTCCAGGTTCCAGGCTACCTTAATTTAAAGAATTAAAAACAAACAGGGGTGCCTGGGTGGCTCAGATGGTTAAGCGTCTACCTTCGGCTCAGGTCATGATCCCAGGGTCCTAGGATCGAGCGCCACTTCGGGCTCCTGGCCCAGCGGGGAGTCTGCTTCTCCCTTTCCCTCTGCTTCTCCCACTGCTCATGCTCTCTCTCTATATCTCTGTGTCTCAAATGAATAAATAAAATCTTAAAAAAAAAAAATTAAAAACAAACCCCGAACTATAAATAATGTTAAAAAAAAAAAAAAAAGGCTCCTAATGTTGTGAAAAACTCTTGATCCTTTAGGCATTCTTTTAAAGACAGATTTTATATGTGGTCTGAAAGTTTCCTAAAAATAATTCTTAAACTGGTTTTTGAGTAAGAATATTCTATTGAATTTTGTTCAGGCTTTACAGTTTTAAAATAAATAATCTGTGCTAATTGAAAAAAGAGGAATGATAGAATACTGATTGGAAAAAGGGAGAGGTTGTAATCTTTCATAAGGGACTCGTGGGCTATCTTGAATTGACTCAGAGGAAGGGCTTTATACAAAATTTCCTGAGGCTCGAGAATTGATGGATTGAGCTTTCATGAAGATACATAGTATGTGGGGTGCCTGGATGGCTCAGATGGTTGGACATCTGCCTTTGGCTTAGGTCATGATCTTCAGGTCCTGGGATTGAGCCCCACATTGGGCTCTCAGCTCAGCGGGCAGGTCTGCTTCTCCCTCTTTCTTTGCCTCTCTCCCTGCTGTGCTCTCTCTGTTTCTCTCAAATGAATAAATAAAAAAAAAAAAATCTTAAAAAAAAAAGATACATGGTGTGGTAGGACACCAAGATGGGCTCCTTTGAGGCTTCTTAAAGAAGAAAACATAATTGGAATCTTACCAGTTTACTATAGAGCAGAATTTAGGATAAGTTGATTGCTTTATGAACCTATCAGAGAGGTTTTAGTTACTGAAGTTACTTTTGAAGGGCTTCATTTCCCAAGGAAATGAATTGGGCTCATAGTGAATTGCCGGAGTAGCAACATAACAAAGCCCTGTGACAGTTGTCATAGGGAAGTATCTACATTACAGCCTTACTGAGAATTCCTGTCATTCTTAGATTGAGAAGGGAGTAAAAAACTCAAAAATAAATGCTGGCATATAAGACCTTTAAATGTGATTGTTCTTACTTTATTTGATTTGGTGTGTTACATAATGTTTGCCAACTAATGTGCATTAGTAACAAGATAGTTTCACTAGGTACAGATTGGCATTTCTAAAAACAGCAGACTTTCTTTGTCAGCAATTAGAGATAAACCTATGGAGTATACTATATAAAAAAGGAAAGCTTTACTTTAAAATGTGTGTGTGTTTAAATTTGAAGCTTTTGTGTGAGTTTGGTTTTCATAGTAGAGATATGTTGGATTCAAACATTATGCTTTATGATCTGCCATTTAAAAACGGAGTAAGTTAAAAAAAAAAAAAACAGTAAGTTCCAGTTCTTGCTGAATTAGACCTTTACAAATAATCATGTATATGTGTATATAAAATCTTTTGGGAAATGGAGAAAAGTACAGTAGAATACTAACTTTAAAAAATATATACCCTTTCTAATAATTTTATACACATTTATATGTGTATTTTTTTATGATTTTGGTTCATTGAATATAAAATTTTTGTTTTCTTTCACTTACTGTAACTTATTAGTGTTTACAATTAATGATTTTAAAGGATGAATTATATCAGTATATCATAATTTAATTACTGGACTTTTAAGTTATCTTTTTGCTATTGTAACATTGAAACTTGCAAGCATTTTTGGACACTTAGCATTATCCTATTTTTGGAGTATTACCTTAAAGAAAAATCTTCCCAATTGAGACGACTGATTCAAGGTTATAAATCCTTTCCCTTGTTTTTGAATCTGTTACTCAATTCTTTGCATCTCTTGTGAGGTTTTTATTTTTTTGTTATCAAATCAAAAATATAGACAGAGAACATAAGGAACATTCATAATATGTCATCATTGTCATTACCTTGATATATATACCTTTTCTGTTTTTGTAAATGATATTACACTGTGCAGAATTTTAAATAACCTGTTTTAATCTGTCCTAAACATCTTTTGTTGTTGTTCATGTATACATTTCTGTAACATTTTTAATGTATGGCAGTCCATGGTGGACAAATAATTAATTTAGCTAGTTCATTATTGCTGGATATTTAGACTGTTTCTAATGTTTTAATGTTATGAACAGTGTTCTTATAAACATAGTATTTCTATGACTCATTTTACATATTGCTAGGTTTAGGCCATTTAAAAACACAAACCCACCTAAAAATTGCTTAGGTGTTTTGTAATATAGCAGTCTGGAGTTGAAGCTCGTGAAATCCTTAATTTTGAGCCTTAATATTATTCTAAACAAAGCTAATGAGAAAATACATAGTTTTTGCAGTGATTATATCTAGATAAGCATTTCACTTAGCTTTTCTGTATAAAAACTGGTTAATACTGTTTTCTAGTACAATTTTCATATAACATTTTATGTTCACTGAGGAGAGAGGTATGTTACAATGTTACCTATAAATGAAATTCATATAAAGGAGTAACGTGTTGAACTCTGATTTTTCAAAATTTTTGCAGAGCTGGAAAATTTCAGAATTTTGAGACTCTTCCTAGAATGAAGGGTGTTAAGATGTCATACTTTATGTAGTAACTGATTAATTCTTTAAAAAGTTGGGTTATAGTCAGTCACATTTGCCTGTTCCTATTTTATCTTTTGGGAGAATTGCCAAAAATAGAATTAAGGAATATTAGAGCAGCAAGGAAGGACTTCAGACATATCAGTTAGTCTAACTTCCTCATTATTTAGATTATCTAAACTTTAAGAATGTTAAGTGTTTTGTTGAAGGTCATTGTGCCAAACTAGGTTTTAGAGCCTGGTCTAGAGCTTACATCTCTTGCTTGCAAATTTATAGTGGTAGTTTTACACCACACTAGATAATTATGTACTGTTTTAACTCATGGTATCTAAGTAGTGCCCGATTGCCAAAATCCAGTGTTTTTTGTTTATTTATTTATTTATTTATTTTTTATTAAGATTTATTTTAGAGGACGCCTGGTAAGTGTCTGCTTTTGATTCAGGTCATGATCCCAGAGTCCTGGGATCCAGTCCTGCATCAGGCTCCATGCTCAGTGGGGAGTCTGCTTCTCTCTGCCTCTCTCCCCCTACTCATGCTTGCTGTCTCCCTCTCACAAAAATAAAATCTTTAAAAAAAAAAAAAAAGACTTATTTTAGAGAGCTTGAGCAGGAGGGGCAGAGGGAGAGGGGGAGAGAATCTCAAGCAGATTTTGATCTCAGGACCCAAGATCAGAACCTGAGTCCAAACCAAGAGTTGGACGTTTAACCATCTGTGCCACTCAGGTGCCCCTGTTTGTTTTTTAAAGATGTGTCAAGAATTAAGCCCAAATTGATGTGAACTTTTCCAGTTCCTCCGTATGTGAATATACCTTTCATGTGTTATGTCTCTTTTGAGTGTAGTAGAGGCCTTGCATTGCCCCATTACAATGGGCAAAAAGGATTTAAACTCTCCTCCATGAACACAGTAAGGCATAGAAAATCATAAAATTGTAATGTCACTCCTAAAGGGAAAAATCTCATGGAAAAAGAAATTATATATTTTAAATTGTAATAAATCTTTCTAGTTTTACGACTCTTAGTAATTTTTTTGTTGTCTTATAGTAAGTCTTCAGTCCAGAGACCGAATAGGCACAGGAGGACAAGTTGTGGACTGCAGTCGTTTATTTGATAATGATTTACCAGATGGGTAAGCTCAGATCATTAGATAAATATGTTGATAACATCCTTCAAATAATGACAGATAAGTTGGTGTTTATTGTATACTTAACTTTAGAAATTTGCTGATCAGTTCCAGAATCTAGATTTTCCTTGTACTTGGAAAATTAGCAAGGAATCTTGTCAAGACAAATTTATAAAATAAACCATGAATTAGATATGTTAAATTTGGTTTTTAAGAGTTTTGACTAGGAGACAAATTGCTTGACAAATATAACTTTCCTATAAATATTATGTATTTAAAAGAACAACTTTTCTGGGTGATAGACATTGGAGAGGGTATGTGCTATGGTGAGCGCTGTGAATTGTGCAAGACTGTTGAATCTCAGATCTGTACCTCTGAAACAATGCAATATATGTTAAGAAAAAAAGAAGAAGAAGAAGAAGGTAGCGGGAGGGGAAGAATGAAGCGGGGGAAATCGGAGGGGTAGACGAACCATGAGAGACGATGGACTCTGAAAAACAAACTGAGGGTTCTAGAGGGGAAGGGGGTGGGGGGGATGGGTTGGCCTGGTGGTGGGTATTGAGGGGGGCACGTTCTGCATGGAGCACTGGGTGTTATGCGCAAACAATGAATCATGGAACACTACATCAAAAACTAATGATGTAATGTATGGTGATCAACACAACATAATAAGAAAAAAAGAAAATAAATAAAAATAGTTGATCTCCAAAAAAAAAACCCAACCCAACTTTTTTGTTTAAGTAATTCAAAACCAGGCATATAAATGCTGAATCTGAGACATTACTCCATTTAGAGGGATGGGATAGAGATTTGTGGAGTAAAAATTTTAACAACATAGAAACATGTATTGAGCATGTGTGTGTCAGGTACTGTTATAAGCACTTTTTGTGATACATTAACTCATTTAATTCACATGTGTGTGATTCTGGAATTACACCGTCTGGGTTCTAATCCTTACTCTTTATAAGCTTTATGAATTAGTTTAACTTCTGTAAGCATTGGTTTAATTTACTTACAGAAGAGGATTGTGATAATAGTATATATGCCATAAATTGTGAGAATTAAATGAAATCATTCATGTAAAGCACTTAGCACAATGTTTTGCACATACTAAGTGCTTAATAAATAATTAGCTACTATTATTACTCCTGCTGCTACTGTTGTCACCCTCATTCATTTCATAGATTAAAAACAGTGGGACTCAGAGGAGTTAAGTAAACTTGCCTTGAAGGCCGTATAGTGAATGGTAGAGCTGGAACGTAGACTTAAGCCTGGATTCCAAAGCTCATACTTTTGATCACTGCTCTTTGTTTCATATTAGCGCTGACACTTTTCTGGCTTTATTTTATTTATTTATTTATTATTATTATTATTTTTAAAGATTTTATTTATTCATTTGAGAGAGAGAATGGGAGAGAGAGCACGAGATGGGGGAGGGTCAGAGGGAGAAGCAGACTCCCTGCTGAGCAGGGAGCCTGATGTGGGACTTGATCCCGGGACTCCAGGATCATGACCTGAGCCGAAGGCAGTCGCTTAACCAACTGAGCCACCCAGGCACCCTGGCTTTATTTTTAACTTTCAAAATATGTTTAATTAACACCAGTGAGGTATAGTTTATATACAGTAAGTTATTTAAAGTGTATAATTGGTTGAGTTTTGACTTAAATTATTTTTGATACGAAATTTTACATTCAAGCCAGGGTATTTGCTCATTTTGTTTAAAGGCTTAAAAATCGCCATAATTTAAGGCTTAAATTATAGTAAATAAAGGCTTAAATTATAACATATAATTTAACATAAAAAATAAAGGCTTAAATTATAATAAATAAAGGCTTAAATTATAACACCATAGCACAAATAAAGGCTTAAAAATCGCCATAATTTAAGTCTTCACTTTAGCTCCTTGATATATATGTTAACTTTTATGGATGTGAGGTAGATTACGGTAATTTTGAATGGGACATTTAGTATGAAATAACTAATCAGTATTAAGAGATTACAACAGTGTGAGGCTTATTCTAAGCTTGCTCTACTTTATAATACTTTTTCTTCCCCATTTGTTTTTATATCACATCATTTAAAAATTCCAATTTGGGGGGCACCTGGGTGGCTCAGTTGGTTAAGCAACTGCCTTCGGCTCAGGTCACGGTCCTGGAGTCCCGGGATTGAGTCCCGCATCAATCCTGCATCATCGGGCTCCCTGCTCAGCAGGGAGTCTGCGTCTCTCTGTGACCCTCCCCCCTCTCATGTGCTCTCTCTGTCTCTCTTTCTCTCATTCTCTCTCTCAAATAAAGTCTTTTAAAAAAGTAAATAAAAATTCCAATTTGGTCTACATTTTATAATACAGTTGTACATGCATATAATTTATAGATTAATTGATAAACACTACATTTTGTGCTTTAATTGTTATCACAGGGCAAAAGACCTCTTAAGCATCTCTTTATTTCCTATTTTTTATGGTTTCTAAATCTCTGCCAGGGTTTTGGTGGAAATATTAACATTACTACATTTCTGTGGTCATTTACCTATATTTTTTTGTTATTACATGCATTAAAAAGTTACTGAGGAGGAAGTACCATTCTTTTAAAAAAAATAATTTGGGTAGGCTAAATGCTTTAAAAATTCTTTTATATACTTTTATGTTAATTTTAAAAATTAGGTGTGATTTTTATTTTTAGTATGGCTTTTTTTCCCTACTAAATTCTGGAGAAGTTAGTATGATTTAATTGAGTGTTGATGTTATTGAAGAATTCAGAGTTTGGCTGATGGAAAATATTAGTCACACCTCAGTGTAAATATCTTAGAAGGTTCAAAATTCCAGAAGATACATTGTACAGTTTTAAAATAAGCTGACAAAAATTCCGGTATTCTATTGATTTTTCAGTTGTCATTCCTGATTTATAATAGCAGATGTCTTCCTGGCTCATTTATTGTACTAAAAACATTCTGTATCCACCTTCCTATTGATGCCTTATCTCTTAATTTTTATTTAAGCTGGGAAGAAAGGCGAACTGCCTCTGGAAGAATTCAGTATCTAAACCATATAACAAGAACTACGCAATGGGAACGCCCAACACGGTAAGAACACATAAATGTCTTCCCGTGGTCTGTGCTTTTTGCCTTCTTGAATTCGTTACTTTCTGTTTATCTGTCAGCTTTACCAGATTTCCTTTCTTGGTTTATACTGCTCAAGATCAGTAGATCTTACAGCAAGTGCCAATATTATTTCCAAAAGTAATTTTCAGAAAAGATTGTTTAGTAGGTCATCCTGTTATTGTAGCTCTAGGGCCTGTGATGGTACTTAATAAATATTTATTAAATGAGTTAACTGAATAAATTGAGAAGTCATCTTATTTCTGGGACTCTTAAAAAAATTTTTTTTTGAGTCTGTTATTGAATGGCTGTAACAAAATATATATACTGGATCTTTATTTGTTCAGTCATGTCGGGGTATGATTATATTATTATATTGCATCCAGTAAGGTCTGTGACCAAGATAAGAACCAGATGCTCTGAGACCATATGGAGGACACCTAACTTAGAGTGGGGGGTAAGGGGATGTTAGAATCTGCAAAGGAAAACCCTGAAGGAGGAGAATTTCTGAACTAAATCTTGAATGTTAGAATTTAACCAGGTAAGGGGAAGGTGATGAAAAGTATTGAGTAGTGGTAACTGCTATCATTCAGTTCACCAAATGGTTATATGCCAATTACTATGGTCAGCATTTACACTGTAACAGTGAACAAGGCAGAAGGGCCTTCATGGAGCTTAATGTATAAAGATATGGGGATGCAAGATAATTTTCGGAAACTCCAAGGAAGTACTTTTTATTTTTATTTTTTAAGTATTTTATTTATTTGGGGCACCTGGGTGGCTAAGTCAATTAGCGTCTGCCTTCAGCTCAGGTCTAGCACCAGGTCCGGCTCCCTGCTCAGTGGGGAGCTTCTCCCTCTCTCTGCAGCCTCCCTGCTTATGCTCTCTCTCTTTCAGTCTCTCTCTCTCTGTCAAATACATAAATCTTAAGAAAAAAGATTTTATTTATTTATATGAGAGAGAGCGTCACGTGCCGGGGATGGGGCTGGAGGGGCAGAGGGAGAGACATTTTTATTTTACCTGAGCATAAATGAATGTGTACTTGTCAGTGCTTTAGTGAAGTCCCATTTCGTTCTAACTCATTTAACTGATGAAACTGACCTTAATTTCCACATGTATAAAGTTGATTGTGGTTGTAAAATGTTAGTTTAAAAATGAACTCTTGATTATCCTCTTATATTTTGGATGACCTGTCAGTATACTGGGAGTTCTTTGAAGAGTCACACCATCTTCTTTATTCATTCAATAAATATTTATGAGCTATTCTTATATATATATATATATATATATATATATATATATATATATATATATATACGCCAAGCACCATTCTAGGTGCAGGGGATATATATATTGGGAAACAAACTAGGTGGACTTTCTACTCTCAGTAAATATTCTAGTAAGGGAAAACAAACAAGAATGCAGATAAAAATTGCTATGCTGAGAAAGTAAGGTGATGTACTTATCAAATGCCTGGGTGATTACCTTCGAATTGAAGGTCTGGAAGGACCTCTCAGACATTTAAGCTTAAACTATGATTTGAATGACAAAAAGGAGCCCGGCCTAGGGAGAGTAGGAGAAAAAGCATTCTGGGTGGGAGGAAGAACTCCTTTCCAGCCCTAAAGGTAAAACAGTGTTGGCAAGTTCAAGGAGCAGGAGGAATGTCAGTGTGGCAGAAGTGGAGTGGGAGAAAGGTGGGAAGTCAGGTCCGAGAGGTAGGCTGAGGCTAAGTCAAGTCTTGCTTTGTTAACTAGTGCTCACATCTACAAATATATGTGGATTTCATATAAAATGTAATTCAAATCAGTATAAAATGATTTAAATACATAATTGACAATCTGCCTGTAACATGAGTTTGTTTGGTGTTTAGAGGCGTCAAGCTTGCTTTTATTCAGAGTTTTTGAAATCATTATATTTGTATTGATCATTCCATTTTCTTGTGATTGTTCCTGCAGTACATACATTGTCTAGAGAACTCTACCTTTGATATCTGAGTTGAGTAACTTTTCTTCCCCCTTACTTTTCAATAGACCAGCATCTGAATATTCAAGTCCCGGCAGACCTCTTAGCTGCTTTGTTGATGAGAACACTCCAGTTAGTGGAACAAATGGTGCAACGTGTGGACAGTCTTCAGATCCCAGGCTGGCCGAGAGGAGAGTCAGGTCACAGCGACATAGAAATTACATGAGCAGGACACATTTACATACTCCTCCAGACCTACCGGAAGGCTATGGTATGACTAGCAGAGGAAAAATAACGTGTGGCTTACTCATTTCAGCTTGCTAAGAAAGCCAGAAAATCAGCTTTAAAGAAGTTATTAATCTGGGTTTAGGGATTCTACATGAAAATAAATGTGTAAAACCTCCCAATCTGAAGTGTCTTTGAAGTGGTAGAGGACTACCTAACCAGCGGTTTGACTTGGGCTAGTCATTTAACCTCAGCCCTTTTGCTTTTTTATAATGAAATGAGATGAATGATGCCTCTCCTTGTCTCAGAGGTACCGTGAAGAGCATATGTAACAATGCGAGGGGACTTGCAAATAGGCACTCTATAAAGGTAAGATGGTATTGTTAGTGATAATAGTAATCTGAAGTCAGGCCTGCGATATATTTTCCAGACCTACATATTTAGAAATGCCATCAGAAATATGCTTTTGAAGTTATTTATATCTTTGTATTATCTATAATTTTGGATTATCTGCATGATTTGGGTTATTGTTGTAAATGATTTAGTCACTTCTCTGTTTGTATAAAATTATTATAATCTTATATAATTTCCTAAATTGTAGAATTTCATGTGGAAGATGACTTGAATCTTCTGTTGGATACAGAACTTTCTAAATTAATCACGACCTGTGAATACTCTCGTAGATACTAGGAACTCAGCTGTCTTCTTCTTTCTTGCCAAAAGTTAACCAAAGTAATTATATCCTTGCCCTCAAAACAGCCTGTAGATAAACCATATCTGGGCTGATGGTGACACCTAATGACCAACATTGGGAATCGCCTGATCTAACTTGAGTTTTATTTTTCCTCTACAGTATGTTTTAAACTGTTCTGCAAATGCATGATTCTAGCTTTATTTTTTAAATATATTTTAACTTTTTTTTTTAAAGATTTTATTTATTTATTTGAAAGAATGAGAGAGAGAGAGCGCGCACATGAGAGGGGGGAGGGTCAGAGGGAGAAGCAGACTCCCTAATGAGCAGGGAGCCCGATGCGGGACTCGATCCTGGGACTCCAGGATCATGACCTGAGCCGAAGGCAGTTGCTTAACCAACTGAGCCACCCAGGCGCCCTATTTTAACTCTTTAATTAAAAATTTGTCTATTAACTATGCTGTGCTGCACAGGTTAACCTAAGTAGCACAGTGACGAGAGCATGGCCTTGGGAGACAGACAGACCTGGGCTTATATCCTGGTTCATTATTTAGTTTCTCTGAGCCTCAATTTTATCTTCCATAAAATGGGGAAATTGATGATGATTTCAGGTGTTGGTTTCATGTGAAGTGTCTGACACAGTTTCTAGCATAGAAAGCACTTAGTAAACTTTGCCTGTTATTATTAGCATTCAGACCTTACAATAAAGTATTTTTTGTCATTACTCTTTAATTGAGATTATAAGGCAAGCTGTTTGGAGGTGGGGGTGGTTATATTTTTACAATATTTGTGTGATTTGGATTAAAAACAAATTTTGTACAATCAAAACCTGGGAGTAAAGTGAGTACCATGGCTGGAATTATTTCAGCTGTCATCTGTCACCAATTTTAAACATTTTTATGTTTATAATTTTAAGAAGCTTAAAGTTTAAATTGACTTTATTATAGGCTTATAAGCAAATTTATACTAATAAATATTAGCAATAGTTGTATTGTTTTATATGTTGGAATTTTTCATTAGATTTTGTTTAAGGACAAGTGGTTCTGTTGCTTAAAAACACAATTAGGACTAAAAACCACCGTTGAAGAAACTTTTCCATAGATTCCTTCCCTTTTGCCCCAGCTTCCTTATTCTCTTCCCAAGGGCTGAGAGTTAATTCTGCCTTTGACCTTTTTCTCCCCAGAATGCATGCTTGTTCTCTGGTCTTCCTCTTTCTAACTTTTTATTTTTGCATTTTGTCTATTTTTGGCTATAGAGTGTCTCCCCTTTTAAAATGGCAAAAAAATTCCATCTTTTTTGCCTTTGTTTGAGTTTAAATGGTAGTCTTGAGAAAACACCTCTCTCAAGAAAAAAACTTAAGTTTTGATATGAAATTAGGCATAATAAACAAGCATTACCAGCCTGCAAACCCTTTAAAAGTTTTTACAAGTCCTTGCAGAATCTCCCCGCAGTTGGTTAGCCTCTTCCTCTGAGCTTTCTTTTGTTTCCCCTCAGGCTCCACTTTAAGACAAATAAAAGATCATTTCTTCATGTTTGTTTTGTTGAAATGTTGGTGCTGTGACAATCTCGTTTTCTCTTTTCCTTAGCAACATATTTAGTATCTGAGCCACATTATAAATGTAGTTGGCTTTCAGATAGCTGGCCTCTCTAACCCTCATCACCATTTATAAGATTGTTTCCAGGAGAAAATGTATTGAGTTGAAAAAGAATGATTTATAAAGCATTTTTTGGTAATGCAATAGATTGGTAATTTGGAGCATTTAACTATTGATATAATTATCATCCTAGTGTCTATAGCTGTCTTTGATTCGGACATTCTGAATATGTTTATTAGTGTTTCTTAATTTTACAGAACAGAGGACAACACAGCAAGGTCAGGTGTATTTCTTACATACTCAGACTGGTGTGAGCACGTGGCATGATCCAAGAGTGCCTAGGTAAGAACATATCCAAATACTTCTCACACCGATGGATACCTTTTTACCTAGGATTTCTTTGATTATTTAATCTTCAACTTACAATGGTTTATGTAAAAGTTAGGCTCTTTGTGACAGTCATTTCAGTTGACATTTAGTAGAAAGGCTTTCCTGTTTCTCTGCAGTCTCACCCCAGTGCCCTGCCCCCAGCCAGCCCCCAGTCCTTCTACGCTCTCGCCCTTAAGAAAAAAAAAAATCAGGGTGAAAACGTGGGTCTTTTAGGAATTTGAAAATTAACCCGGAGAAGAACACAAAAACCTTACAAAACATACATCCCCTCCCCCCCCCTTTTTAAGGGTAATAAATTAATATTTTAATTTTTAGTTAGGCCTTTTAAAAAAGAGGTTTATTTATTTTAACCTAATGTGAGAGTATTCAATGTTCTTTTATGTATTCCTTAATAAAGTTTCATTTTAATATAAAAAAGAAATAACCTAATTAAATCTTATTTATTTAGGACGTTTGTCACTTTTTTTTTTTGCTTCAGCTGGTACTATCATGTGATTTTTCTCTTTTATTCCATTAATATGACATTACATTGATCAGTTTTCAAATACTGAACCAGTCTTGCACCCTTGGAATAAACCTCACTTCGTTGTGGTGTCTCATGAATTAAATTTCTTTTAAGTACCAGAACTTGTACATTTAAACTGTAGGCCTTGTTGAATGCATTTACTAACCCAAATGTCGCTTTCTTTTAACTTGAAGAAGATGGAATGACATACAAATCAACTTAGTAATTTAACATAATTTTTGATACATTTTAATATCAAATAAGTTTTTCAAACACTGTTTAGCTCTTTTGAGTTACTGAACAGATGCAAAGTGTCAAGTAGTTCAGTTGAAGCTACAAAAAAGGTTGAGTTCTAAATTCTAAATCAACTTGGTATGCTGCATATATACCTTTATGAGATGAAGATATTTTATATTCTAAGTGTACCATTCTTTTCCTCCAAAAAAAAAAAAAAAAAAAGACCATGGAGCATGAAGAGATCATTTTCTGCCCTAAGCTTATACTCACAGCTCTACTTGTCAAAAGTCTTGCATTTGAATCAAAAACAGATGTGACTAGCTGATCTTGGATTGCTTTGATACTCTGTATTTACAGTGGACCCTTGAACAATGCAGGATTAGGGGCACCGACCACCCGCACAGTCAAAAATCTGTGTAACTTTTGACTCCTCCAGAACTTTGCTAATAGCCCCCTGTTGACCGTAAGCCTTACCGATAACATAAATGGTTGATTAACACATATTTTGTATGTTATATGTATTACAAATGTATTCTTACAAAAAAGTAAGCTACAGAAAAAACATTAAGGAAATCCTAAGGAAAGGAAAACACATTTATAGTTAAGTACTGTTCTGTAAAAAATCTGTATGTAAGTGGACCCACACACTTTAAACTTGTATTATTCAAGGGCCAACTGATACTTATAAATGAAGCTATTATAATGTAAATGTTTTACTTTGTGATACAGCTTAATTAGAATCTTTTGAGGGTGGCAACCAAGGAATGTGCTATCATTTTCATTATTCTATCAAGGTTGCCATTTCTGTTTCTTGATAATACAAACTGTTTAAAAAGTAGTGGGGAAGAAATTTTGTTTTATTAATAAGCTTACTGAAAAAAGCTAAGGGCCTAACTTTTAGAAACATGAGTTTTGTTATTATAAATTAGGAAAAGAAGTGTTTTGGATTCTGTTTATCAAATTGTAGGTCAATAATGAGCTTTTTATAAAATAATTTAAAATTTATATAAAACAAAAATGATTTTTTTTAAACTAAATGATTTACAATAGTGAGAAAGTTGATCTTGAGTTATCCGTTGAAAGAATACTATGTAAACTGGCACCAGAAGTTGAAATTGAGAGAGATTTGGGGACCACCTTTGATAATGTTTCTTATTCCTAAGGAAACATGTCAGTTTTTCATTTATGAATAAAGGGTTTCTGTACAGGTTTAAGAATATTTTATGTTGAGTATTGAATAATGACTTTAAAATAGTGCTCTGGATTATTTTTCCTTAGTCTCTATGTTCCAAATTGTTAATGTAAAAATGTGTATCATATCTTTTGTTTTGGAGGATCCTGTAAGTAAAGATGCCTTTTTGTATGGAGGACCTTTTGTCAAAGCAGACCATGAATACTTAGATTATATTAAAATATCATCACTGTTCAAAGACATTTATAAAATAGTGTAGCTCAGACACTTTAATTTTATAAGACATCCAGTAAACTTAGATTTATCTGAGAAGTCCCATTTTTGCCATCTTTTGCATTTCTCTTTAAAACCGTGATTAATGCCTTGTTATTCATTACATTTCACCCTGACTATGTAGTCTTGTGGTACAGATCTGTATCTTTATGGCTGTATAACATTCCATTTTTCTTTAATCTTTTCCTAATTGGGCATAAAGATTGCTTCCAGTTTTTTGCTCTTTTAACCCATTCTTTAGAACTCTCCCACATATGACTATAGATTTATAAAATTCTAAATAAAATGATATAAAACCAAATTCTGCATTATATCAAAAGAATTATTTGATTTCAGTAATCGCTTTTCAATTCTAAGTTACATTTAAAAAATCCATTTAAAAAGTTACATTTAAAAAGTTACAAATTTAAAAATCTGTTCATTCATTTTTTTTTTTTCTTTAAAGATTTTATTTATTTATTCGACAGCAAGACACAGCGAGAGAGGGAACACAAGCAGGGGGAGTGGGAGAGGGAGAAGCAGTCTTCCCGCCACGCAGGGAGCCTGATGCGGGGCTCCATCCCCGGACCCTGGGATCATGACCTGAGCCGAAGGCAGATGCTCAACGACTGAGCCACCCAGGCGCCTCTCCATCTGTTCATTCTTAATAATCTCTCATTGATAGTTTGTCTTTGTAATTATTCCCCTCCCCCCCTTTTTTAACTTGCATATCATAGCCGTTCTGTTTGATCTCTGACAGTATTTAGGGATCTAATTCTGTGGTTTATTGTTTCCACTCACTCTCAGTCATCATGACTTTTCTTTCTGGAGTGTGTGGTGATCTTTGGGAGTTTGATCTTTAATTGGTTGGAGTTTTGTGGACCTAAAATGGGAATTTAGGAAGTTTTCCTGAATCATTTCATCTTCCCTTTGAGTTCTTGGCTTAGTGGGGAAGTTCCAGATTTCCTTTCCCAAACTTCCTGCTGGCCTGGGGCTGAGTTTCCCAGTTAACAACTACTCTCTGGCAGCCCTACCCCTCTGCCCGCCCACCTGCCTGATGCCATCAGCTCCAGCTCCAGCCACCCGGTGTGTGTGTGTGGGGGGGGGGTGTTGTTTTTATTTTGTTTTTTGTTGTTGTTTTTTTTTAATTTGAGGAGGATTCTTGGAACTTTTTCTCTCTCCTCTTTTGAGGCTAGCAGTGTATTTTCTAAGCTTTAGTTGTTCTGTAGCAGAGTCTCTTGGACCTATAAGCAGAAGTCAAATCATTGTTTCAACAAATCTATGGGTGCTTAGATGTGTCCATCATTATGCTTCACCATGACCAAGAAGAGGTTATTTCAGGAAAATCTTTTTCTAGTTTAACTTTTAAAAGAAGATTTCTAGTTTAACTTTTAAAACATGAGATTAATCATTACAGTTATCTGTTACAATTTGTTTACATTAGACATGTTTTTATTTTATTCTTTAAGGTTTTGTAAATCTTTGTCTATATATAATAGTATTTTAAGAATGTGTAATACAGTAACAGTGGTCTTTGATCCATTAAGAGTCTTTTTGCATTTTTTTTTTTTTACTGTAGCAGTAAGCTTTAGAGCATTTTTCCTTAGGTGTCTTAAAAAGGTTCTTCATTCACTAGCTTTATAGCTTTCAAAATTCAAAGTGGAACATTTTTCCTTTAATATATATACTGTGATTATTTTCAGGGTCTCTAAATCAAATAACCTTTCCAGTGTTGCTTTGTTGGAGAGTTTAAGATTAATATGGAGCGAACATTTAGTTACACAGATTTTATGTGTAATGAAAGTAATAATTGAAGGGAAATTTTAGAAAACATTTCATTCCTTATGTCACTGACATTTGTAAAACTTTTGTCAGACAAGTATTGAAGCTCAGTTTATGTTGGCAAATGTTGTGATTGCTTTTATATTAATTTAAAATCTGTATTACATTAAAGCCCAGGAATGAACTTACTAAAAATGTAGGTTATGTGATAAGTTCCTGAGCCATTGATGAATTGGGTTTTGAATATGCAAGTTTGTTAAGCCATTGGGAATTAAATATTCTAGCTGAACATCTCAGGTTTCTGAAACAATACATTTTCTCAGACTTCATGGAATTGTTCTGTGTCATTTACACTTGCCTGGCCCAGCAGGCCCAGCAATGAGGTATTTTTTTATTTTATATTTGTTTTTGCAGGGATCTTAGCAACATCAATTGTGAAGAGCTTGGTCCACTGCCTCCTGGATGGGAGATCCGTAATACTGCAACAGGCAGAGTTTATTTCGTTGACCATAACAACAGAACAACACAGTTTACAGATCCTCGGCTCTCTGCTAACTTGCATTTAGTTCTAAAGTAAGTTTTTGAAACAATACATGTTAAAATGCAAGCCAGAACAAGAAAAGCCTAAAGATGCTTTTTGTAATATAATAGAATGTCTGCTCTCTTCAATTATAAATTACTTTTGTTGGATGAAATTTTATGTAAGAATATGACATGTTTTGGGCGCCTAGGTGGCTCAGTTGGTTGAGCGACTGCCTTCAGCTCAGGTCTTGGTCCTGGAGTCCCGGGATCGAGTGCCGCATCGGGCTACCTGCTAAGCAGGGAGTCTGCTTCTCCCTCTGACCCTCCCCCCTCTCATGCTCTATCTCATTCTCTCAAATACATTAAAAAAAAAATCTTTGAAAAAAAAAAAAGAATATGACCTGTTTTATTTTCATACATGAGTATTTTAAACCCCTGTGCTTAATTAGGAACCTATCCTGGAGTGTTAAGGAAAGGGTATGTACCAAAGGTGCATCATAGCACACTTGAAGAGACAAGATGCTTTACAGGGTAGATATTTTTTATTTTTTCCCTGAGTGCATCAGAAATAGCTCCAGGATAGCTGAACCCATCCCAGAGGATTTTTTTTTTTAAATCATCTTTATTGAAGTGTACATGGCATACAATAAACTGCATATTTAAAGTGTACAATTTAAGTTTTGACATATTATGCATCTATGAAACCATCACCACAATGTAAATAGTGAACATATCCATCATCCCCCCAAATTGCCTTGTGCTTCTTTGTTAAGTCTTCCTCCTGGAGGGCTACCCCCTGTATTCGTTTCCTAGGGCTGCCATAATAAAGTATCGCACACAGGGTGGTGTAAAACAACAGGAATTCGTTCTTGCACAGTCCTGGAGGCTAGATGTTTAGAATCAAGTTGTCAGCAGAGTTGGTTCCCTCAGGAGGCTCTGATGGAGAATGTTCCTTGCCCCTCTCCTAGCTTCTGGTGGTGGCCGGCAAAACTGGCTCTTTCTTGGCTTATAGACACATCATCTCTTTGTCTTCATTTTCACATGGCCTTCTGTGATCTCTTTCTACACACAAATCTTCTTACCCCAAATGTGTGGGTTTTTCCCTCAAACCTTCCAGTTCTCCAGATCTCGGGATACCAACTGAGTGTGCAACGATTGAATTCAGGTCTGACACTACCTGCAATCAGCATCAGATCCCACAGGTTAAGGGCTCAGTCTCACAAGAGCATCACCACTTCAGAAGCCAATCCCAAGTACCAAGTCATCTGTACTACTTTTTTTTTTTTTAATATTTTATTTATTTATTTGACAGAGACACAGCGAGAGAGGGAACACAAGCAGGGGGAGTGGGAGAGGGAGAAGCAGGCTTCCCGCGGAGCAGGGAGCCTGATGCGGGGCTCGATCCCAGGACCCTGAGATCATGACTTGAGCGGAAGGCAGACGCTTAACCGACTGAGCCACCCAGGCGCCCCAAGTCATCTGTACTTCTTATTGACTGGCTGTAAATTGGGGAGTTCCCATGACTCCCTCTTTGGGTTCAGTAGTTTGCTAGAATGGTTCACAGAACTCAAGGAAATACTTTATTTGCCATTACATTTATTATAAAGGATACAACTCAGGAACAGCCAAATGGAAGAGGTGCACAGGGCAAGGTGTGGGGATGGGGGAACTTAGAGCTCCCAGGCCCTCTCCAGGTGCTTCACCCTCCCAGTGCCTCAGTGTATTCTCCAGCCTGGAAGCTCTCTGCACACCGTCATCTGGAGGTTTTTATGGAGATGTCATACATAGGCATGATCAATTATTAACTCAAACTCCAATTCTCTCCCCTCCTCAGAGGTTGGGAGGATGGGGCTGGAAGTTCAGGCTTCTAATCAGGCTTTGGTTTTTCTAGCAACCAGGTCCCATCCTGAAGATATCTAGGGCGCCACCAATAGTCACCTCATTAAAACTAAAAATGCTCCTATACCCAGGAAATTCTAAGGGATTTAGGAGCTCCTGTCAAACCGGAGGCAAAGACCAAATATTAGAACAAAGGACATTCCTATCATATCTGTCACTCCAGAAACTGCAAGGATTTTAGGAATTCTGTGTCAGGAACTGGGACAAATGCCAAGGTTTATTTCTTATTCTACACCTTTTTGTATGTCTGGATCGGAATTTCCCTCTTTTTAAAAGGATACCAGTTTATTGCATTTAGGGCAGTATGACCTCCTCTTAGTACAAAGACTCTATTTCTAAATAAGGTCACATTCACAGGTACCAAGGGTTAGGACTTCAACACATCTCTTTGGACACAATTCAGTCCAAAACACACTCCATCTTCAGCTAACCACGTATCTGCTTTCTGTCACTATATATTAGTTGGTATTTTGTAGAGTATATTAAATGCATTCCTGCAGTATGTGGTCTTTTTTCTTTTACCCAGCGTAATTATTTGAGATTCATCTCTCTTGTGTGTATAGTTCATTTATTTTCTTTGCTGTTGGTATTCCATTATATGGATATACTACAATTTATTTATCCGTTTACCTGTTGATGGACATTTGGATTATTCCCAGTTTTTGGTCATGACAGATAAAACTATTATGGATGTTTATGTATAAGCTTTTATATGGACATATGCTCTCACTCCTCTTAGATAAATGAGCGTCTAGGAGTAGAATGGCTACATCATATGATAGATTTATGTTTAACTTTAAAAAAAACTGGCAGGTTGTTTTTCAAAGTGATTTTATCATTTGACATTCCCCGTAGCAATGTGTGAGAGTTGTAGTCGCTCCACACCCTTGCTAACATTGGGTATGGTTAATCTTACTAAATTTAGACCCTCCAGTAGGTGTATGGTGGTATCGCATTGTAGTTTTAAGTTGAATTTCTCTTCTGACTAATGACGTGCATCTTTTCATGTGCTTATTTACCATCTGTGTATCTTATTTGGTGAAATATTTTGCCTCCTTTTTAAAAAAATTGAGTTGTTCATTTATTTAATTTTTGAGTTTTTAGCATTCTTTAGATATTTTAGAGTCCTAAAATATCAAACATATGCTTTGGGAAAGATTTTCTCCTAATCCATGACTTGTCTTTTCATTTTCTTAACAGTATCTTTTGAAATTTTGATGAAGTTCAATTTTTCCATTTGTTCTTTTGTGGATTGTGCTTTTGGTGTCACCTCTAAGAAATCTTAGCCTAACACAGGTCGTGAAAATTTTCTTCTGTGTTTCAGAAGTTTTATGGCTTTCAGTTTTACATTGAGGTCTCTGATCGATTTTGAATTAAATTTTTGTGTGTGGTATGAGGTATACCCAAGTTCGTTTTTTTTGCATAGGATTAATTTAGCTGTTTAGGGAGTATCTTTAATATATATTCTGTTTCGATTTTGTTTATATGTGTGTATAAAAAACACTTTTAATGTTTATGAGAATAGTAAATAGTGATTTATGATTTTCATCAAAGCTGTATTTTCTCTGGGAAGTTACATGTTTCAGGAATAAAATTTGGCCGGTACATAAGAATCACTGTATGTAAAATAAGTTTTGGGTGATTTGTTAGAGACCTTAAGGTTACTTTTGTTTATTTTATCATAGCTACCACTGCCCTTTGCCTTTAGGTTAGGAAATAGTGCTCCTGTCTGTTGTGTGTAAAAGTAAACTCCAAAATGATTGAGTGCATGGGCATCAGTAGTGAATTATTGGATTTTTTATTTCCTGATGGTTTATTGGAATTAAGTAGTTCATTGTAACATCAGGTTCTTTAAAAAAAAAATTCTTAGGTGTAACTTACAATATTTTTGCCGGGAGAATAAAAATATCAGTAGGCAATGTGCCCTTTTAAAAGTATTTCTGCTGTCCTTCGTGTATTTGTGGTAAACCATATATGTGCACATTTGGAAATCACTTTAGCACAACAATGTGTATGTGCTTAATGCCACTGACTATATATTAGAAAAAGGTTAAAATGGTAAATTTTATGTGATGTATATTTTACCACAATAAAAAGAAAAGCAGTCATTTTATAAGGCATTTAGACATGTTTGTAATGTGTTCATTTCTCTGTGCCAGTAACTTGCATGTGACCTTCCACATTCTTGTGGTCTAGACTTAGCACGTATAGGAAAAAGGGCTCCTGCCAAACTACTGGCTCGAACTGTCTCTTCCAGAGAGACAGACTCTAGATAACGGGCACAGGGTTGGACATGTGCCTGAATTTTAAAATGGGTGGTGGTCAACTATGCAGAAAAAAATGGAGAATGGTATTTGAGAAATTTATTCTCAGCAGCTGCATAAAGCTGAATGGATACAACTCTGTTGTTTGATTCTATAAATTTGCGTTCTGAGAAATAAACTTTGGCGGTAGTTTATCATCATCAAAAATGTCAAGCCAAGAATATCACAAGGCCTGAAAGTTATACAGGTAGATTTGCTTTCTAGTATGATGCTTTTTTAAATGTGTAATTGCAGTCTGTTTGATTTAAAATAATAGCATTTCTGTTTACTTTTAGTCGGCAGAACCAGTTGAAAGACCAACAGCAACAGCAAGTGGTATCGTTATGCCCCGAGGACGCAGAGTGTCTGACAGTCCCACGGTACAAGCGAGACCTGGTTCAGAAACTAAAAATTTTGCGGCAGGAACTTTCCCAACAACAGCCTCAAGCTGGTCATTGCCGCATTGAAGTTTCCAGGGAAGAGATTTTTGAGGTAAATTTATAAGTCTTAAAATAGAGAAAAATTAAATTTCAGTGTTTCACTGTTTTCTAAAAATACTTTCTGGAATTCCTATCTCTCTAGAGTGGGAGAGTTTTCATTAAGTTCTTTCTTAATTGTGGGGAATAAAGGCAGTAATAGCAGAGATTTCATCTAGAAGGTAAACATTTAAATGGGATGAGTGTGAAGAGTGTGAAGGAAGAATGTGAAATATTCCAGTTGGTTCAGCTTGGTTCTCTGCATTGCAAATACTTGTTTGTTAATGAATTTTAATATATATATATTTTTAAAGTAAACTTTACACCCACAGTGGGGCTTGACCTCAAAACCCTGAGATCAAGAGTTGCATGCTCCATCACCAGCCAGGTGCCCCTGCCCTGTTAATGAGTTTTAAAAGACCACAAATATTATCCACCCCTTACTTTCTAATTCTTCAAAAGATGAGTGACTTTTAAGTCAAAAAATCATTTTGTTTAATTCTTTTTATTTATTTTTATTATTTTTTTAAGATGTTATTTATTTATTTGACAGAGAGAGATACAGTGAGAGAGGGAACACAAGCAGGGGGAGTGGGAGAGGGAGAAGCAGGCTTCCCACTGAGCAGGGAGCCCGATGCGGGGCTCGATCCCAGGACCCTGGGATCATGACCTGAGCAGAAGGCAGACGCTTAATGACTGAGCCACCCAGGCGCCCCATTTTGTTTAATTCGTTTTGGACTACTTCCTTAATTTATTGAAAATCTTCCTTTCTCGTATATTCTTTTATCTTTGGTCTTTATAGCCCTACCATCACCTTCAAAGTTCTTCCATAGTAAGTGGCAGAGGTCCAAAGCAGGGGTTTCCCACTCATTAGAGGATTCATGGGTAAAAGATGTTTGGGGATTTGATAACCTTTTTCCTAAAGGATGAACTTTTTTCTCTCAGGACAATTCCGACCTTGTTTGTAAGTCAGTCGTTTGTATTTTAAAATAATATGAAGATGCTGGTTTAATGAAGATCACATAAATGATTAGTTACGTTCTTTTGAACTTTCTTTTTCTCATCTTTACTTTCTTTTGGTGCCTGTGACCTAGAATTAGGTCAACCAACTTTTAAAAATTTGGTACTTTTATCAAATTCTGTAATGTGTGTAGTCATTGCTGTGGTTCATAGAACTTAAATATGGAGTTTTGTACTTTGGTTGTTAATATAATATTTATCAAGTGAATTAATTTCAGCAGTATTAAGCTATAGCCATCTTGTTTTTACAAGTTCCATGAAGTTTCAAACACTTGGAGTTTATCCATTGATTTGATTGTTGAACAAATTTCATCTTATTCCAATAAATGTATGTTTTATAGGTAGAATGCAAGGGAGAGTTTAAATAACAAGTTTAAAGCACCTAGTAACAATAGTATGTAATATTTTTTTCAGGAATCATATCGGCAGGTCATGAAAATGAGACCAAAAGATCTGTGGAAGCGATTAATGATAAAATTTCGTGGAGAAGAAGGCCTTGACTATGGAGGGGTTGCCAGGTAGAGACTTGCTCATGAGTAAATGACATGTGGTTATATTTACAGGTCTAAGATACTTCCCGTGGTGAACTTTCTCACTGATACTTATTTTCTAGTGTAACATTCCCTAATTTTTGCAATACAGAGGATATCCTAATAGATATGTTCGTGATGAGGTTGGAGCAGTACTGCCACAGAGTAATCGAGAACTCCCTACTGGATTATCCAGCCCGGCGAGACTTCCTCCAAAAGTAGCTGCAGCCCTGCATGGGCAGTGGTGGGCCACCCGGGCCCTGCATGCTTGCCATCTCTCTCCTTCATTATGTGTTATTCCCTCTGCTTTACATCATTAGGAACTGTCTGGAGATTTTAATGACGTTTTCCTTTGCTCCCATTGCCATGCTTTTTAACCTTGTTAAAGTGACGTCTATGTGTGCATGTAAGTATGGAAGCAGGTGTGTACATATGTATATAAGTGGTCTTTAAAATATTTCAGTACAGAAGCTGTAATGTTTTTATGCTACATTCAAACATACATTTTTTTTTTTTTTACAGGTGTGAAAATTTACTTTATGTAGATGTAGCAGAAACATTATAGCTTCTCTACTGAAACGTCCTAAGGACCATCGTGATAATTCTGCTATCCCGAATCTAAATCCAGCCTAAATTAAATTTGTGTTTCCACCAAGTTCCATTTCTGGTTTTCACCTGTAGGCTTATTTTTGTTCTGTGGCCTTTTTACCGATAAACGGATAGTTTCTTTAGTTTGGAATTTTAGAATTGATCACATGTACATCATACTTAGGGCTTGGTAGTTTCTGTGGAATTCTTACAATTCGCTCATAACTAGATTTGAATGCTTCTTGGGAAAACTTGTTAATTATCTGCTGATGGAATCTAAATGCTGTAACTATATATATAGTCAAGTAAGTAGTCAGTTTTTTGTTGTTTATTTCTTAACCTCACTATTGTCAGGGTTTGGGCAGACTAAGTGCGATGTGGCAGTGAAATGCTTTTTCTGCTCTTTATTGCATAGTAGAACCCCAGAGTAGCTGGGATCTGCTTACCATGTGTGTTCTAAATACTTGGTAAAACAAAACAAATATTTGGGTTTTCTTTAAAATAATGCATGAAAAAGCATGGAAGACATGTCAGGTGAGCTTGTTAAGTGTGTTGACTAGCTTGCTTATATGGAGACCTCCCTCACTTCCTTTTTTAATCTCTAGAGTTTTTCCAGTATTACATAAATGGTAGTGATTTGATTTAGACTCCATCACTTACAGAACTTTGAAACATTTTTCTTTAAGTACTTGTCAGTAGTGTTTCACTGCGTTTCCTAAAAACATTATTCAGTCTGTTTGTTTGTTTTAGGTTTTATTTATTTGAGAGAGAGAGCGAGAGCGCAGACATGAGCAGGGGGAGGGGCAGAAGGAGAAGCAGACTCCCCGCAGAGCAGAGAGCCCAATGCGATGCCAGGGACCAATCCCAGGACCCTGGGATCATGACCTGAGCCAAAGGCAGACGCTTAACAGACTGAGCCACCCAGGCGCTCCTCAGTCTGTTTAATCCATAATACCAGGACATATTTAAATACCTTTCCTAGTGGAAGAATGACAAGAATTGAGACTAGAACTACATCTCTTTAAGTCCTAGACTAGTGATTTTGTTTTACCAAGATGAATAACAAGTTAACCTTTCATACTTTGAGAAACATGAAGGATTTAATAAGTTTCAGGTGACAGTCCTATTTATTACGTGGTTTTTAAAACACTGATGTACACTTGAAACCAATTACTATGGAACCTACCCCCCAAATGCAGGCTTGCTCTTGTGTTCCTACCTATACCAAATGCCTTGCCGTGTCTGATCACTTCATACTTTTCTTATGGTATATTTTAAGGTATACACAAAAAAAGATGATGAAATGGGATAATTTCCTTACTAAACAAAATCAACAACAAAATAGAGCCTTGTCCAAAAGTGAGAGTAAATCAATGCTATAAGATTTATCAGTATAAACCAGTATAAATGGGCCATGGTGGCAATGGACCAGAATAGTATAGACCACATGGATGTTTTGAAACAAAGCCATATTCTTCCCTTCATTTTATATTTATCCTGGATTAGAAATTTATTTAGTAATTAAGTAGGTAACAGACCACTAGACTGCAGCATCTAATGAGTAGTTGGCACTTCTGGATAATACCTTTATACTCTCTGATACTGAAATGTCATAAAATTGCCCTAAATAGAGTGAGAAGTAACTTCAGTATAACAAAACAAGAGTTCATTTGCTTTTTTGGGCCTGGTAGATTTTTCCAATGTCATTTTATAGAACTAGTTAGTGCTGCTTTATTTTCTTTTATTTAAAAAATTCCTTGCTAAAATAGCATATTTTAATGAAAATATTCATTGACAAAAAAATTCCTGTGTCCTATCTTGCTTTCTAGGGAGTGGTTATATCTGTTGTCACATGAAATGTTGAATCCTTACTATGGCCTCTTCCAGTATTCAAGAGATGATATCTATACCTTGCAGATCAATCCTGATTCTGCGGTTAATCCGGTAAGATTGGTGGTTATGATGATGTGAATTAACTTGTGACCTATAATGCTTTTCATTTGAAATGTCAGTGTAGTTTAGGATTACTGTCCTTGTCCTAGTCACAACCTACCTAGCAAGTCCTCTTTTAGAAAATTTTCTCAAGTAAACGATTATGGATATATGCAGTAATTTGTGCACAGGGATGAAAACTGCATCATTTAAAGTAGCCCTAATTGGAAGCAACATCATTGTCCATAGAAGAGGGATTGAATAAATTATGATATGAAGCAAAATTACATTAACAGTTAAGAGCATAGGGTCTGGAATTAGAAAAACATGAGATCATATATCCTGGTCCTGTTACTTACTAGCTTTATGATTAAGCCTCAATTTTATCATTGTTAATAATAATAAACATAGTTCGAACCTCAGAAGGGTTGTGACAATTAAGTGGGACCCTGCACAGTAGGTATTCAGCATAGTGATGTACATTGTTCACCCTATTATATATTATTTAAGCACTCAGCAGAAGTTAGTAGCTGTTAATTAATCTGTTGTTTTTATATTATGTCTATTAGCTTTCCATACAAGGGCATACTATATAGCCACGAAAATGACACTGTGGGACAGTAGTTAATGACAAAGTGTTCATGATATATTAAGTGAAAAGAAAGTTACAAAATAAGATGATACAATTTTGGTAAATACATATATGTGTAAACCAGCATAATACTGACGGGGGTTATCTCCAGGTATTAGATTAAGGGTGATTTTTTGTTTTTGCTTGTCTATTTTCTAAATATTTTCTTAAAAAAAAAAACAAAACAATAAACACCTATTTTCAAGATAAAAGGGAGGGTTAAAGATGAGCTTAAAGATTACTTATTAACTAGAGAAGTAAAAAAAAATTTAAAATGCCAATAACTAACAGTTTATCATGAAAGACCAGATATATCCAAACATGGTAGAAATGTTAGGTTCATTGCAGAGAAATTTTATAAAGGGAAGATTTTTAGGTGAAGGCTCTGCTTGGGGAGCCCATTACTGTCACTGTATTAATAATAGCTTGTGTTTGTTGAATGTTTACCATATGCCCATCCAGTGCCATGAGCATCATCATCTCATTTTACTCCTTGCAGAGACCTGTTTGAGATACTGTTATTACCCTCATTTTTCCAGATGTGGAAAATGAGTCCTATAGGAGTGAAGTAATTTACCCAAATATGCATGGCTAGTAACTGGCAGAATTAGGGCTCTGGTCCAAGTTAGACATGAAATCTGTGCTCTTAAATCTATGGTGTTCTGAAGTTCAGAATATGGTTAGGCCAAGGAAATAGGGAGGTTTAATATTGAAAGCTTTTTTTCCACAACAGAGTCAGGATTGTAAAGGGCTCAGTAGGTAACAAAAGGAGAGGAAGAGTAATCTGAGTGGTTTCATGAAGCTACAGTGGGGAATGTAATTTGGACTTAATTTCTAAAGATAATTTTTACAAAGTGACTGTACTCTCTGGGAGAAGCTTGTCCCTGGTGTAATATTTTAGCAATGGAGAGAACTTTGAACATGCCCTACAGAAACTCTCCCTATTGATAATTGACCTTTGATATGACAGCCTTTTCCACTTAAATAAATTGTAGAGTATAAATTGATACTTATAAAAAAGATGAATGCTGCTTAATTTTTATTAAAAATTCCCTGCATGTGTCTAACTTGAGTATTTATATAAACTTTTCTCGATTTCAGGAACATTTATCATATTTCCACTTTGTTGGACGAATAATGGGAATGGCTGTGTTTCATGGACATTATATTGATGGTGGTTTCACATTGCCTTTTTATAAACAGTTGCTTGGGAAGTCAATTACTTTGGATGACATGGAGTTAGTTGATCCAGATCTTCATAACAGTTTGGTGTGGATACTGTATGTATGGAGTCTTGTATCTGCTCATTATAGTTAGAATCTGAGCCTTAAAAAAATATACATGTTTCAAAATGGATATACTTTTTTAAAAAAAAATGATGCACAGAGAATATTGAGATTATTTGAGTGTTAGGACTTCACTCTTTCTGCTGCTTTCCTGTGTAGTTCAGATTCCTAAAAGTTAGTGCTACTACTTTAAAAAGGAAAAAAACTAGTATATTCTGTTTTAAAAAGTAGCACATGCAATGATTTCCTCAGCATGATACAAGTGCTGTTCCAATCCTGCATGTGTGAGAATAGGGAATTCCTGTTGAAGTAGTGATTGTAGAAACCATACTTTGGAAAGGGTATCTGTAAGATTCAGTTCTGTTTTGTCAGAGGTCATTTGTTTATGAATATACATTGGCCATACTTACAAAAGTGGCTTTCTCATGGGACACTCAGGCGTTTGGTTGCATGGGGGTACGCAGATTCAAACAGAGCTTCTTACTTAAAAGCCAAACATAATTGAAGTTTTCCCTATGTAAAGCCCAGCTTTGGCCAGGGGGCTCTGTCATTACTCAGGAAGTGAAATGTTTCTTGAGGTATGGTAGCACAAGGACTAGCAAAAGGAATCTGATCTTGTATTTGTCATGTCATAAAACTATCTTAGTTTTATCTGTCTTACCAGTTAAGACATCTATAGGATCCGTATTTTAGATTTTCCAGTTAAATATCTTTCTCTTTTTTCCTTTCTAAAAGTGAGAATGATATTACAGGTGTTTTGGACCATACTTTCTGTGTCGAACATAATGCATATGGTGAAATTATTCAGCATGAACTTAAACCAAATGGCAAGAGTATCCCTGTTACTGAAGAAAATAAAAAAGAATATGTCAGGTAAATACTTTTATGTTCACAAGACTGAGAATTTTTTTTTTTTTTTAAAGATTTTTATTTATTTGTTTAACACAGAGAGAGAGAGCACAAGTAGGCAGAGCAGCAGAGAGAGGGAGAGGGAGAAGCAGGCTGTCCGCCGAGCAGGGAGACTGGAGCCCGATGCGGGGCTCGATCCCAGGACCCCGGGACCATGACCTGAGCCGAAGGCAGCCGCTCAACGACTGAGCCACCCGGGCGACCCTGAGAATTGTTTTGATGCTCTAGAATGGCAGTACTGAAAAACACTGAAGTATTTAAGTCGTGTTACTTACTGCTACAAAATAGGCTTCTGTAGAATTTAGTGGCTTTAAAAACCACCACCATTTTATTTTTTTCTCACAATTCTGTGGGTCAGTAATTTGGATAGAGAATAGTAGGGAGAGCATACCGCTCCTCCATGTGGTGTCAGCTGGGACTGACACCAGGATGGCATCTCCCTCAGCTGGGATGGCTCAGACGGCGGGGGGCTGGCTGGAATGGCCCCTGGGTCACCATCTGGGGTCCAGTTCTCATTGTTGCTTGGGCTCCCTGGTTATCCCCATGTGGTATCTGAGGCCTCCCGGAATTCTCCCCATGGCCTCTCTCTTCCCAGCAAGACAGCCGGACTTCCTGTGGGCCAGCACACAAGCAGGAGTTGTCAGACCTTTTTAGGCCTGAGCCTGGGACCGGCCAGATCACCCCTGCAGCGTTCTTTCTGGTAAAGCAAGTCCCAAGCCAGCCCAGGCTCGGTGTGGACGAGCGGCTGCACAAAGACACGGACACCGGGAGACGGTGCGTGGGGCTGGTCATAGCGTAGCTGCTGCAGCCAGCCGTACGGGCTGCTGCCATGTGCTGTGTGACCAGCACCCTCCCCGTCGTGGGTGTAAGCGGTACATACAAGAAAACGTTCTTCAGATTTCCTACAATCACCTGATGATTGAGAAATTTCAAAGTAGGGTTAGATCATTTGGCCTATGGTAACTAAAGTTCTTTTTTTTTTCTTTTTAAAGATTTTATTTATTTATTCATGAGAGACAGAGAGGCAGAGGGAGAAGCAGGCTCCCAAGGAGCAGGGAGCCCGATGAGGGACTCGATCCCAGGACCCTGAGATCATGACCTGAGCCGAAGGCAGACGCTTAGCCGTCTGAGCCACCAGGCGCCCCACTAAAGTTCTTTTAAACATAAAACTGTGGCAGTCCAGTGTAGGTGTTTGAACTTGATCACATGAACACAGAAATGTGCACGCTGTACTTTTTGGAGTAGATTATATCCCTAAGTCTTACTGGCTTAATTGTCCTGGTTGACACGCGAGGCCCATCCGTCTCACAGATTGTTCATGGGAGTGAGCACTGGAATAGCATTTTTGGAAAGCAGTTTGATAACAGCTATCAAAATGAAAATGCATATGCCTTTCAACCAGCAGCCCTGTTTTTAGGAATCTGTTCTATAGAAACCCATGTAGTTAAAGAAATATAAATATGGATGTTCACTTAAACTACCTGTAAAAACAACTGAAAACTGATGAGATGTTTTTAGAGGAGAACGATTTACATATATACATTGAACAGAATGTTATATGGATGTTTAAAAGAAAGAGACTATATAAGTTGTCAGAGTTAAAAAAGTTTTAGGGGCACCAGGCTGGCTCAGTCGGAAGAACATGTGATTTCTTTATCTTGGGATCATGAGTTCGAGACCCACATTGGGTGTAGAGATTACTAAAAAAAATTAGTAAACCTTTCTTTTTTAAAGGTAGGTTTTAGGGGCACCTGGGTGACTCACTTGGTTAAGTGTCTGCCTTCAGCTCAGGTCATGATCCCGCGGTCCTGGAATCGAGTCCCCATAGGACTCTGTTCAGTGGGGAGCCTGCTTCTCCCTCTCCCTCTGCCTGCCTCTGTGTGTGTGTGTGTGTCAAATAAATAAAAATCTTTCAAAAAAAAAAAAAGGGCAAATGTTAGGAATTATATGGGAACAAAGTCTATGTTGTTGTTTTATAATTATCTGGAAGATGTCCAGGAGGACTATATACCAAATAAAGTGTATGGCTGGCATGAGGGAGTACTGGTGCTGGGCCTGAAAGTAGACAGGGAGAAGGGGGGTAATAGAATGGACTATCTAGCATGGACTACTCAGTTCCTAGACTCAGTAATGTTTTCAGCACACAGTCATGTCTCCTACCAGACACAGTTTTGAGAGAAAAAAGTTACAGAGGGGTGCCTGATCAGCTGCCTTCAGCTCAGGTCATGATCCCAGGGTCCTGGGATCAAGCCCCACGTCAGGCTCCCTTCTCAGGGAGCCTGCTTCTCCCTCTCCCTCTCCCTCTGCTGCTCCCCCTGCTTGTGCTTGCTCGCTCTCTCTGGCTCTGTCCTTTCTCAAATAAATAAATAAAATCTTAAAAAAAAAAAAAAGTTACAGAGAAAAACTTTTGTAAAGATGTGCAGTTTTGCTGTCCTCTTAAGCAAACAAAAATGAGGTCTGGCAAAGGATCTAATGTTAAGTAACTTCTTAGAGTAGAGATTGGTTTCCCCACGTTTGGAAGAGGAAGTGTTGACATATTTGGAAAGTGAATAGTTCTGAGATTTTTGAAGTGGAGAAGTTTTCCCAGGTAGATCGAATTGCCTTTTAAAAAAATCTGTTATAAGTCCAAGTCAAAAATGTAAATAAAACTCCACGTTAGATGTAGTTTGGTGTACTTTTTGTTGGTAACATTACATCTTCCAGGTTCTTTTTAAAACCTCCAGGGAACAATGAGTAATCAAAAAGTGTTTACTATTGGCTTTTACTGTTCTCATTCTGGATATGAAGAGACTCTTTACCTCCTCCTTCCCTGCATACCACCTCCAAAATATAAACAAAACACCCAACATGTTCAGATTATACTTTGAAGTGAAACCAGAAAAATAGTTTGGTTGAATGTCAGCCTCTTTTTTCTGATTGGTGGCATGCATGCTAGAAGTTCAGAAAGAAGTTTTCTCCAGATTTTAACTTCAGACCCATCTAATCTCTAGCTGCCTTCCAGTTTACTAGGAATTTCTCTGATTTGCAGAGTTGCTTTATTCATACTGCTTTTGTTAGTGGAAGGTCACCACTTTTTAATTTACAGTGAACCACCTCACAGCTCAGGGTCCAGCACCCTCAGGAATCTGAGGTTCTTTAGACTGTGGCCTAATTTTTTTTAGGATTTTATTTATTTATTTGAGAGAGAGAGCATAGGGGTGGTTGGAGATGGGCAGAGGAGGAGGGACAGGAAGAGGAAAGAATCCCAAGCAAACTCTGTGCTCAGTGCGGAGCCCGAGGTGGGGCTTAATCTCATAACCATGAGGTCATGACCTGAGCTGAAACCAGAGTCAGACCCTTAACCCACTGAGCCACCCAGGCATCCCAGACTATAGACTAAATTCTTAATGCTAGGTGCTTATAAAGTATAATGTTGCTAAAGTAGAGATTCATAATAGTTACCAAATCTGAATATATTTGATCATATGAAACCCCTGCCCAATGTTTACAGGCTCTATGTGAACTGGAGATTTTTACGAGGCATTGAGGCGCAATTCCTGGCTCTGCAGAAAGGATTTAATGAAGTAATTCCACAGCATCTGCTGAAGACATTTGATGAGAAGGAGCTAGAGGTCGGTGTTATTAATGTCCTGACATCATTTAGTGTCACGAGGAAAGGTTGGGAATTTTCTGTTTTAGAGGAAAGTCATATTGCTGGTGCTTTTGAAGTTTTATGGTGCAATGCTATGAGAATTCCTATTCACAGGAAAAGTCTTTCCTGCTTTGGAAAAGCCTTTCATGCTTTGGAATTTCTACAAGTAAGCCATCTCTTTTATATTGTGAACACTCTTAGTTTTCAATACTATCCTTTCTTGTTTTCATGTCTTATGTGTACATGTTGTTTTCTATTCCCTAATTAAGTGGTTATTTTTTTTTAAAGTCTTCATTATTTTTATTGCCCCACTACCCAACAGAATATGATTTTGACCTTCCCCTTTTATTTTTTATTTATTTTATTTTATTATGTTTATGTTAGTCACCATACATTACATCATTAGTTTTTGATGTAGTGTTCCATGATTCATTGTTTGTGTATAACAAAGTGGTTATTGATTTAATTAAGTTTCATTACTTAGTCTCCACCATATTGAAATTTATTTGAATTAAAAGCCTAGGTTCAGTTGGATTTACACTAAGCTTTGCAAGAAAGCATTTAATGGACAAGATCATAGAGAAATAATTAAAACACTTAGGATGGGGCGCCTGAGTGGCTCAGTCGTTAGGCGTCTGCCTTCGGCTCAGGTCATGATCCCAGGGTCCTGGGATCGAGCCCCGCATCGGGCTCCCTGCTCGGTGGGAGGCCTGCTTCTCCCTCTCCCACTCCCCCTGCTTGTGTTCCCTCTCTTGCTGTCTCTCTCTCTCTCTGTCAAATAAGTAAAATTAAAAAAAAAAATAAAATGGAACACTTAGGATAAACTGTAAATATATTTCCTCTCTTTGGAAATATTTATTACTAACAGTAGCAGTAACAAACAACCATTTTTTTGGTGGTTGTTTTCTTTTAAAAGCTGGTCGTTAAAGCACCTTTAGTCTGGTTTTATAATTAAGACCTTTAAACAAATACATCTGAATTTCCACTGAGCTACTTTGAAAAACAATGAGGTTTTATAGAGGCCCCAAATTTAATTTATTCTACTGGAGGCCCCAAATTTAATTAGTGGCTAGGAATAGCATAAATATTTGAAATCTACAAATAAATGTAAAACACGATTTTATTCATTAACGTCAGTGTCCTTTCTTTTTTAAAAAAATATTTATTGGGGCACCTGCGTGGCTCAGCTGGTTAAGTGTCTGCCTTCTGCTCAGGTCATGATCTTGGGGTCCTGGGATGGAGTCCTGCAGCGGGCTCCCTGCTCAGCAGGGAGTCTGCTTCTCCCTCTCCCTCTGTCCCTTCCACTCCCCTGCTTGTGCTCACTCTCTCTCTCAAATGAATAAATAAAATCTTTAAAAAAAAATTATTTAAGTAATCTCTACACCCAGCATGGGACTTGAACTCACAACCCCATGATCGAGAGTCACATGCTCTTCCAGCTGAGCCAGCCAGATGCCCCTTCAGTGCGTTTCTAACTAAATCTGTTAACAGACCTGTTAGTGAATCCAAACAGCTTGGTTTGACTCAGTACCATCCCCCATTCCTTTTGTGCTTGAACTATTCAGTAGTGAAATGGCCAGAGGAAGCGGTCAGGAGGAGGCAGAAAACACAGCAGGAATGGCAATAACGCTGAAATGCAGTGCATTTTCATCTGTTCATAAAACGAGTGAGGAATTTGGCCGTATAATTACCACTCCTCTGAAGAAAAGAGGAGATATCTTTTGTGTTAGTAATACTTCTGTAATCCTATTTGGATAACCACCTCCCTGTTTAGTGTGGCTATGATTTAGTACTCTTTCCAGAACCCTGTCGAAGCTTTGGTGGAGATTTTATTCAGTAGGGTTAGGGTTTATTTTACATAGTTTCTATTGGTAATGAAATTAAACTTTTTATTTAAAAAGGCATAATTTCTTTTAGTGTTATATGGGATTAATAGAACTAATTATAAAATGTGGGATTTGCAAGTTACATCATGCTTTACACTACACACGGTTATAATTCACGGTTATCGACACTTGCCTGAGATGAGTTAGTCTTGGAGGCTCAGGAGACGTATCAGTGGTATCCCAGTGATTTTGACGCGGCTCGTGTGTGCTGCCCGTGCAGAAGGATGTCCAGCAGAGCTCTCTGTCCTGTATTTCGTACTTTGCTATAACTTAAAGATCAAACAGATTGTTCTCACTTGTTCAGTACCTGTTTCTTGCACAGGATGGAGTGAGGTAGGCGTTACTCCAGTATTGCAGCAGGGGAAACTGCTGGCCAAGGGAGTGGACCGAATTGCCCACATCCCAAAGCTAGTAAGTGTTGAAGCTCAATATGATGCAGGTATTAAGGCAGGCACATACGAACTGTATTTACTCTGAGTAATTTTCTGTCCATTAAACAGAAATTTAGAATTCTGTGAATATATGGGACTTTCATCCTGTCATGTTCACCACAGTGGTGGTTCTCAGACCCTGGGTAGGGAGCCTGCAGTATGTAAGTCCATGGAGCCTTTGAAATACAGATCCCTCCTATCAGCCTAGACTCACAGAATCAGGATCTCTGAACATGGGCCCTGACGATGTGTCTGTTTTGAAAAAGCTTTCTAGATGATTCCGACGTGTACCTTTGATTACGAACCGTCATATGAGAGCCAACACTACAAATCTAAAGTTCTGTCTGAGGGATTTGGGGCCTAACTTGGATTTCCACTGGCTCATTATTTGTGCAATATTTTAACAGCTCATTATCTGTGGACTCGGAAAGATAGATGTTAATGACTGGAAGGTAAACACCCGGTTAAAACACTGCACACCAGATAGCAATGTCGTCAAGTGGTTCTGGAAGGCTGTGGAGTTTTTTGATGAGGAGCGAAGAGCGCGGTTACTTCAGTTTGTGACGGGATCATCTAGAGTGCCGCTGCAGGGCTTCAAAGCTCTACAAGGTAGGACCCAGGCGGCCTCAGAGGCCTGGGGGCCAGGGCAGCGCCGTTTGGTTAATACAGTTTCCAAACCGGGGGCTTCGTTCTCTTTCGTATCTGGGAGTCTCCCAGCCGGATACCTTCATGTCCTTCCTTTGTGCGCCTCCCAAGAGCCCTGTCCGCCGGGGTCCCCTGTGCTTGTAACGAGGGCCGCACGCTCCAGGCTGTTGGTCACGACGCTCTGCCTTTTCTGGTCACCTCGCTTTTAGCCTGGGCTGCACGTTCCCGCAAGGGAAGCCCGCCTGCTTCCGCCTTCACACCCCGACCTGGCAAAACGCGCACCCACTTGGGACGCCTCCCCCCTCTGCCGTTTTCTTCTTTCAGTGGAGAGGGGCAGCGTGCGTTTGTGGAAGCCGTTTGTGTGGCCCGCGCGCTTTCCTTGCGGCATGGCGTCAGACCATTTGTTTTGTTCTGCGGCGTAGCTGTTGACCTAGGGGGTGAGTTGGTAATATCGCCAGGGACTGTGGGGCCTCCCGGGTGGCCGCTGCTTCCTTTCCTCTGAGGCCGTGGCTGAGGCGCGCACAGCCCGACTAGCGACTAGCACAGGACCCGGCGCCTTGTCCGCGGCGCCCGTGGCAGGCGTCGCGGGGAGCGCGGCCCTTGAGCTGTGCTTACGTTCCGCATTTGGAGAACTCACTAGCGGACTACCCAGATGTGTAAAGTGACGCTGTACTTCTACGGACACTTTGATGGAGGGTCTTTGTGCCGTGGACTGCTAATCTTTCGCTGTCGGCCAAGCTTGAGGCGTGAAAGCTGAATTTGCACTTAGGTGGTTATCTTTTTGAATGTGTGTATATGTATTTGACCTTGGATTTGTCCATTTACTTTTCTTCTCGTGCTTTTGGCACATCAGTTTTTTTATAGAAGACAGAACTTGGCAAAGGATTTCTAATCCTGGACTTTTTCTCAAGTTGAAACGCTAGCATATTAAGGAATCCAGTGTTACCCAAGGTCAATTCCAGTTTTCAAAATCCAGATTCTTTTCCTCCTGCCCTTGGCAGCTGGTAGTGGAGTCACCAGGATCCCCATCTTTAGGCCCCGTGGTTTATGTACCAGTTTTTTTCTAAGATTCCGGAGACTAATACAGTGACATGACCCACACTGACTTCTTCGGCAGGTGCTGCGGGCCCACGACTCTTCACCATTCACCAGATTGACGCCTGCACCAACAACCTGCCCAAAGCCCACACTTGGTGAGTTCTTTTTGGAGCTTCGCCCCTTCATTCCATGTCCATAGGTGTCAGTTTTAAACCAATTTGATGTTTCGTTTGCTGTTCTTATTACTAAAAGGACCTCTAAAAGGAATAAGCCACTTTTAAGTGATGTAAGATTATTCAGAAATTGGTAGGAAAGCCTGAAAGTGGCACGTCTCTGCTTTAGAGAAATAACAACTTCTAATTTTATGTGTGTCATGAAAAGTGATGTGCCTGAATTAGTATAATATTACACTTGCTAGGCTAGGCCAGTTTGCTTATTCTCAGTGAACTCTGTCCATCTGATTTGCTTATTTACAGCTTCAATCGAATAGACATTCCGCCCTATGAAAGCTATGAAAAGTTATATGAAAAGCTGCTAACAGCCATTGAAGAAACATGTGGGTTTGCTGTGGAATGACAGACTTCAAGGATTTCCCCAGGACTCTATTTATACCCTGACCGCCAGCCTCCTTTCAGCAAAGTTTCGCGGAATGCGGAAATACAGGAAAATGCCCGCCCCCCCCCCTTAAGAATTTTTCTAGGACACTGTGAGGGGAAAGGACAATTTTGAAATTCCTTTTCAAGGAAAAAAAAAGAGGTCTTTATGCTTTGCCATGAGGCCATACTCAGCTGCTATTTAAAATTAATATCTTGAACCTAAAGAATGCTGACTTTTCCTACATTTCCAGAGTTAGGCAGTATTCTACACTTAAAGACTACTACTATTTTTATAAAAGGTAATCTATTCAAATCGCTCCACAGATTTCAAGTCTCTCAAACATCAAGACACCTTCAGCAGTCGGTACACATCACATTTCATTTTGATTGAATACATGATCTTGAACAGCTCCTGTACTTGCTCTTTGTAAAAAAAAAAAAAAAAAAAAAAAAAAAGAAATAAAATTATTTTGAATTATTCTACCTTTGTAAACAATTGGCTAAAGGAATCATTATCTTTAAAAAAAAATTAAGCCATTTACACATTTAATTACATTTTTCTCTAGCAAAACATTGTATTTTAAAAGCATTATATGTTTCAACCTAGACTAAGTGAGTCTTTTGTATATTTTTCAAGTACGAACTTCCTGGAATACAGCCACATGATTTTGGTTGTCAGATTCCTAATGCAACCATTTAGTCTAAACTTAGTAGCTTATTGATACAGTCAGATACATTCAGGGGCTCCTTGTTTTTAAGAGACTTTTTAAAAAAAATCCTAATTTTTTATCTTGAATCAATATGATCAGGTATTTTGGATTTACTTCTCATCTTAAATGGAAACATACTGCATTTTTATAGCTCCTCAGATCGTGTGGTTGGGATGGGATTTTCATTCTTTTGCTGGGTCAGCTTATCTTTAATATATATAATACTATTTCTGTAAACCAAAGTCTCCTATGACAAGTGCACCTAATTTATATTTTAATTACGGTTTAACTTTCTATCAAGTAAACTACCCAGAATCTTTGTTTAGCTGCTCATGAGCTAAAATTATAACAAAGGAAAAATTTTATTCAGGCAGCTTAGAAAATCCTGTTTTTACCTAATAAAATGAAGGTGGGGTAGGGGGTGGGGTAGGACAGGGGGTAGGATTACTGAAGAAATAGTGATTCTAAATCTCTGGTATAAATTACTTTATAACTGAAGAATTCATTTTGGAGGTAAGGGAATCCCAGTTCCCTTGGTGTTGATCAGCATCTGATTTTGAAATATCCAGATTTAGCTTTCAAGGTGTGTGGCATGTTGCATAATCCAGAAGGCAACCAAAATTCCGGAGTTAGGGATTGAAAAACTCTGAAATCATGGATGGATTTTTAAATTCAGCTGTCAGAAATCTGCACTATATATATATATATTTTTTTTTTTTTTCTTACACCGATGTGAATCAAGAGGGGCAAATTTTGATGATAGCTCTGTTGAAATTTTGCAGCTTAATTATCAAGTGAATAGGTCCTCTTTGTGTTCTTCCGTTTGATGGATTGGTTTTCAGTCTGTGTTCATGAGCCAAGGGGTTCCTCAGAGGTGCCTCAGAAGTAATGGTCTAAGGGAGGAGGGACAGAAAGGGAGAGGAAAGGCCTAGCTGGTATTTGAGCAGGAGCCTCTAACTACCCCCCCCCCCCCCCTTTACCAGAGCAGCTCCCAATTTCTCTCTTGTGTGTTTTGGAATTCCAAGTAAGCTTCCATGGGGTGGGAGGTTGGGGGAGGGGATATAAAAGAAGTGGAAATTTTGCTGTTTAAAAAAGTTGAGAACTACGTGTGTAGTTTCTGAGTATTCGAATTTATTTCATTCAGCCAAATTGGACTGCTACATGCAAGCTAGTCATAGTCATACCGTGCAGTGGTAAATGTGCTTCTGCTGACCTTCTCCTTCCCAGACACCTTGTGTTTTCCTGCCGCATTCTCAGTACTACCTAAGAACATCTTGAAACGTGCCGAAAAGGTTTCTGAACTATTTGATTATCAGCTTTCCGCTTTCCCGCTAGTACCATATTGGTTGCAGGTCCGTCTCTTTTGTATTATATTAAAGCACTAGTGCAGTGTAATCGTGCCTACTCGTAGAACCTTCCAGAAAGTGAGTACATGATGAACACTTTAGAGATGTCCTAACTGACGGATGCAGTAATGAATGCGACTATCATAGTGTACAATAAAGCAGGCTAATACCATTGCTTTTGAGTGCCTTTTTAACTTTATAATAATGACTTAATAGAGCTTTAAAAGAAATCTACCCTAACAGTCTGTGGTATCACCAACACGATTTAGAAAGACATGATTAGATTTCATTTTCAAAATTATGTTCCCTGATGACTTCCAAACAGGTGCTAAGCAAACAAAACCCCCACCGTGTCATTGAATCTGGGACTTGCACCTCATGTGTAATGTGAATATTTATTTCCACATGTCCCTCTTAGCTGGGTTTTTTCTAATCCCTCCCTCCAGTCGTGTTATTTCAGATACGTGACGTCACGTTTCCATACACCGCCTCTCCACCATGAACGCTTAATCACGAACAGTGATTATTTGTAGAGCTCATACGCAGGACAGAGGTGAGTTCTGTTTCAGAGGGTCTGATTTGTTGGTGTAAAGAGTTTTTAAACAGTGCTGTGTACATTTTGTTTTGCACATAGTTTGTTGCCCTGACGGGGTTTTATTTTTACTTTTCTTTTTTTCAATTGTTAGCATTTACGGTTCAGAGCACAGAATTCCTTCCTTTTAAGTACAATGTAATTCGCTTTATTTTACAACACTAAGTCCGCTTTGAACTTCCAGGGCGTTGAACTGGTTGCATTGTTGGGAGTTAGAGACGATTCTCGTCGTCTGTCTGTCGTTTGCTAGAGCGGCTCCCCCCGCGCTTCTGTGTTTAAGCGGCAGCGCGCGGTCCGTGGGCGCCGTGTGGGGCCGGACGTTCTTCGGTTCGGGTGATGATTGTACCAGATGCTGAGTTGTTTTCTTTCTAGATGTAATTAGTTCACTTGATGTAATATTCTTCTTTCCCTCAAACTGACTTTAAAAGCAAAGTTTTATCATTTTCATTGTATTTGTATTTATTACAGAGTGTTTTAGCTTTGATATGCTTTGTACTTTCACTCAGTTGTTACATGAGCTTTATCAATAACATCTGTATAAATGGTTTTTAAAAGTTAACCGTGTATGTGCCCGTGCCCAGCTGAGCAATAAAATGAATGCTGTTTGCACCGTCACAGCATCACAGTTTTTAAGGAATATTGAGTTTATAATGAATCGTTTTGATAAAACTCCGTGATTGGCTTTGTGGAGAGTGACAGCCGGCGAGCCACCGAGTGAGAAGGTTACGAAGATTCACGTGCCTGCCTCAGTTGTTGCCTCAGGGAGGCCCCCCCCCCCCCATCCCGGCCGAGCAGATTGATTGGCTTGACTGGCTGCCGACGGCTGCTCGGGAGGGGGAGGCTGTGTGGGGATGGATTTCGGAGGCTGCTCCGGAATGAATGACAGTGGATAGCGGATGAAAGTCCAGCTGAGTATACGGGTCGAGAAAGGAGTGGCTCCGAGGTTTCTTCATCCAGAGCACAGGCTGTGTCAGTCCCCTGCGGCACAGGCCGCACAGAAAGGACTGTCGGGGAAGCGCAGGGAGGTGGGAGGGCGATAGTAAAGCCCAGAGGAGGGGCGTCCTTTTTGAAATTTTTTGCTTGTTTAAAGCATTGCCATGTTCACTGGTTATTATCTAAAATTTGTAGTGTTAGTATAGTAAGGATTTTAGTGTTTTTATACTCTATGAATTACCCAAAAGTTTGATTTGATATGTTTTTCTGCTGTGCGGCGACCTGGAAGGTTTGTCTCTTCGTTATAAAGAGGGTTAACCTTGGTACCCACTGCATTTATTTGTCTCGTATATCCCAGATGCTCAACAGTTAGGATACATACAACAGAACAAGAGCCTTGTAACAGCATAGAGGTAATTATATGGGAAAAAGGATTACATTCCTACATTAACACTCTTAGCAAACCGGACAAGCCAGGTTTTAATTTTTTAAAGATTTAAAATTTTTTTTTAAAGATTTATTAGAGGGAGCATGGAGGGGAGGGGCAGAGGGAGAGGTATAAAGAATCCCGAGCAGACTCCATACTGAGTGTGGATCCCAGTGCGGGGCTTGACCTCATGATCCTGAGATCACAACCTAAGCCAAAACCAAGAGTTGGGTGCTTAACTGACTGTGCCACCCAGGCACCCCAAGATTTTTTATTTTTAAGTAAGCTCTACACCCAACATGGAGCTCGAGCTTAAAATTCCAAGATCGAGAGTCTCATGCTCTTCTGAGCCTGCCAGGCACCCCAAGGGTTAAATCTTTTTTTTTTTCTTAGTATTTTTATTTATTGTTTAAAGTAATCTCTGTACCCAACGTGGGGCTCAAATTCACAACCTGGAAATCAAGTCACGTGTTCTACAGACTGAGCCGGTGCCCTGACGAGCCAGATTTTAAAGTTACATTTTATCAGGTCTTTGCCCTATGACTTGTTCATTCAACAAATAACCTGTGCTCCTACTGTGTGTCAGGCTCTGTACTAGTTGCCAGGGATATAGCTTCTTCCTTGTGTTTGTGTTCATTATACAGTTGGCTACATTGCCAAGGTGATACGCTCAACTCTTGCTGATCAGCATACTTTCGTGGATATTTGGGCTGTGATTTATTGGGGTTAACAGTCTATGAGCTGTAAACCCCACTTCTGTCTCCCTTGAAGTGTTTTGTAAGTGGAGAAAGTGGAGAGGCAGCTGTAGCAGTCCATGGGGTGGGTGAGGGACCCTTCTCAGATATTTCTCCTGCCCCACCCGGATGTTCACAGTGTTCTGACTTTTAGCACAGGAACTGGGCCTGAAGATGGAGACACACATCAGATTCAACCTTGCAGACCACTCACTCCTCCCGGACGTGATGGCATGGCAAGAAGGTGGAGAACCATCGAGACCAGAAGGGAAAAGTTCTTTTTAAAAATGGAGGTATAACTGACATATTGTTTCAGTTGTACAACTTAATGATTTGGTATGTGTAGATGCTGCAGATTGATCACCACAATAAGGTCTAGTGTAACATACATCACCATATATATATGTTACAACTTTTTTTCTTGTGATGAGAACTTTTAAGATCTACTGTATTAGCAACTCTATCAAATATGCAATACAGTATGAACTGCAGACACCAAGCTGTACCTTACATCCCTGTGACTTATAACTGGAAGTTTGTACCTTTTGATCCCTTTCACCCATTCCCCCAGCCCCTCACCTCTGGCAACTGTAAACCTTTTTTCTGTATCTATGAGCTCCATTTTGTTTTTAGATTCCACATGTGAGGTAATGGTATTTGTCTTTCTCTGACATACTTCACTTAGCACAACACCCTTATGGGTTTTTTTTTGTTTGTTTTTACTTCCCTTTTTTTTAATGGCTGAATAATACAGCATTGTATATAAACACCATGTTTTCTTATGGACACTTAAGTTTCCATATCTTGGCTATTGTAAATAATGCTGCAATGAACATGGGGGTGCATATATCTTTTCCAGTTAGTGTTTTCATTTTCTTCAGATAAATACTCAGAAGTGGAATTGCTGAGACATATTAGTAATTCTTTAAAAAAAATTTTTTTTAAAGATTTTTTTTTTTTTTTAAAGACTTATTTTAGCGAGCAAGCTGGGGAGGGATAGAGGAAGAGAGAGAAATCCTCAAGCAGACTCCCCACTGAGCACAGAGCCCCACGTGGGTCTCAATTCCAGGACCCTGAGATCATACTGGAGCTGAAACCAAGTCAGACACTTCACTGAGCCACCCAGGTCCACCATCTACATTTAATTTTTTGAGGAACCTCCATATTGTTTTCCATTGTGATTGCCCCAACTTACATTCCCACAAACAATGCACAAGGGGTTCCCTTTTATCCACATCCTCCCAACACTTCTTTTTGATAATAGCCATTCTAACAGGTGTGAGGTGGTTTTGATTCACATTTCCCTGATGATTAGTGATGTTGAGCACCTTTTCATGTACCTGTTGGCCCTTTGTGTGTCATCTTTGGAAAAATGTCTATTCAGTTCCTCTGCCCTTTTTTTAATTGGATAGGTTTCTTTTTGCTATTGAGTTGTAGGAATGTTTTGTTTTTTTTTTTTTGAGATGGGGAGAGGTGGGGAGAGGGGCGGAGGGAGGGAGGGAGAGAATCTTAAGCAGGCTCCATGCCCAGCACAGAGCCTGACACGGAGCTCGATCTCACAACCCGGAGTTATGACCTGAGCTAAAATCAAGAGTTGGATGCTTAACCAACTGAGCCACCCAGGTGTCCCAAGGTATATGAATTCTTAATGTATTTTGGATATTGACCCCTTTATAGTATCTCATTTGCTAATATTTTATCCCCACTTGATAGGTTACCTTTTCATTTTGTTGATGGTTTCCTTTGTTATGCAGAAGCTTTTTAGTTTGATGTAGTCCCTCCCACTCGTTATTTTTACTTTTGGTATCAAATCCAAAAAATCATCACTAAGACCAATGTCAAGGAACTTACCACCTATGCTTTCTTCTAGCTTTATGATCCCAGGTCTTATGTTCAAGTTTTTAATCCTTTGGAGTTAATTTTTGTGTATAAGATAATGGTTCAGTGTCATCTTTCACATGTGGATGTCCTGTTTTCCCAACACCATTTGTTGAAGAGGCTGTCCTTTTTCCTATTGTATATTCTTGGCTCATTTGTTGTAAATTGACCACATGTGTGTGGGTTTATTTCTGGGCTCTCTATTCTGTTCCACTGATCTGTTTCTATGCCAATACCATACTGTTTTGATTATTGTCATACAGTTTGAAATCAGGCAGCATGATGCTTATAGCTTTGTTCTTCAGAGGGCAAAGCTTTATTTTTAAATTTTCTTCCGTATTTTTATATTCTAGTTAACATACAGTGTGATACTGGTTTCAGTAAAATTTAGTGATTCCTCACACATAACACCCAGTGCTCATCATACAAGTGCCCTCCTTAATACCCTCCACCCATTTAGCCCATCCCCCCACCTGCCTCCCCTCCAGCAACCCTCAGTTTGTTCTCTATCTTTAAGAGTCTCTTATGGCTTGGGCGCCTGGGTGGCTCAGTTGGTTGGGCGACTGCCTTCGGCTCAGGTCATGATCCTGGAGTCCCGGGATCGAGTCCCGCATCGGGCTCCCTGCTCGGCAGGGAGTCTGCTTCTCCCTCTGACCTTCCTCCCTCTCATGCTCTCTGTCTCTCATTCTCTCTCTCAAATAAATAAATAAATAAAATCTTTAAAAAAAAAAGTCTCTTATTCTCTGGAGGGCAAAGTTTTAAAGGCAGTTTAATGTTTTTTTAAGACAAGAAGAAATTGGTCATAGCAATCAAATGAGCTGGGTAATATAGTCTGAACGGCTTGAAATGCTAGATGAAACATGTTCATATGCTCCATGCTACTCTCTACAATGCCCTAACGGGAGCATCTCTTCTCCCCTTCAGTTTGTCCCTGGTGCCTGTGCCACTCTCTGGCTTTGATCAGCAAAGTCCCCATATCCTCAACTGCTCTTGGCCTTTACTAAAGCTGAAGCCTCCCTACCCATGGAGGGTGCCACACCCTGCTGGGTTTTTGGTTCCTCCCATCCCCCCGCCCCGTTACTCCTCCATACCAGAAAGAGGGTCGGTGTACTTGTTTATTACTCCAAGTCCAATGTGCAAGCACAAGTGCTCCTTAAGGCCCACACCTTCCACCCTTTGCCTCTTCTCAAGCTCTCCTCTGCCAACTAACAGAGGCCATATACACAAATTCTCATCTTCCAGCCACCAGATAAAACATCTACACAGTATCTTGAAGATTTAACCCCAGCTCCCACCTCCGATAACAAGCCCACACTTCTAGCGCTTCTCTGAATTAGAGACGTCTATTGTTTTTACTGACCTACAGCAATAGGCTTCAGGAGCTGGCTGCTCAAGCAAGGCTTGTTAATTACTGCAACTATGACCAACTATGTGTGCCTTTATTCCCCCTTTGAAGTCATAAATTCAAAGTGGTATACTTCGAGAAAATGATTTTTATTTAAAAAATTATGTCATAAAAAGTACTGGAATGCATTAGGCATTTAGAAACAAGTCTCCTGGTTTAGACTGTTTACTGGCTCAGTTCTAGATCTGTCCTAGTCAAGTCCTCCAGAAACCACTTATAAAATCGGGCCTCAGAGGAAGGGATTTTTACTGTACTGAAAAGAAGCCAGATGAAGCCGAGCTCTGAAGCGCTCAGCTTCCAATTCCCGGAAGAAAGAGTCGTCGTCATTCTGGGTTATCATGTGCTGCAGTTGCTGAATTTCCTTCTCCATCTTTGATCTCAGCTCCCTCTTCACCTTATACAGTGTCTAAAAGATAAGGCGGGTCATCCTACTGGTCACAACACTGGTCTGAGCCCCTGTCAATTTTTATCCCCCCTCCTCAAGCTCCTGCCATTGTCATAATTGAGCAGTCGCTCTTACAGAGACTTAACAGGTAAAATTAAGACAGGATAAATCCTATTTATAGGATTAACTGGAAGATAAATGTTTTGGGTCGTAGATGTAATACAATTGTTTTCTAGTTCTTAAAAATGTAAATCAATGATTTCTACCCTGTTAATTATTACCTGGGCCTGGGATTTCTCTCTGGCTTTGAGTTCCTGGCGTTCTTGTGATATGGCTTCTGCCAGCAATGAAAACTGTATAGAGAGGAAAAAAACCCAAATGTTTATCTGTAGCCCAAATTTAATAATTCTGATATATAATGTTCACAGACTTAAAATCTTTATTTTAATAGAAATAGGGCAATATAGAGAATCTATGTACTGTGGTCAAGTACTAGCTTATCGTGAATAATCAGTCTAACCAGCAGAGTGACAGGTTGAGTTAATATGTGGAGGTTTTTTATTAAACAGAGTAAGCTGTTTTTTGACACAAGGTGGCCGGGATTAAACACATTAGAGTGTGAACCAGCAACAGTGAGCTCACCTGGTCTTTATAGTAGTTCTCCATTGAGTCCAGTTCATTCTGGTGCTGTATCTTTTGTTCGGCTCGCTTTTCTTTGGCATAGTTTCTTAGGTCTCGTAATCTTTGCTTTTGAATTTGTAAACCTTCTTCAAACAATTTCTTAAAAATCTGGTTAGAAAAATAAAGTTATGCTGAACTTTCATGGAGGAATAGAAACCTTTTGTACTGATTGTATTTCACAGTTTTAAGTAACAGCTTTATTGAGATATAATCCACATACCACAAAATTCACCCTTTTTTAAGAGGTGAAATTCAGTAGATTTTTGTATATTCAGAGTTGTGCAACCATCACTTCAGAAAGAAGCCCTATAACCCAGTAGCAGCCACTCCCCCACCCCCTGCAACCACTAATATACTTTCTATGTCTATAAATTTGCCTATTTTGGATTATTTCATATAATCACAAAATATGTGGCCTTTTGTATCTGGCTTCTTTCACTTAGCATGTTTTCATGGTTCATCTATGTTGTAGCAGATATCAATACTTCACTCCTTTTTACTGCCACATAATACTACGATATGGGAATGTCACATTTTGTTTATCCATCAGCTGATGGGCCTTTGGGTTTTTTCCTCTTTTTGCATATTATAAATAAAGCTGCTAAAGGTAATCGTACATAGGCTGTGTGGCTATATACCTAGGAGTGAAATGAGGGAGTCACAGGGTAGGAAGCCATGTTAACCTTTTGACGAATTGCCAGACTGTGATCTAAAGTGGTTGCACCATTTTGCCAACCTTGCATGAGGGCTGTAAGTTCTCCATATCCTTGCCAACACCTGTCTTTTTATATTTTAGTGAGTGGTTTCCCCTTGTGGTTTTGATTTGTACTTCCTTAATGACCAGTGGTGTTCAGCATCCTTTCCTATATCCCAATTTTTTTTTTTAAATTTTTTATTTGACAAAGAGGCACAGCGAGAGAGGGAACACAAGCAGGGGGAGTGGGAGAGGGAGAAGCAGTCTTCCCGCTGAACAGGGAGCCCGATGTGGGGCTCGATCCCAGGACCCCGGGATCATGACCTGAGCCGAAGGCAGACGCTTAACGACTGAGCCACCCAGGCGCCCCTCCCCAGAATTCTTTACTGCTTTCAGAAAACAGTTCTTAAGCAGCCACATATATAGGGGAAGAACCCCAGCCAGAGAAGAAACAAATGGCGCATTTACACATGTGCACAACTGAGGGGGAGGTGGTTATCATCGAACTGGGCCGGAGGAAAACAAATTTTTCAAAGGATTTAGATATGCCCATTTTCCTTATAGCCATGCATTCATTAGTCAAGTTACTTAACCTCTCATGGCCTTAGTATCCTTTAGAAACGAGCATGGTAGTAGTAGCCCAGTTAACTGTAATTACCTTAATGTTTTACTCTAGAGATGTAATTTACTGCCAGTTTGGAATCCCAAAATATTAAGCATTTCAGCTTGATTAGGATGAGACAACAAATACCGTGGAGAAATACTTCACAACGCATCTGTCCTACACTCCTTTCCCATTTTTATGTGGAATCCAGGTCATCTAGTCACACTTTAAATCCCTGCCCCTTCTAAACACACTCCCAAACCCCCTGAAACAATTGTACTGGAAAACACATGCAGGAGGTCAGAGGGAATGAGGGCACTGGAGGATGTACCACACAGGTAATAAAATGAGGCACGGACAAGTTGAAACTCTCAGAGCCGGCACTTGAGGACTTGCATTTGGGTTTTGGATTCAAATAGGGATAGGAGTCACAAAGAAGGTAGTCCTGAAAGCTAACAGATAATATTCACCCGTTTGACAGGGTTGGATAAAAAGCTACACTTACGGGGCACCTGGATGGCTGTTGGTTGAGCGTCCAACTCCTGATTTCGGCTCAGGTCATGATCTCAGGGTCGTGAGATGGAGCCCCATGTCAGGCTCCGAGCTCAGTGAGGAGTCTGCTTGAGATTCTCCCTCTGCCCCTCCCCACCGCTCACTCCCTCACCCTCTCTAAAATAAATCAATCTTAAAAAAACCAAAACCAAAACCTGTATTTACCATTTCTTCCCGGGTCCTCATTCTCATCATTTTTGCACACAACTGAACTCTGTAATCATCATAGTATTTTCGGGCACGGACAATCTGTTGCCGATTTTCTGTTATCTTTGACTGTGTCAACTTCTGCCTATGAATGCGGTCCTTGAAGTCTTGCTGGGAAAGGGAAAAAGAAGTAAGGACAAGAGGAAGACAGACTCTGGCATTCTTAGCTGCTCCACTCCCCATCACGAGGTCTTCAAGGAGTAAGCCAGGCATGCAGGGCCAGGGCCTGGGCATAGACTCTGAAAAACTGTCAGCCCCCAGAAGCCTTCCAGCCTTTGGTAGGTTCATCACCAGTCTGAAAGGCTGCCCCAACGAGCCCCGACTGCTGCAGCTGGTCTTGGTGGAACTGAAGATCTCCTTTCCCCATGTCCCCTAGGGGGTTGCCCAAGCCACACCCAGATGCTTAAAAGGAGTAGAAAAAAGGCATTCTGACTTTCAAGCAAAGCTTGAGTTACACCAAGAGTATTTATGTCAAAACTAAGGAAATTAGACCGTATCTTACAAAGCAGTGAGGATGAAATGAGGTCACGTACATAATGCCCTCAACAAGGTGTCCAGACTGATACTAGTTTTCTTTTCCCCCAAAGTACCACATGTAGATTTTCAGCTGGCTTCCCCTTCTTTCTCTTAAATTGTTTAGGAATATACTTCTCACTGCTTATCTCAACCAAGAGTTTTAAAATCCCTTCTTCCGACATACTGTCTTTGACCTCTGTCCTCTCCATTACACTCAACAGAAGTTGTGCTATGTACAATTCTCAACCCAAATTAGAAGGGAGGGAGGGTGGTAAACTAGCTCAGTTCTCCACTTAAGACCTTAGATCAGAGAGGACAAAAAGCAGTAGCTTACAACCACCTGGTACCTCAAAGTTGCTGTGGAGGTAGAAACAGACCTGAATTAAAATCTCAACCTTGCCCCTTGCTGAGTACAGTTGGGACCAAGCATAAATTAGCATCTCAGAGAAAACCTCTCCATTATGTTACTATAAAGACCAAATGAAACTGTATATATGAAGTACTCAGCACCTTTGCCCCTCATCAGTTTTGGTTACAGCCTTAGATGCTTCCATAGACAAGTGTTAAAGGTAGAAGTCTGTGGGCCTATTACCCAGTTGTATAAATATAATTAATATAACTTACAAACTCATAATTATAAGACTCAATTTGCTCTTAACATACCAGTCTCTTGCTATGTTCATATTCTTTCTTGACAAGTGCAGTAAGGAGGTCATGCCTTTTTAAGGCTTCTTCTATCTTTAAGAGGGATAGAAAGGAAGGAGGTTAATAACGCTATTCACTAAATTCTGAAGGATAAGCTCTTCCCTTTTCTGCTTTATATTTCTAAGCTTGTAATTGACAGTTAACTTACTTCATCCTGGAGTTTCTTCTTTGATTGATTTTCTCTATATGCATCTTTTTTGAGCTGTTCAACCTGTGTAATTTGCTGTTTCCACATTTTGCTTAGTGTTTGGCCAGAAACATAGAGAAATGGAAACTGCTCCAGCATGAGGGGCAGGAGACTGTGTTCATTTACTTTCACTGCAAGGTAAAACAAAACCACCATAAAATCCCTCAATCTGAGAGATTTGCTGATAGCTTTTAATAAGAACTCTCATTCTACCTTCCCTGGTGGAGCAAAGCTTATCTAAGTGATGCAGTTCTGATCCTAGTACACCAACTACCAGGAAGGATAAGAATAAGCTCAACAGTTCTGACTGATGCAGAAGTCCATCCTAACTGCTCAGCTGACTCAGGGACTGAGGCGGACGCTGTGCGTGTGGTCAAACACTTCTCAGCTCTACTGAGAGGCAAAGTCTCTGTCTGATGGGATGTCGTTAGAAGGCCAGCAGTGTTTGAAATGGAACCCGGGCATTTCACATGACCTTGTTTTCCTTGTAACAGGACTCTAACACTCACTGGCACCAACTGTCAATATAACAGGAGCTGGACGGGACATCTGCTTGCTTTGGAGTATCCCGCGGGTTCTATCAACTTCCCAGAAACAAAGAAAAGGCAACCGGTGTGCGTGAGCAGGGTGAGGCTACAGCTGGAGTAGCAGGCAGGACTGCCCATCGCTGCCGCCGCTACCAATATGTAGGCCTCCCGAAGGTATTAAGAGTTTTGAATAAATGCCTTATTTATGAGTTTTCTCTCTCTTTATAGAAATCTAGCATCTGGCAGTGATAAAAGAGAAACTTTCTCCAGCTAACTGGTGGATGTTAAGTTTTCAGTGCTGTGTCCGTGGAATGTAGCACATACTTTCAAAGGATGCCAGTTTTCCATAAAGTACAATTTTGTGGTTCTTACTTGGAACTGCTTTATTTGGCTTTGGCAAGCCACCTCTTGGACTTGGAGTTGTGGTTTTTCTAGAGTAAGTCTTCCAGGGCTGACTACGTTTTGGAGTTCCTTTATGAACAGCTTCTCTGTATATTTTTTCCTTAGAAGCAGACATAAAACAGAATAGAAATAAAAGTCCAATAACGCTCTCATATATTATCTTAAATATTACACATTGACAAAAATAGCTAACTAATCCCCTACCAAACACCTTACTTCCAATTTCTACAATCTGCTTAGTGTTTATCTAAGTTAAAAGCATCTTTTGGCTTCTGGCACCCCTTGGAATCTGAAGAAGCACTGAATCTTTTTTGAGTTTCAGAGTCACCATAGTCCCACACCCTAAACACAACCACTAATAATGTTTTGATGTACTAGCTTCTTTGACAACTTTTTCCATGTAGATTAAAAAAGTTCTTAAATAGGGCGCCTGGGTGGCTCAGTTGGTTAAGCGACTGCCTTCGGCTCAGGTCATGATCCTGGAGTCCAGGGATCGAGTCCCGCATCGGGCTCCCTGCTCGGCAGGGAGTCTGCTTCTCCCTCTGACCCTCCCCCCTCATGCTCTCTCTATCTCATTCTCTCTCTCAAATAAATAAATAAAATCTTTAAAAAATAAAATAAAATAAAATAAAAAGTTCTTAAATAATGTTTATTGTAGCCATACTGTATTTTATATCCTGTTTTGTTCATGAGCATTCCAGCACAAGCATTTTTCCTGTTTTCACTTAGTTTCTGTAACCATCCTTTTGAAAAGGCAATGGACATGTCTGCTTCGGGATTCTTCCACCCAGGCGCAGAACAAGGGGGATCTCCTCACTCCCCTTTAACCTGTCAGCCTCAACTATCTTTTAAACCCCTGGTGAACAGAACCCCGTAACTGATGGAAGTTTTGGACAGGAAGGAAAAGTGCTGGTATCCTTTGTCACCAATTGTCTGCCTTCAGCTTGGGTCATGATCCCAGGATCTAGTCCCACATGGGGCTCCTTGCTTGGTGGGGAGTCTGCTTCTCCCTCTCCCTCTGCCACTCTCCCCTGCTTGTGCTTGCGCTCTCTCTCTCTGACAAATAATCTTTAAAAAAGTTTCTTTTTTTAAATAAAAAAAAGATCATCTCTGTATTTTCCACTGATCTGGTCAAGTTGCATTTATTACAGTAGAGACTTTTACCCACTGTTTCCTCCTCATTTATTCCTAGAGATCCAATATTCTCTTGAACTTTATTTCTTCTTAGTTCCCTTTCAAATGCTTCAGTTATTGCCTAGAGCAGAAAAAGCCATATGACATTACAGTTACTAAAAACATACAAAATGAAAATGTAGGGAAAAAAATTAACCTAAGATTCTGCCATTCCATTTTTTTTTTAAGTTCCTTTCAGGCCCCCGCTATCCTAAATATACATTATTTAACAGACATGTAATTGGGACATAAAATTTTATGTCCCCCCCAAAATGCATTTTTTTGTTCTCTGGTTTTGTAATTATTTTGACAGTCCCTTGAGTAGAAGTTACATGTTATTATAAGACATCTGAATTAATTTCAGTTTTTCACAATCATAAAATATGCTATAGCAAACAATGTACGTGTTCTAAATTTATGCTGCATTTCAAAATCCCTATTCCACAGCAGAAAGCCTTCCTTGGTAATCGTATTTCTCCATGTTGAATCTTAACCACTTCCTCTCATTCCTGTCTTGGGCACTTTAATCCTACCTGTAACTCAACTAGTCTATCACTTTTAATCCACCTCCAATTCTCATCCTTTCTGAAACACTCTCTGAAAATATCAACCCACACTGATCTACTCTTTTTGAATCCACTGGAGTACTGGGTTCTATCTGACAAGGTTAGTTTTCTTAGAGTATCACAAGTCTAAGTTTTATGTTCCATAAAGGTGGGGGGGGACAAAAAGCTGTGTCACATAATCTCCTACCATCCACTCAGTTCAAGAATATTAAATGCATTTTAAGCCTTTAATCAACAGTACGTTCACTGTAGTATTTGGTTGAGGGTAAACGGTATTGCCTGCTACCCAATCATAGTCAAAGATGGGATGTACCTTTGCTTGGAATTGCCGAATATCTGTTTCTTTTGGCTTTCGCTGCCTTTTTCTCTCCTTATGGAACTGTGTGTTTTTGTTAAGTGGAGATGGAGAGAGCGAGTGAGATCTGCAGGGCGGCCTTCTACGCGTGGAAAGTCCTACAATAGGACATGTACCATTAGTTCCTGTACAGCCAGAAATGTTAAGTTGGAAATCAAATAGTTGATTTTTACCAAGTCCAAAAAGAATGTGAACGCGCTAAACGTACTCTCTCCTATAACTAATTTGTTTTTTTTAAATTTTATTTGAGAGAGAGAGCACACGCCCAAGTGGGGAGAGGGGCAGAGGAGCAGGGAGTCAGACGCGGGGCTCAATCCCAGGACCCTGGGATCATGACCTGAGCCGAAGGTAGACAATCGACTGAGCCACCCAGGCGCCCGTAACTAATTTGTATTTATTTGTATGTTTAGTCAGACCAATACACAAATGTATACAGTCCCAAAAAAGTACTTAGGTTCTATATTCAACTTTGGATTGAAAATGGAGCAACATGTGGAATTAAGTGGAAGGAAGTGGTGGTGGAGAAAGAAAATGTTAAACTATCCAAGCTGTATGTCTGCTATCCTTTTATACCTACCTAGGTCCTGAGGAGGTAGGATATAAGTATGTATACATCTTACCCTTATAAAGCAGCATGCTTAGAAGAAAAAGTTAACGTAATTTAGCATTTTCTAAGTAGTCCCAATTTTTCCTTATGTAGTTAAGTTAGCCCTAATTCCACACTGCCTAAGAGATCTAACAAGTCACTTCATAAATGTTTTTATGTTCCACTGTTTTTAGTTGTACTTGGGCATCTGCTAGCTGTGTAGAGGTGGACTCCATGCCTTTTTCAGAAAAGTGAGTAGTTCTAAGGTTAAGGAAATTAGTTTGATATCTTTATAACCTTCTCAGAGAATTCAAATTTCCCTAAGCTTTTATTTTTCTCACTCTCTTAATTCAAATCTTTCAAATGTAAGATATTAAGGGGGTGCCTGGCTGGCTCAGTCAGTGGAGCATGCAACTCTTGTTATCTCAGTGTCATGAGTTTGAGCCCCATGTTGGGCACCAAGATACTTAATTAAAAAAGAAAAAAGACTGGGGCGTCTGGGTGGTTCAGTCAGTTGGACATCCGACTCTTGGTTTTGGCTCAGGTCAGGATCTCAGGGTCCTAAGATCGGCTGGTGTCGTGCTCCATGCTCAGTGGGGAGTCTGCTTGAGATTCTCTCTCTCCCTCTCCCTCTGCCCCTCCCCTCGCTTGCTTGTTCTCCAAAATAAATATATAAATCTTAAAAAAAAAAAAAAAAGATATTAAGAAAAACTGACTTGCAGGGGCGCCTGGGTGGCTCAGTCATTAGGCGTCTGTCTGCCTTCAGCTCAGGCCATGATCCCAGAGTCCTGGGATCGAGCCCCGCATCGGGCTCCCTGCTCTGCGGGAAGCCTGCTTCTCCCTCTGCCTCTGCTTGTGTTCCCTCTCTCGCGGTGTCTCTATCAAATAAAATCTTTAAAAACAAAACAAAACAAAAAACTGACTTGCACAACTGATTTTAAATGATGTTTTTATGACATCTTATGTCCATAATGTATTCTTTTCATTAAAGATCCAATGAAAATAACATTTTAACTTACAGTGAGTTTTCAAAATGGGATATGATGTGTATGTGTATAGAAGGGAAACATGTAGGTTACTAGGTGAGGCTTACCTAGCAATTACTTGGGAAAGTTTAAGGGGAGAAAGATGAAACAAGAGAAAAAAAAGATTTTTGGAGTAAAAAGCTGTTCTACTAGATGTAGAGCCTATGGAAACTTTTTTTTTTTTTTTAAAGTAAACTCTACTCCCTACATGGGGCTCAAACTCACAACCTACAACCCTGAGATGAAGAGTCCCATGGTCTATGCCTAAGCCAGCCAGGTGGCCGAAGATCCTAGAGAAGTTTCTGCACATGTTACAGGTTGTACATTGTTTCTACTTTTCATAACTACACTTTTGCAATCTGTATGTCCTGCAATAGAGGAAATGGTGATATATATATTCATACAAATGGAGTATTATTCTATGACCTTAATAAAAATGAATGCTGGATCTGTAATCAACAAAGATTTCCAAAACAACATTAACAGAAAAAAGTTGCAGAATAATACAGTATCTTAGTTTAAAAACATAAAATAATAGCATTTATAAGTAAATATGAGCTGTTACCAGTATAAAAACAAGAATGAGAAGGTTCCAGTTTAAGATGGCAATATAGAGGCTCCTGAATGCACATCCTCCCATGGATGCACTGAATCTACGGCTACATATGGAATAATTCCCTCAGAAGGGAATCCAGAAACTAGCTGAATGACTCCTACACCTAGGTGAATGAGAAAAAACCCTACATTGAAATGGGCCTTGGCACACCCTCTATCTATTGGGAGCCATTAAGAACCCAGAAGGCAGTTTGGACAATCACAAGGGTTTGAGACACCCAAGAGATAGGGACAGGCACTACTCCTTCAAAACTGGGAGAGGTGGCTGTTTTACTTAGTGCACAGAGACCAACAGAGACAGGAAAATGAAGAAAAAGGATATGTTTTTTTTTTTTTTTTTAAGATTTTTTATTTATTTACTTGACAGAGACACAGCAAGAGTGGGAACACAAGCAGGGGGAGTGGGAGAGGGAGAAGCAGACTCCCCGCCGAGCAGGGAGCCCGATGCAGGGCTCAAACCCAGGACCCTGGGATCACGACCTGAGCCGAAGGCAGACGCTTAACGACTGAGCCACCCAGGCACCCCGAAAAAGAATATGTTCTTAACAAAAGAATGAGATAAATTCAAACAGACCTTAATGAAACAGAGATAAGGACTTTGAGGAAGACTTAAAAATGGTGGTCATAAAGATGCTCCCCAAGGTCAGGAGAACAATGCACAAAGTGAGAATCTCAACAAAAAGAAAATACAAGAAAGTACCAAACAGAAGTCACATAATTAAGAAATACAATAACTAAATTGAAAAATTCAATACAGGGGATCAACAGCAGACTAGATAAAGCAGAAAAAAGGATTAACAAACTCAAAGAACTGTGGAACTTACCCAAACAGAGGAGCAAAAAGAAAAATGAATAAAAAAGAACGAAGATAGCTTAAGGGATTTGTGGGACACCAGCAAGTGGACCAATATTCACACTATAGGGGTCCCAGTAGGAGAAGAGAGAGAAAAAGGCCAGAAAGCCAATTCAAAGAAATAATGGCTGGAAACTCCCCTAATCTGGGTAAAGGAAACAGACATCCAGATCCAGGAAGCCCAGAAACTTTCAAATAAGATGAATCCAAAGACCCCACGCTAACATACATTATACATAAATTGTCAAATTTGAGAGAATCTTTAAAGCAACAAGAGAAAAACAACTTGTTATGTACAAGGGAACCCCCCTACCACTATCCTTCGATTTTTCAGGTGAACCTTTTCAGGCCCGAAGGGAATAGCACAATATATTCAAAGTGCTGAAAGAGAAAAACTGCCAAGAAAAACTATTTTACTCAGCAAAACTGTCCTTTGGAACTGGAGAAATAGTTTTCCACATGAGCAAAAGCAGTTCATTAACACTAGAACAGCTTTACAAGAAATTTTTAAGATGCTTCTTTAAATAAAACGTTGCAGTTTAGTAATAGGAAAGCATATGAAAGTACAAATCTCACTGGTAAAGGTAAATATATAGTTAAATTCAGAAAAGTCTAATGTTGTAACTGGTGTGTATGTGCATGAGCAGAGGGAAGGGCAGAGGGAGAGAAGCAGACTCTGCTGAGTGTGAAGCCCAATGCCAGGCTTGATCTCACGACTTGAGCCAAAACCAAGAGTTGGACACTTAACTGAGCCACCAAAGCTCCCCTGAATTCAACTGTATAGTGAAAGGATCACACACCATAATGAAGTGGAATGTATTCCAATGCAAAGATGGCTCAACATCCACAAATCATTATGACTCGCCACATTAACAAAATGAAAGATAAAAATATCATCTCAACAGATGCAGAGAAAGCATTTAACAAAACTCAACATCTATTCAGGATAAAAACTCTCAACAAACTGGGTATAAAGGGAATATACCTTAACATAATAAAGGCCATATTTGATAAGCCCACAGCTAACATTATGCTTAATGGTGAAAAGCTGAAAGGGTTTCTTCTAATTTCAGGAACATGACAAGGATGCCTACTCTTACTACTTTTATCCAACATAGTAGTGGACGTCCTAGCCAGAACAATTAGATAAAAAGAAATGAAAGGCATTCAGGGGTGCCTGGCAGGCTCAGTTGTGCAGCATGTGACTCTTGATCTCAGGGTTGTGAGTTTGAGCCCCACGTTGGGTGTAGAGATTACTTAAAAATAAAATCTTTTAAAAAAAAGGCATTGAAATTGAAAAGGAAAAAATAAAACTTTGTATTTGCAGATAACATCATAGTAGTTATAGAAAACTGTAGAGACCCCACCAAAAACTGTTAGAATAAACGAATTCAGTAAAGTCGCAGGATATAAAATCAATATACAAAAATCAGTTGCTTTTTATATGCTAAGAACTAGATGTTAAGAGAAATTAAGAAAACAATCCCATTTACAATTGCTTTAAAAAGATACTCAGCCATAAAAAAGAATGAAATCTTGTGATTTGCAACAACATGGATTGCGCAGAGTAGAATGCTAAGTTAAATAAATCAGAGAAAGATAAATACCATATGATTTCACCCATCTGTGGAATTTATAAACAAAGAAAAAAGACAAAAACACAGACTCTTAAATACAGAGACCTGGTGGTTGCCAGAGGGGAGGTGGGTGGAGGATCGGTCAAACAGATAAAGGAGATTAAGAGTACGCTTATCTTGATAAGCACTGAGAAATGTATAGCATTACTAATTATTGAATCATTATATTGTACACCTTAAAGTAATTAACACTATATGTTAACTATACTTGAATGATAATTTAAAAAAGAATAAAATACCTACAAATAAATTTAACCAAGGAAATAAAAGACCTATATACTGAAAGCTGTAAGACACTGATGAAAGAAGACACAAATGAATGAGAAGATACTCCATGCTCAAGAATTTAAAGAATACTGTTAAAATGCCCATACTACTCAAATTCATCTAGACTCAATGTAATCCCTATCAAAATTCCAATGGTATTTTCACAGAAATAATCACAAAATTTGTATGGGACCACAAAACACCCCAAATAGCCAAAGCGATCCTGAAAAAGAACAAAGCTGCAGGCATCACACTTTCCGATTTCAATCCATATTACAAAGCTATAGTGTCAAAACAATATGGTACTGGCATAAAAGACACACAGATCAACGGAACAGAATACAGAGCCCAGAAATAAACCCACACATACATGGTCAATTAATTTACAACAAGTGAGCCAAGAATATACAATGGGGCAAAGAGAGTCTAATAAATGGTGCTGGGAAAACTGGACAGCCACATGCAAAAGAATGAAACTATAACTTATCTTACACCACATGCAAAAATCAAAACGAATTAAAGATTTCAATGTAAGATCTGAAACCACAAACTTCTAGAAGAAAAAACAGTGGGTAAGCTCCAAGACATTGGTCTTGGCAATGACTTTTTTGGATTTGATACCAAAAGCAAAGACAACAAAAGTAAAAATCAACAAATGGGACTCTATCAAGCTTCTGCACTGCAAAGGAAACTATCAACAAAATGAAAAGGCAACCCACCGAACAGGAGAAGATATCTGCAAATCAGGTATCTGATACAGAGTTAATATCCAAAATATATAAAGAACTCATACAACTCAATACCAAAAAAAAACCCCCCAAAAACTATCCAATTAAAAAATGGGCAGAGAAACTGATAGTTTTCCAAAGATGACCTACAAAGGGCCAAAAGGTATACGAAAAGGGGCTCAACATCACTAAATGTCATGGAAATGCAAATCAAAATCACAATGAGATGTCATCTTACAGGTTTAGAATAATGGCAATTATCAAAAAGACAAAAGATATCAAGTGTTGGAGAGAATGGAGAGAAAGGGGAACCCTTGTGCACTGTTAGGTGCAGCCACTATGTAATACAGTATAGAGATTACTCAAAATATTAAAAATACCAAATGACCCAGTGATACTACTTCTGGGTACCCAGCAGTGAAAAGAAATCACTACCTCAAAAAGATACATGCACCCCCATGTTCACTGCAGCATTATTTACAATAGCCAATATACGGAAACAACCTAAGTGCCCACTTACAGATAAGTGGATAAAGAAAAAAAATACATAAAAGAATTATTATTCAGCCATAGAAAAAAAGGAAATCCTGCCATCTGTGATAACATGGATGGGCCTTGAAGGCATTATGCTAAGTGAAATAAGTCAGAGAAAGATAAATAATGTATGACCTCATATATATGTGGAATCTAAAAAAACCAAAGTCATAGATACAGAGAATAGATTGGTGGTTGCCAGAAGTGTGAAGGTGGTCAAAAGGTACAAACTTCCAATTATAAGATAAATAAGTTCTGGGGATATAATGTCCAGCATGGTGGCTATAGTTAACAATACTATATTGCATATTTGAAAGGTGCAAAAAATCCCATCTTAAAAGTTTTAAGAAAAAATTTGTAACTATGTGAAGTGATAAATGTTAACTAAACTTACTGTGGTAATCATTTATATCAGTATCAATATATAAATAAATCATACTGTACACCTTCAGTGAATACAATGTTATATGTCAATTGAATCTCAATAAAATAAAAAATATCAATAAAAAATAAAAACAGGGATAAGAAGATACAAACTTTGAGAGCGTTGTTTCTTTGAAGGAAGGGGAAAATGGACTGTGGGGAGTACAGAGGGGATTTCAACTCTTATTTTTAATTGCAAAAGGTAAAAAGCATATATAATTATTAGCACACCTGCTTTTAGATGGTGAAGATGTATTATTATTTTTGCTCCTTTTATAGATTTCTGAAATATTTAAAATGAGAAAGCCAGTCATACACAAATGGAAGTCCCTAAATGGATCCCTGGGACATCCTTATCCTGGCTTCTCTGGGATAAGTACCTGGCCTTCGATTCTTCGGCCCATACTCCATGATGCTGTCACTGTGCTGAGATAGTGTTTCATCCTTCCTACTCTCCATCTCTTCGTTTCCAATATCGTCTTCTTCATAGTCAGTCTTTTCTTTAATTCGATCACCCAGGGCACTTTTTAACATCTACTGAGAAAATACTTTTCAACACTTTTATTGATTTCAGCAGAATGCAAGTTGGAAAAAGTAGACAGAATCCTTAAAAAGCTTCTCATAATTAGGCATGAATAATTTTCAGATGCTTATGCATATTTAGTTTCTGAAGGGTGTATATCAGTGCTATGGACTATTCAGTTTCAATAAACTTTAGAGTAAATCACATAAGGATTTAATACATGTATTCAATGATACCCCCAAACTGTAATACTGGATTTTATGAGAATCAAGAGATCTAATTTTATACCAAATCTGTCTTAGGTGTATCTAAAAGATTTTAATGTAATCACTTAAAATGATTAGTTTTCATCAGAATTCAATAAAAATCAGGATAAATCCATACCAAATTTGGTTATATCATGAAAGGCTACGTAAGAGATGACTTCTCATCCTGTGTCCTACCTGCCTGATTTATGGAACATTTTCACAATAACTAAGACACAACTAATTTTAGTACCTTAGCTTAGCTTTCATCTTCAATTAGAAGATCACTTAAATACTCACCAACTATGGCAATCTCAATATAGATAAAAAAAACAAGACTTACCCAATCTAGTTCAGAGAGCCGTTGAGAGAGTTTCTTGGAAACTGAATGTAATTCTTGTTCTGTTAACCTCTTTCTTGGCCTCTGAGAGACGGCTGAATCCCAGGATGAGACTGCAGGTCTGCTTTCATATCTGTAATAAAATGACCATGTGACATTTAAGTAGCCAAGTGTGTGGTAATGCATGCTTTAACAAGTATTTCATACTGGTCTTCACAGCTAAATCTGGAGAGTATACCCCTTTCTTCAAATCCCTTTGCAAAAAGACTGAAAACAGACTGCAATAAATGTTACCTTTTTCCTTTGGGAAACTTCCTTGTCCTAGGGCCTTGGATCTGAGCTGAACACACTTCCTGTTTGCTATCTTTAGGCAACTCAGAAGTTAAGGGAACTTTATTATCTGATTCCTATTAAAAACAAGAGAGTTGATTTGAAAAAGCTACAAAAGATGGCACATTTTGGGTGGGAGGATAAGGGAGGACCTGTGGCACAAAGCTTAGTCCCTTTATTCTCCATGTTTTACTTTTTTTTTTTTTTTAAGTTTTTTCATTTATTTAAGCAATCTCTACACCCAACATTTGAGCCTGATGCAGGGCTCAAACTTAAGACCCTGAGATCAAGAGTTGCATGCTCTTCCAACTGAGCCAGCCAGGCACCGCTGTTTTACTTTTTAAAAAACACATTTGTCAGGGCGCCTGGGTGGCTCAGTTGGGTAAGCGTCTGACTGTTGATTTCAGCTCAGATCATAATCTCAGGGTCATGAGATTGAGCCCCGCTTCAGGCTCCACGCTGGGAGTGGAGCCTGCTTAAGATGCTCTCTCTTCCTCTTCCTTTGCCCCTCCCCCTCCACACCCTGCTCATGCTCGCTCGCTCTCTCTCAAAAAAAATAAAATTGTCAAAATACTCTCTTGATCCTCAATACCAAAGCAATGGAAGAGCAATGTCTATAAACTAGTACTCAGATAAAAACTGTGGGTCAGGATGCCATTCAAATATAAAGGCAGGTGAGATGTTCTCAAATATGAAAATTTAGGGGTTATGGCTACACCTGGACAATGAAAAGATGATCAAATCACAAGTGGTATTAAAATCATTCTCTTTAGTATTAAAGAAGTCAACAGAAACTGTCCAAAACCGTAATAAAATCTTCTAAAATATGAATATAAACTCAACGTTTTTAACTATTTTTTAAAGATTTATTTTAGAGAGAGAGAGAGAGCAGGCGCAAGTGCGGGGGGGGGGTGGGACACAAGGAGAGGGAGAGAAATCCCCAGACTCCCCGCTGAGTGCCGAGCCCAGTGTGGGGCTTGATCCCAGGACCCCAAGATGATGACCTGAACTGAAGGCAGACTGAGCCACCAAGACACCTCATTTAATAATTTATTTCTTAATCTCAGAGGAAATCTTATGAAAAAACAAAAATATTTGATGTTTAAGAATCCCTTCAATTTCACCTATCTTTTTCTTCTACCAAAGTAAAATTAAACACTTCTTAGTAAATAACTATAATACAAATTTTTAAAAACTTTTTATTGAAGTTTAAGTGTCCTGCTCAAGAATTATTTCAAAATGAGTATTCTCACTTACATGCCACTCAGGTTAGGAAATAGAGTAGTACCAGCAACTCAGAAGCTCTTCTACCATCCTCCCCTAAAACTCCCCCATATGTAACCAGTATCCTATGATCCCTTTTATATATCTATCCACCCTCCTATGTGAACAGATGCACAGAATGTTTAGAAGAATGATGGCCACCTAATGCTAATGATGCTTATTTCATCTTTGCACTTTTTGTGCACTGTCTGAATTTTTAATAATGAGAATGTATCATTGTTTACAAATTCACCTTTTGCATATCCCTAGCTGTTCATTTCTAGGAGGATAGGGACAGGATAACTTTATAAAAAGGGAATTTTCAAAGAGTGGAAGCAAACAGACCATGGTATTAATAGCAGTTCACACTGTATAATAGGAATATGAATGAAAGACTATTCCTCATATTTTTTTTTTAAAGATTTTATTTGTTTGACAGAGAGAGACAGAGCGAGAGAGGGAACACAAGCAGGGAGAGTGGGAGAGGGAGAAGCAGGCTTCCTGCCGAGCAGGGAGCCTGATGTGGGGCTCGATCCCAGGACCCCGGGATCATGACCTGAGCCAAAGGCAGACACTTAACGACTGAGCCACCCAGGCGCCCCATACTTTTTTTTTTAAAGATTTTTATTTGTCAGAGTGAGAGTCAGAGTGCGTGCATGTGCACAAGCAGGGGGAGCGGTAGGCAGAGGGAGAAGCAGGCTCCCCACTGAGCAAGAAGCCTGACACAGGACTCGATCCCAGGACCCTAGGAACATGACCTGAGCCAAAGGCAGACACTTAACTGACCCAAGCATCACCCCCCCCTTTTTTTTTAAAGATTTTATTTATTTATTTGAGAGAGAAAGAGAGAGTGCTTGCACAAGCAGGGGGAGAGGCAGAGGGAGAGAGAAAGGGAGGAGCAGACTCTCCATTGAGCAGGGAGCCAACGTGGGGGCTCGATCCCAGGACCCTGAGATCATGACTTGAGCCAAAGGCAGACACTTAACCAACTGAGTCACCCAGGTGCCCCTATACTTTCTTATAAAAGTTTAACTAATTTAACTAGGGACATAGAATAAGGGGCTCTGAAACTAGAATACTGAGTTCAAATCCTGACTCTACAGTTGCTCTGTGACCTGAGACTAGATATTTAATCTCTTCATATCAGCTTCCCCATGGGAAATAAAAATCATACCTACCCCACAGCTGTTATGAGGAGTAAATTATTCAATACCTGTAAAATACCTATAACTGTGCATGACACAAAATAAACACAATGCATGTTAGCTCTTAATATTTTTCTTTTTATACATTCATCCCTACTGTCTTAGAGTAAGAACATGTAGGTATATGCAGAGGTAAAATTTCAGAAGTACAGTGCTCTAATTAGTGGAGTATCCTTTACTACTATTCTAGCAGAGACCTCTTTAAATCTATAGCCTTCTACCTAATTGTAAGCAAGCTTTTCCACTTACCACAGAAAATGCTGTGCGCTCTCCAGTAGAATTCATGGCAGGGGAGATGTGACTTGAACGCAAGTATTCTTTTCCTATGGGACAGGGTGCTCGAGGCTCTGAAGGGTGGTAGGGTGGATGTAAAGGAATAGCTGATTGAATAGGCTCCCCTAGCTTCCTAGCACTTGGAATCACATCCACAGAAGGAATTTCCACTAGTTGGCAAAAATAATGTGGACATGTTAACATGAAACTCTAAGAAATACATCATTTAATATATACACATACCTATAGATACTAAAAACCTAAATGACTTGAAGAATAGCTACATAAATTACAGTTCATCCATGGGTTATAAAACTCGTTAGCCATTAACAATGATTTTATGTAATACTAAATAAAATCCCAGAGAAAACAGTAAGAAATGAGAATACTGTATTTTCAATTACTGTATTTTATTATTCCCTAATAATCTGAAGACCACCAACTGATATACTAATGTATTAGAGACTCATATTGTCCTAAGTCTTTAAGAGAAAAATAATAAAACAGTGGATGTAAAACATGTGACCAAAAACCATTTTAAGAAATCAGAGCTCATAATTAATAGCAAACATTTAAAATATGATCATGTAAAACCAAAGAGAATCATATAAAGTATAGAGCAATAAAAGCAAAAAGGCTAATAGCAACAGAAATTGTCCCAGGAACTAACTATTACCTCTAACTCACTAATAACACCTTACTACTCACTGTCTTCAACAAAAGATGTCCTGTTCTTGGACAAAAAACTAGATAAGGGAGGGTGTGGCACTTCTTCATATGATATGGTTGAGGCTTTTTTGGACTGCATTTCATTAGGGCCTTTGGCACCTAGAAAAGAAAATATTAAAGGTAGAATTTTTTTGTTGCTGAATATTATACTAAAAACCAGGAGTTTCGTACCCAGAGGATAAAAATCTCATGAATGACATAATCATTGAACTGTGTTGGTCTGATTGCTCAAACTATGTTTTTTTTTTTTTTTTTTTACAACGCATTACTTTTAATAACTACCAGAGAAGAAGATCTGGAACCACTAATACAAATTAAAAGTAAAGATTTACATCATATTACTTTTCTTTAGAAAAACAAGTGCCATAAAAATAGACACAAAGATCAAAAGAACAGAATAGAGAGCCCAGAAATAAACCCATGCTTATATGGTCAATTAATCTACAACAAAGGAGGTAAGAATATACGATGGGAAAATAGTCTCTTCAATAAATGATGTAGGAAAGTGGACAGCTACATGCAGAAGAATGAAGCTGGAGTACTTCAACACACCATACACAAAAATTACCTCAAAATGGATTAATAAACAACTAAATGTGAGACAAGAAACCATAAAACTTCTAGAAGAAAACACAGGCAAGTAATCTCTTTGACATCAGCTTTAGTAATGTTTTTGTGGTATGTCTTCTCAGGCAAGGGAAACAAAAGCAAAAATAAACTATTGGGACTACACCAAAATAAAAAGCTTCTGCACAGTGAAGGGAACCATCAACAAAGTGAAAAGACAAACTACTGAAAACACGAGAAGACATTTGCAAATGATATGTCTGATAGAGGATTAATACCCAAAATATATAAAAAACTGATATAACTCAACACCAGAAAAACCCAGATTAAAAAATGGGCACAGGACCCGAATAGACGTTTTTCCCAAAGAAAACATACAGATAGCCAACAGACACAAGGTGCTCAACATCACTAATCATCAAGGGAAATGCAAATCAAAATCACAATGAGATATGGCTAGACTCAAAAAGACAAGAAATAACAAGCATCGACAAAGATTTCATGTGAAGAGAAAGGAATTCTTGTGCACTGTTGGTGGAAATGGAAATTGGTATAGCCACTATGGAAAACAGTATGAAGGTTCCTCAAAAAAGTAAAAATAAAAATACCACATGATCCAGTAATTCCACTACTGTGTATTTACCCAAAGAAAAAAACACTAACTTGAAAAGATATATGCATCCCTGTTTATTGCAGTACTTACAACAGCCAAGATACGGAAATAACCCAAGTGTCACTGATAAATGAAGGGATAAAAGAGATGTGGTGTACATGTATACACACACACACACACACACACAATTACTTAGTCATAAAAAAGAATGAGACCTTGCCATTTACAACATGGATAGACTTAGTATTATGCTAAGTGAAATAAGTCAGAGAAAGACAAATACAATTTCACTCACATATAGAATCTAAAAAAACATATGAACAAAAAAAAAGAAGAAACAGATCCACAAATACAGAGAACTGATGTTTTCCATACAGGAAGAAGTAGGGAGAATGGGTAAAATGGGTAAAGTGGAGTGAGGTACATAGGCTTCCAGTTATGGAATGAATAAGTCACAGGGATGAAAGGTACAGTAAAAGAATATAGTCAATGGTATTATAATAATGTATGATGACAGATGGTAGCTATACTTGTGGTGAGACTAGCAAATATATGGAGTTGCCAAATCACTATGTTGTACATCTGAAACTAATGTAATATTGTGTCAACTATACTTCAATTAAAAAAATTACTAATATGTACTATATGGTTACATTTTAAAAAATCATATGAGATACACATTTGCGTATCTGTAAGGAAAGAAATCAAAATGTTAACAGTGGTTTTCTCTAGGTCAGAGGTTGGCAAACCATAGCCCAAGGTCCAAATCTGACTCATCAACTGTTTTTGTAAATAAAAGTTGTTTTAAGGTTTTAAGTAATCTCTACATCCAACATGAGGCTTGAACTCACAAACCGGAGATCAAGAGTCACACACTCTACTGACTAAGCCAGTCAGGCACCACTGTAAATAGCTTTATTGGAACACACTCATATACAAAGAGGTGCCAGAACTGCAGGAACGCTGTTATGGGGGTATATCCCTGAGCTAGGAATCTTGGCTGATACAATAAAAAAATTTATAGGTCAAATTGTTTTGTCTAATTTTTGAATGCTTATTTTTTAAAAAGATTTTATTTATTTATTTGACAGAGAGAGACACAGCGAGAGAGGGAACACAAGCAGGGGGAGTGGGAGTGGGAGAGGGAGAAGAGAAGCAGGCTTCCTGCCAAGCAGGGAACCTGATGCGGGGCTCGATCCCAGAACCCTGGGATCATGACTTGAACCAAAGGCAGACGCCTAACGACTGAGCCACCCAGGCGCCCCTGAATGCTTAATATTTTTAATCGGCTTTATAATATTACATATAGAGCTGTATTAAAATATTCCTGAATATCCACTTTGTTCCCTTAGAAATCTACATTACACAAACTCTCCATAAACAAAATGGATTTATGACTCCCCCTCTCCAGATGACTATTTATGCCTTCTTCAATTTAATGAAAGACTTCACCATAAACTTATTCCTCACTTTGAAGACATGAGAATGCACCCTGTGCATTCTCCAAACTCATTGTTACCAAATGGTCAAATGACATAATGACTACAAACAGAAAAATTCACCTTGCACAGATCCCAAACTCCATGCAATTTATTCCAAGACGCTGTACATTTAAAATTTTTTGACACTCATTTTATGTCTTTTAAAAACCAGCACACACATCGTTTTGTGCTTTCCTTTTCCACAATCCAATTCAATATGGCCATTTTCACATCAAAATGTTAAAATATCTGAATCTCCCTCCATAACTTCCTATTACACATGAAGAGTATCTGAGATCTAATGTTCAAAATTCTTTAACATGGTCCACAATTTTCTCTACTACCCAAACTGAATTTGTCATCAGCTTGACCTCAGGCTAATTCACTTTTACCCGGGTCCATTTTTTCTTTAGTTTCTTGGATGACCAAGAAACTCATATGCTCTTTATTTTTGATGAATTTCTCCTAAAATCTCATGCTTAGTTACCACCTGGAACTTTTGTCAGACTGCAAGTGACACACTCAAATCTCTCTCCATAAATTTTAGATTGTTTTAAGGATATACTGTTTAATTACTGGAATGATTCTGAACTTGTCTACTGTAAGTAAGCATTAATAAAATTAAATTATATATCTATATGATAAATGTATATAACAGTTCATAAAAAAAGGAGGGGGCAGCCCTGGGTAGAAAAAAAATGGGTGAATATGGTCAAAAGGTACAAACTTCCAGTTAAATAAGTCAGGGGAATACAATATACAAAGAGGATAGAACTTAAAAGTTGTCATCACAAGAAAAAAAAATTTCAACTACCTGTACTGACAAATGTTAACTAGACCTTTGTGATGATTATTTCACAATATATGTAAACAAAAAATCATTAGGTTGTACATCTGAAACTAACGATGTTACATGTCAGTTACATCTCAATTAAAAAAAAAGATTCGGGCGCCTGGGTGGTTCAGTCGTTAAACGTCTGCCTTCGGCTCAGGTCATGATCCCAGGATCCCGGGATCGAGTCCCGCATCGGCTCCCTGCTCTGCGGGGAGCCTGCTTCTCCCTCTCCCACTCCCCCTGCTTGTGTTCCTTCTCTCACTGTGTCTCTCTCTGTCAAATAAATAAATAAAATCTTAAAAAAAAAAAAAAGATTCATAGCCCAGGAACTTAAGCCTGAATTAGACACCCATGAATGTATATGACGACAGTTATAAGTTAAATCCAAATATAAGAGGAAGATACCATAGTCCTTTATGACACCAAACACCTTACCCTAGCTTTTCTTTCAACCTTTTCTCTTTTGTCTTAATTGCATTATAATCTGAATAGTTAAAATCTGAAAACAATTCACTTTTTATAGATGCAACCTTTCTATGTGGCAGTTGCTACCACAGCACACCATTTTTAAAATCACCATCCCTTCCACCTTCTGTCAATCCACCTGACTCTCTTCCTTCTAGAAACACTACCTACACTTGACTCTGGTCATTCCCTTACTTTGCTCCTCCTAGTAGCAAGTACATGTCTTTGGTCTACTGTCTAACCTTCCAGACTTAGGTTCTTTGAACATTAATTCCTTGGAATTCAATGTCTATTCTTTAGAATAAAAGTATTAATGCTGAAAGGGATTTCAGAGAGGGTTTGTTCAATTCTCTGATTTAACGCATTAAGAAACTGAGGCTCAGGAAAGATAAGGACCTTGTCCAAAGTCACACAGCCAGTAGCAGAGTCTGGATAAGAGTTTGGCCACTTGATTCCCAATTTAATATACTTAGTTCCTCTCTAGCATTCCTGTTCTTCCATTAAAAAAACTCCGCAACTTATTGTGGGCCTGGTGTTTTGCAAAGTTTTGGAATACTAAGATGAATATAAATGATTTTACTATATATTTCACTTGTCTTATTTATTGGCTGCCTCCACAAGTAGAATGTAAGCTCCACAAGGGAAGGGATTTGTGTCTATTTTGTTTACACTGTAACATGACTGCCTGGCACATGGAAGGCACTAAATATTTGCTGAATGAATATGATGTGGCTACTGTCCCTGAAACTCCGTTTACCTAATAGACACACTCAAAATTAACTATGTGATGTGAAGAATGCTATTACCAAAATAAGGAGACAGAGCCACACTGCAGAAATATAGAACCTTAGAACCTGAGGCACACGGGAGAGACTGGGCTTTGTAGGGTAAATTTGCCACGAATAGAAAGGAAGGAAGAGCACCCCAGCAGAAGAAACCGTATGATGCCAGAAAAGAGCATGTCAATGAAGGTAGGCAGGACAGGGAGTGGGATGTTGGAGGACTGCAAGGTGGGAGGCTCAGAAGGGGTTTGAGAGAGAGTCAGGCTTACTGTGTATAAATAGCAGACTGTGAGAAATGTGGCCTGACACCTGGCAGAAAAATTGCCACTGGATATACAGACTCATTGGTTGAAACCATGAAAAGAGCACTGTTTAGGAAACTACACTTAGGGGGTAATCTGAATGTGAGTAGACTATTAAGTTGCATCCAGAAGTCTCTTCCCAGAGTATCAAGTCCCACATATTACATGACAAACTTGCATCCACCTGTTTGCCCATGTGCCTGCCTGTGGCTCCTACTTGACTGATTTCTTTTTTTTTTTTTTTTAAAGATTTTATTTATTTATTTGAGAGAGAGAGAGCACATGAGAGGGGGGAGGGTCAGAGGGAGAAGCAGACTCCCCGCTGAGCAGGGAGCCCGATGCGGGACTCGATCCCGGGACTCCAGGATCATGACCTGAGCCGAAGGCAGTCGCTTAACCAACTGAGCCACCCAGGCGCCCCCTACTTGACTGATTTCATGTTAACCGTTCATATTTAGGATAATGGTGGTATACTCCTGGAAATTCAATTCTAATATTGACTTACAGCTCTCTCTATTCTTCTCAACTATAAACATTCCTAAGTATAACTATTTATATTTTCAGTTATATGACAACAATAACTGATATCTAACAACTTACCATTACTTCTTAGAGAAAAGGTGTGTGCTGTGTCTCCCAGTCTAATTATTTCACCGGTGGATTCTGTTTCATCTCCATCCCAAGAGGGGCCCAAAGCCTCAGATGACAAGGAGCACCTGAAAGAGTTCCCTTACTTACTTGGGGCCCAGCCTAACCATAGAGGGCCCCTCCCAAGGACCCCGAGAGTTCCTCCTAACAGCCTGTCTACGGGTATTCAGACTGCTCGTTGTTATGTGCAGAAAAAGAGCAACATACTCCCTTCTGCTGCTTATCACTTCTTGCTGCTTGTCTGTTTTGACTGATATATGTATGGGGGAACTAACTGTGTTCAAAGTGTCAAGGATTAAATGCATAGGAGAATCCACACAGAAAACAATAAACATTGGATATTCTAGGGGTGTGGGAGTGGAGTCTGGGTAGGGTATTAATTTTGCACTAAATAGTCTTGTGTTGTTTCACTTTTGTACTTTTTAAAAAAATCTAATAATAAGAAATAAAGTCAGGAAATTCATCTTATGGTGGTCTCCTTTAAGACATGTTTTCCACAATGTACTATACCTAAATAGGAAAGCGCAGCCTGTGATTTTCAAATCATGACAAACTCCATAAAAACATGGAGAATCAGATATTTAAAACAAAGTCATAGCATCATATTCAACCTCTAGTTATAACTACCATCAAATCTGTAATGACATATTTTTTCCATAAAAGTCACAGAAATTTTAAAACTCTGTTATTTGTTAACAATATTGATTCATGAGAGTGCAGTAACCCAGCAATTTTATACTGCTGGTGAGTGTATAAACCGCCACCACCTTTTTGGAAAGCGACTGCTTTTAAAAGCTTTATAACATTCATTCTCTTTGAATGAGTTTAAAGAATAGCTTAAAGAATAAAGAATAGCTTAAAGAATAAGTAAAAGTATGTATCACATTTTTAAAACCATAAAAAACACAGGAACAGCCACCTCCACTTCAGAGGAGTGGTTTAGCCAATTATGAAACACACATATGAATGGTCTGTTATATGGTGATTAAAAATTATTACAAAGATTTTAACAACTTGAAGACTATTGATGTGTAAAGCTTTAAAATGCAAAAAACAAAATTATATAAACAATATAACTAAATCCAAAAGACCCTCGAAACAGTAAAAACGACTAAAGTATAACAAAACATCAACAGTACTTATTCAGTTTTGAATGGCAGAGTTCATCTTTTTTTTGTTTTTTTTGGTTTTTTTCCTAATTTCTCTGTACTTTACAAGTTTTCTATAAGGAACATAAACTATTCTGATGACATAGGGAAAAATTTAAAAATAAGTAGGTGCTTAATACTGAGAATTAAGTACTACATATAGCTCATGGTTCTTAAAACTCCCTCAAGAAGGTTTAAAATATGAGAAGGTAGTAAAATTTTCACACTCGTTTTTTTTGTTTGTTTTTTACTGCCATTCTGGTATATTGTGTGCCATTTCAATTCTTAGTAGAAGGAAAAAGCATAACTTGCTATGATTAAATTCATAGACATTGAGTGCTACCTCTCAAAAGAAACCCTTTTCCATGATGACCTGGATCCCTTAGTACTTTCTGGCTCTTCCAAAAGTTCTCCTTGATGGGATTCTTTAAAACTCTGTCCAGTTTCACCTGTTTAAAATAGACAAAAACAATACCAAAACCCCCCAAATTAATAACACTATTTTTATACAGGGATAGGTAGAGGTAAGAACAGTAAGGCACCCTCATCCTCTCCTGGTAAACTGGGCTCTTGTGAACATGAAATTAGAAAGAACCAAATCATCACCTGTGATGAGCATATTACTTGGGTAACAAACAACAAAAGTGTTGTTTTAAAAGCAGGGTCTGCAGTTGTATTAGCAACGTTTTATTTTTTAAGCTAGGTGGTAGGTTCATTTTCTATTGTTTATAAACACCGTCCTGTCTATAAGGGATGTCTAAGGTAAGAGGATTAGGCTGTGGCTTCAGAACATGACTGTGTCAGCTTGCTTCAGGCTCCAAGACTATCACTCCCCTAACCTAAGAGTCAGACTACATTAAGGCTTGGATGGAATTTTCCTTAAGACGATCACTCTTTTCTTCTATCCCAACATATCTGCGGATTACACGTTCACCAGTGGCAGCAACTCACTAGCAATGTGATTTTAGGAGGTATGTGGGTGAACCTCCTATGATCCAGATTTATGGGTATTCCCATCTCCATTACTAGAGATTCCCTGTTTGAACATCCACCATCATTTTTTTCTATTTCTGTACTCAACAAGCAACATTTTAATAACATTAGTTAACATTCACTGTGCATCTACTCTAAGCTTGGCTCAGTGCTAAACTATTCATGCATTATCTACTTATTTGACCTTCACTACAGCCATGAAAGAATTTCAGATGAGAAAACTGAGGCTTCGAGAGCTTCAAACAATGAGGGGCATAATGCAGCACTGACTCAAGGTCTCCTTTCAAATCCTTTGGCCTTCAGTTTAAGCAAATGATAATGCTGCTCTGTATACCTGATGCGACTCATGATAATAAAGATTTACTTCCCATTATTAACTGGCATTTTGAAGAATCTGCTCAGCTCTAAGTAATATTGCCATATCAACTTGGACCTGCAAAGGTGAGAATCAGACTTTAGAAAACACTGTCCAACTCAGGTACTACCGCACAGGGAGGCCCCATCTGTGCCACTCCCTCCTAGCAGCCCTAAGTTCACCACATTCTACTGACCTCCCCTTGAAAGATCCCTTCTCAGCCCTGCCTCAGCATTTCACTATGACCAGACTCCCATGTAAATCTCTCTCAGTTCTGTGCTCCTCTCTCCATCCCCACTGCCCTATCCGTGGCCAAGTCACCATCGCCCCTCCCCTACTTACAATCAAGCACCGCATTGTAAAAACTGCTGCTGTCAGTGTAAAATTTCAAATCAATCTCCATCTAAAGGTAGTTTTCTACCCCTTAATCTTGCTGCTAAAATGACTAAATAGTCACAGAGCATCAAAATACCTACTGGTAACCTTGAATTAGGTGAGTTTCACATGTCTTTCACTCTCCCCCAATTCTCCTATAATGTTTTTATTGTACAACAGTCCCCCCTTATCCATGGGGGATATGTTCCAAGATCCCCAGAGAATGCCTGAAACCACGGATAGTATTGAACACTATATATACCCTTTTTCCTGTACGTACATACCTATGATAAAGTTCAGCTTCTAAATTAGGCACATTAAGATAAACAATAGCTAATAAAAAAATAGAGCAATTACAACAATATACTACAACAACAGTTACAGAAATGTGTTCTCTGTCAAAATATCTTATTCTATTGTATTCACTCTTTTTGTGATGATGTGGGATGATAAAATACCTACGTGATGGGATGAAGTGAGTGAATGACACAGGCACTGCAATACAGCATTAGGCTATTATGACCTTCTGACAATATGGCAGGAGGATCATCTGCTTCTGGACAGAGGTTGACTGCAAGTAAACTGAAACTGCGGAAAGTAAAACTGCACATGTGGGGGGACTATTCTATGTATTTATGGCTGTCTTCCTGACTTGAGTATAGGTTTCTTTGAGAGCAATAAACATGGCATGCAATTCTGAATCCTCCCAGAGTACTTGGGCTGGTACATACTTAACATACCTTAAACACTTAAAATACTCCACACTCAGAACTCTCGAAGTTTTTGAAATAAGAAATATCTTCTGTGGCAATCTTTCCTTCCTACATGTGATTTTAAATCTTTTCAACAATGATGATAAAAGGTAGAAAACTATCACTAAAGAGTTTAAGGTTAATTTCAAATGTTATAATCACAGCACAGGTCTCACCATCAACAGTGTGAGAAGAATGATAAGCTACCCAAATTTTTGTCTTCATTCATATTAGAATTTATGTTGATTACTACTACTGCTAAAAACTTGTTGGGTAACTTTAAAATAGTAAACCCATTCTTACATGGGTCATATATTACTCCAATCATGACACAGCATTATTTACTCAACCAATCTCAAACTGTTAAGACACATAGGTTTTTTTTTTCTTTCTTTTCAATTACATTGCAATGAAGACCTTCAAGCACCTTTCTTTTATATTACTTCCTTAGGATAAATTCTTAGAAATGAGATAAATTGAGCCAAAGATTATAAATTGCTCTTATATACTGCTGATCCATTTTAAATAACCATAAGCCTTTTAGAAGATAATATGGCAATATTAATCTTTATAATTATCATTAAAAACCATAAAAAAAAATTTCACACAATAAATTGTTACAATTTGGGAAACTGGGCTACTGAAGACTCAAATAAAATGTTCAGGCTGTCACAAACCTAAATGTAGGTTGAAGACAAAAAAACACACCAATTCTTCCTGCTAATGCTTTAGCAATATCCAAATTTGTAACAAAAATAGCACTTCTGACAGAGGAAATTATAGAGTCAGTAATTTCATGCAATAATAGGACAACGGGCAATTTTAGCCAGAATTTAGCTATTATAAGATTAGCCTTAAAGTAATTTATAAGCAATATCCAAGTTGACAAAGGACATGGTGACAGTCTGGGGTAGTTTTTCTCAACCACTTAGAACAGTAAGAATTGAGATTTAATTTATGATTAACTTTACCAGGTATATGCATTAGTGACTCCAATTCCTGTGAAGAAAAACAGGCAAAAAGAAAAAAGGCAAAAAGGGACAGGATGTAGAATATAAACCAAATCAAATTTCTATTTTTAAACTTACTTTTCTCATGAGATGTCTCACTGATGTGTTCTGTAAGATACTCCAGCAACCCATCAAATATTTCTAGCAGATTCTTAATAGATTCTTTATCTCCTTTCACTATATTTTCTCCTAAACACAGGATAGAGCTAATTAAAAATATTAACCAAGAAACTGAAAGCCTCATAATTTTGAAATGAATATACCACCATGTACTGTTCTAGATAAAAGAACTGTAAACTAACTCAGGAAAAACAGTAATATAAATATTAAAAATATGAATTTTTTCTCTTTTTTAAAAATATTTTATTTATTTACTTGAGAGCGTGAGAGCGAGCACAAAAGCAGGGTGAGGGGCAGAGGGAGGAGCAGACTCCCTGCTGAGCAGGGAGCCCAATGCAGGGCTCAATCCCAGGACCCTGAGATCATGACCTGAGCTGATGGCAGCCGCTTAACCGACTGAGCCACCCAGGCACCCCAAAACATGAATTTTCTGATGCCTAATTATATTTGAAGAAACAAAAGCAGCAGCCTTGAATATAATGTTTGATAATTAACTGGCATATTCCTTCCTGTATCAAGAAACAAAGTAAGTGGACTTAAGAAAACATCCCCTAGTAATATTTATACCAAAATATAAAGCATCTAAGCAGAACTTTATTAGGCTGGTGAAAAAAAATAGCATGAGAGAACACAGTTTCAGATTGTGAGATCCTACTTCTAGATGGTGGTTTGTTCTGAAGATAACAGCAGCAGAGTAATATAAAAACAAAACAAGTTTGTTGGGATACTTTCGTCAGGAATCTCTCATTTTTTCTATTTGCTAACTTCTGTTCATTTTGTATGCATTATGTCATTTTCTTACTTAAAAATTGCCTATGCATACAAACTTCCAATTTGTATAGCTTTGTATACAGTTTGTATAACTTCCAGTTATAAAACAAGTCAAAGAGATAAAAAGTAAGGCATAGGGAATAACGTCAATAATACTGTAATTAGAACTGTATGGTGACCGATGGTAACTAATCACAGTGAGTACTGTGTAATATACAGAACTGTTGGATCACTATGTGGTACACCTGAAACCAATATAACTTTGTGTCAACTATACTTCAATAATAAATTTTCTTAAAACTGTCCATTCATATAAAACCCTTTTTAATTTCACCTCACCCCAACTTCTCTAGTCCAATCTCCCACCGCATCCACTTTACACCCAGAAGTTAATCTTTAAACAATCCCTAGCACAATACCTGGCCCATAATAAATCTTTAATAAATGCTAAATTGAAATATTGACAAGAAATGGGTTGGTAAAAGCATGGAAACTTGGCATGCTTAGTGTCACCTAAAATGGACTCTAATCAACATCAGGTATGGATGGAATTTAACTCAAGACACTTGGGTTGTCCTTCAGGAGATCATGCCTGCAATTCTCATAAGTTCAAACCAGTAAGGGAGAGGCAAAATGGAAATTTGATATTTGAGAGAATCTAGCCATTCAAAGCTTCATTCATGATGCAAAACAAACCTAAACCAGAAATGTGATGTTCAACACTACTACTAGTACAGATGGACATTTGACAGTTTTTTTGTTTAAAACAAACAGAAATATTATTCTTAAGCCTTATGTTTTTCTGACTTAACAAGATACACAAGTATACCCCCAGGGCATACTCAGAAATTCTGAGTTGCCAGGATGGGGAGCATCTTCTGCCAACCCAGCGACTAAGATGGCATGCCAGAGTGAAGTGCTTTGTGGTATAGGAGATATTGCTTTAAACAGAACACAAGGAGTAAAAAGATGCTGTGCAGTATACCCCACAAGAGGTGAGCAGTTTTGCAACTTTTCATGGGGTGGGTGTGTGTTGTCAGGAGCAGCTCTGCGTTAAAAAGTTATATATGCAGATACAACCTTGCTATAGTAGGTTTAAAAGCACAAATACCAGAAATTGCCCTGTTCAAGTGATAAAGCAATTCAAAATTACAAAGGAACAGGAAAATCCTTGGATTACCCTTCAAAATGAATTATCTCCAAATTTACCACATTTACTCACCTAGAACTGCACTCAAAAATTATTTTTCTAAAAGTCTGTCAATATTAAATTGAGAGATGTAAATGACCTATCCTGATTAACATTTCTCTCTCTTAACTGTCAAAGAACAAACCAATAGTGTAAGCCTTCTCTTAGTGATTCAAATATAGTTTCAAACCCACAGATTCCCTCTCTTCCTTAGCTTGAAATAATTTACTGCAATAATCCTCATTTTCTTACTATGTAAAATATAGGGATTTATAAATATATTTGGTAAGTCTGGCTTCAGAATACAAGCCAGACTGGTATACTTTATTTTGGAAAAAGGTTCACAATTTAGTTTTATTTATTTTGAACAGACAATATATTAATGGGGTTTAAAATTCAAACAGTGCAGGGTGCCTGGGTGGCTCAGTCAGTTAAGCATCCGACTCTTGATTTTGTCTCAGGTCATGATCTCAGGTTTTGAGATCAAGCCCCACGTCAGGCTCCACACTGGGCGTGGAGCGTGCTTAAGATTCTCTCTCCCTCTGCCCCTCCCTCGCATTTGCACATACACATTCTTTGTCTCTCTCAAAAATGAAACAAAATAAAAAGTAAAATTCAAAAGTGCAAAAGGTATATAATGAAATCTCAGCCCACCCTCATCCTGTAGCCCTGAAGTTCCTCTTATTGGAAGCAATTAGTATTATAGGTTTCTTGCACATGCTTTGAAAGAGTCCTTCTGCAAGCAATCAACTGCATATTTACTCTCCTCACCTTTATTTTCTACAAGTAGCACCATACTCTGCACACTATTATCAAATGCACATTTTTCTGACACTATATACATTGGAGACTGCTGCACTAATATGGAACATTTTACATAATGAGCATCATCAAAAATCTTTTACATTGGCAGAGTAATTCCGTGTATGGAGCAATCATAACTTATTTAACCTGTCCTTATTTAGTGGACATTTAGATGTTGCTAATTTTTACCTACTACAAACAAGCAGCATGTTAGCTTTAAAATAACTAAACAACAGGGCACCTGGGTGGCTCAGTTGGTTGAGCGTCCAACTCTCGATCTCAGCTCAGGTCTTGATCTCAAGGTCATGAATTCAAGCCCCACATTGGGCTCCACACTGGGTGTGGAGCCTACTTAAAAAAATAACAAAACAGGGTGCCTGGGTGGCTCAGTCGTTAAGCATTTGCCTTCGGCTCAGGTCATGATCCCAGGGTCCTGGGATCAAGCCCCGCATCAGGCTCCCTGCTCAGCGGAGAACCTGCTTCTCCCTCTCCCACTCCCCCTGCTTGTGTTCCCTCTCTCGCTGGGTCTCTGTCAAATAAATAAAATCTTAAAAATAATAACAAAACAAAAAATAAAAGAATGAAAAACATACTGCAAACAACCAGCTAGGATACTTACATCTCAGATCCAGGTCCATCACAAACTCAGTGTTTGACTCTCCTAAAAAACCTCTCAAGGATGGGTGCCTTAATTCTACCAGTCAATTGTCTTGGCTCAGTGTTGTCGTTTGGTCTACTTCATAAGCTTACTCATTTGGTTAACTAAACAATGTATAGGGTTCTACCTAATAAATTATTTTAGTAAAATGCAAAATTATTTGATGGATAAGTATATACCAACCTGTTATGTGAGACAAGCTGACTTGCAGGTAATCCAAGGCCAGTGAATCAATTACTGCTTGTACATTGTGAGCTTCATCCTCTTGACTCCTGGGAATAGCTATGAGGTCTGTGGAAAAAAAGCTACGTAATTTTTCATCTGAGGGTCCAGGTTGTCATGGTCTCTGACCAGGCTTCTAAGTGAAGTTAACTGCTACAAAAGCAAGCTCCACCCAAAGAGAACAGGCTTTTATAAAGTACAGATAAAGCTAACAGAGCCTGATTTCTACATAGCACCTTTATTAGTTGAATACTTAGTCAATTAACATATACATGAACATGCTCTACAATAAGCACCATACTACAAAAAGATAAAGATAAATTCAAGGAGATGCTAATACTCTAATAAGGGAAACAATACATGAAGTGAGACTTTAACCCATAATCATGGGCTTCTTTCCATAAGAGAAAAAAACCCCACAACAGGTATGAAAGTAGAGTTCTCGTAAGTCTTGTTAAAGCACCCTAGTAGGAATTATTGGCATAATGATTTATTTATTTATTTTTTAAGATTTTATTTATTTATTTGAGAGAGAGAGACACAGAGAGGGAACACAAGCGGGGGGAGTGGGAGAGGGAGAAGCAGGCCTCCTGCCGAGCAGGGAGCCTGATGCGGGACTCGATCCCAGGACCCTGGGATCACGACCTGAGCAGAAGGCAGACGCTTAACGACTGAGCCACCCAGGTGCCCCCGGCATAATGATTTAAAAGGTCAGTATAGACCAGACTGAGGAGAGGTATTAACATCAACTTATATCTGGAATTTCTCCGCTGGTATTGAGGAAGATGAATGTTTTGGAGAAGGATGAAAAAAGTATTTTAAAAGACTGATCGGATAACTATATGCCTCTGCACTCAAAAGGTTAAGACTAGCATCAAAGATAACCAGCTAGAGGCCATCTCCATTATTCCAAGTGATGAAGGCACTAAGTCATGGTAAAAATGGGAAAGGAACACAGACTACACACAGTTTTAGTACTTAATGGTTGTAAGCTACACAAACAGAGACAGCAGAGGAATCTATGGATAAGGACTCTGAGATACTTAACCAGGGATGCAGGACAAACATCAACTCGTATCTGTAATACTGGTTAAGTAACAAGACCCAATAAGTTTCCAAGTTCCACTCAATTTTAGAACCTTTGAAGATACATTTACAGAAAAGGTGTAACTTTCATGAGATATTAGGCATAATTAAACAGAAATGACCAAGGCTGTTACTATGTGTGGGTCTCACTAAAGTACTTATTAAGGTAATGAATGCAATAGTTAGAAATAAGATACAAACAAATAAAAAGTCAAGATTTTACAAATCTCATAGGATCTAACTGAAGGCTCTCAAAACTAGTGGCCTCAAATATAGTCACTAGGGCGCCTGGGTGGCTCAGTTGGTTAAGCGACTGCCTTCAGCTCAGGTCATGATCCTGGAGTCCCAGGATCGAGTCCCGCATCGGGCTCCCTGCTCGGCAGGGAGTCTGCTTCTCCCTCTGACCCTCCCCCCTCTCATGCTCTCTGTCTCTCATTCTCTCTCTCAAATAAATAAATAAAATCTTTAAAAAAAAAAAAAAAAAAAAGAAATCTGACTTGAAGGGTGCCTGGGTGGCTCAGTTGGTTAAGCGACTGCTTTCGGCTCAGGTCGTGATCCTGGAGTCCCAGGATCGAGTCCCACGTCGGGCTCCCTGCTCAGCAGGGAGTCTGCTTCTCCCTCTGACCCTCCCCCTCTCATGCTCTCTCTCTCATTCTCGCTCTCAAATAAATAAATAAAATCTTAAAAAAATAAAAAAATAAAATAAAATATAGTCACTATTACTCCCACTTTTTAGTACCCTTACCTGGTACCTTTTCTCCCAAAATGGATTGGTAAAGAGCAATAAAAACATTAGCATCACAATCTTCTAGTTCTCGTATCCTCAGGTGTATGTGGCATTTCAAAAGAAGGTTATTGGCAACGGTTATCCACTCTGTCAGGAAAGGAAAAAGATCAGCCTTAAATAGCACTAGAAAAAGTCAACCCCCATGAAGATAGACATTGAATGACGGAGAAGATAAAATATTTGATTATTGTAGAAGTTCAAAGACCCTCTGAGGCACGAAATTTGAAAATATTTAATTTCTTGGGATGACTTCCAGAGTGCTAGAATTTTAATGTAGTCAAAACTATGATGCAAATCTAACTTTTACTATTGCAACCTAAAATCTTAAGTTATTTTACCCCTTTTCTTATTTTACCAGCCATACCTAGTGTTTTTATTTAAAACATACAAGTAGGGCGCCTCGGTGGCTCAGTTGGTTAAGCGACTGCCTTCCGCTCAGGCCATGATCCCGGAGTCTTGGGATCGAGTCCCGCATCGGGCTCCCTGCTCGGCAGGGAGTCTGCTTCTCCCTCTGACCCCCCCTCCCCATGTGCTCTCTCTCATTCTCTCTCTCTCAAATAAATAAATAAAATCTTTAAAATAAATAAATAAAACAAACATACAAGTAAACGGGAATATATGTCATAAACGAGACCGTTTGTTAACGATAGTCTGAGATTACCAGAAACTAATTAATAGAAGCTGCTTCAAATTCCCAATAGTATTAGTCATGTTTTTACCCAATTATCTATCTTGTGCAAGTCAGAATTTCTCTGGTGCCCAAATAGGTGGTGATTAACTTAGTCTGTTACAAACTGAAATAATGACACCAACACTACAACATTTATTAGTTTTTTAAAAATTACATTTAATGAATAAGAAATAAAACATAGAAAATACATAAAAACGTCCCTAAATTCAGAACTAGCACGTTACCAACGCTGTTGAAGTTTCCTGTGTACCACCGCACCCCACCCACAGATACGGTAGGAATTGGCAAGGTTATTTCAAGACTTTCTCAAACAAAGGTAATTTAGAAAGCCTGACCTATTTGATCCCTGATATAATTGGCGATTAAGGAGAAAGTCCTTTGACTTTGTGTTCGACATATTCAGCATGTTCTAGGAATAACGATGTCTCTGCGTTCAAGGCACGTTATCTCCCTCTCCCCACGCCCACTCCTCACAGCGGACCAAAACACGACAAGCAGTTTGAACGCTGTCCTGAGGAAAGGGATGAAAGCGTCCCAGACAACCCAACCCACTCGCTTTGCAAAAGCGGTTGCTAGACAAAGCCGGTAACTCCAAAGGGCACTGAGGAGAAAAACCCAGGAGCATCAGCAGATCTTAAGTGTGCCGTTCCCCCCAAAGTTCAATGCACATGCAGGTACGGCCTCAGCCCCCACAGTTCAAGAACCAGAGAACACGCTGACAGGGGCCGCATTCCCCAGAGAAATACAAGTCCCGGGAAGACGCTTTCTGACCGCCCTTTTTGCAGCCAAGTTGCAGGCGTGCTGCGGGCCTCGCCACGGGGTCCTTCTCTCCACACCCCAAAATCGCGCTCGATGGCCTCTAAGCCGACCGAGATGGGGGCTAAGAAACCCGCAGAAACCGCCCACTACGACGGGGTGTCTGTCACCAGCCCCGCGGACAGCCCAGACCCAAGGAGTGCAGCCAGAGGACTCAAGAGAAAAGGGGCGTTCGGGGACTTAAACGGCTTCAGTCCACACACACCGGGGCTCCGAGCCGAGACTCACCAGCCTCTGAGCCGGCCATGTCACGGAGGCAGGTCGCCGCCTGGCTTCCAACTGGGCGCGCGGCGGACGGCGTCCTGGAAGGGCCCCACAGCGCAGACGCACCGCCAAGGCGGGGGGAACGAAACTAAAGGGCAGGGGGTAAAAGAGGGAGGGACGTTAAAACGGCTTCTCGCTGCTGATTGGCCATCACAGGAACACTTCCTTTCGCTGCACGCGCCGAGGCGGCGGTTTGTGGGCTCTGGATACCATTCTTCGCGGGCAAGATCCCGCTAAGGGATTCTCAGGTGGGTGGGTTTGACAGGTCGGGTCACCCAGCCGCCCAGGCCAGTCTCCCGGGGCATTAGTACGGCACTTCCGGTGAGCTATTTCGTTTCGTATTCCTCCGCCGACTCCAAGTGGAGAAGTAGTGCGGTCCGCTTACCGGAGGGGCGGGAGCAGCCACGTGACAATATCAGGCTCCGCCTTCCCGTCTCGCTTGGTTAGGGGCGTGAAGGCTCTTTGGAGACGTAAACATCTCCAAGTGGTCTGAGTGGGTTGGCCCGTGCTGGCCATTTTGTCGGTTGTGCTGGAACTGGAAAAGGGCGGGGTGGCTTTCTTGAGGTGTGGAAAGACGAGAAAAAGGTGAAGGAGTGTAGGCTGAGGCATCTCAGTGTAGGTGGGCCCAGGCATGAAAGGGCCCCCAAACCGGCGACTCTGAGGGAGGGGGAGGGTGGGGGTGGGGCGAGAACATGGCGGATCCCGGAACGCCGGCGGGCGTTGCGGCCTCTGCGCAGGGGCGGGGTGATTAGGTCATAGAGCGGCTCCCAGCAGTCTCTGCGGCGGAGGAGGCGGTCCAGGCTATAAAACCGGCTGCCGGGACGCGGCCGGCACCTCATTCATTTCCACCGGTCTCTTGTTGAGCAGCTTCGGCTCCTGTCATCGCCGCCCCTCCGCCGCTGCCGCCCCCGCAAGGCTTTGCCATCGCCAAAGCCACCTGCAGCGACTCGTCGCACCCGATTCTCTCCACTTCGTTCCCCGCCAACCGCAACCATTGACGCCATGTCGGGTTATTCGAGTGACCGAGACCGCGGCCGGGATCGAGGGTGAGTGTGGGAACGGACTTGTCAGGCCCGGCAGTGGGGGATGGGAGGCCGATGAAGGGGGCGGCGGGCGGGGGCGGCGGGAACTTGGGTTTTTTAACCTATAATTAGGTTTTATCAATCGAAGTTTTGCGCCATTTTGGTATCTGTCCAAAAGTGACTGAGGGATGTTATCCTGTTAACGGTCCTCAATCTCGCCTTTTGTTGGCGGGGGTGGGGGAGGGGGCGTCGAAGCCCCCCAACCCCCGACGATAGAACAGCTGTTGGGAGAACTCGGGAGAGCGTATTTCGGTGGGAGAAAAGCGCGACGCTTCCAGGAAAACGAAGTCAGCGCTGTTAGGTGCATCTTCTCGGGAGGTGTTTTAGGGGGCCCGGGAGTTCTATGATAGCCGAGGGGGTCGCCTCTGAAGCCATTGATGCGGCGGGGGCAGGGGGGTGGCTGGCACCGCGGGAATCGGCCATGTGGCTGAGTCGCGGGTACAAAATGCCGGCGTCGGACATGGCGGCGGCGCCTTTGTTACCCCGCCCGGCGGAGGAGCTCAAAATGGCAGCGTCGAGAAAATGTGGCGCAGAGAGAAATGCGAGACAAAGGGGGAAGCGCCGCCCCAGCGGGAACGCCGCCCGGTCCGGGACTCCTCCCCCGGTAGTTGCCAGCTCCTCCTTCTCTTTTTCTTTGCGTTATATAATTTTGCTATCCTGATCGGGCGTCCTTCCGCGGCATCCCCCCCATTCGATAGGCTTGCATAGGTGTCTCTGAGACCAGCGTCCTTGTTCTGTTCTCATTGCTGTTGCTGTCCCATTATTCCTTAAAACCAAAGCTGCTTTGGTTGAAAACAGCTGATAAATAACATTGTTGTTAAGCACCTCCCTTGTATTGTCTCTTTCCCAGACACTTAATTTCTAAGCTCACGGGAAAGACTAGGAGCTACAAGCTGTTGTCTATCCTTGTAATCTGAACTTCAGGCATTTGGGCAGCCAGTTTCCGACCTGGTAAATCCCGGGCTGTTGACTTGGCTTCAGTAGTGTGTATTTGGGACAACGGGAAGTGAGAGAGGTGGTGCTAATTGTGGCTTTTGAGAGCATGACGGGTGCTAAGTGCTAAGCCTTAAACCTCGAAAAGTCATTTATGCGCAGTGTATGCCAAGAGCGAATAAGTCTTTATATAAATTTCTCTGTAGACGTTTGAAAATATGAGTAACTTCTTTTTTGCTCTAATTTCAGGTTTGGTGCACCTCGATTTGGGGGAAGTAGGGCAGGGCCCCTATCTGGAAAGAAGTTTGGAAACCCTGGGGAGAAACTAGTCAAAAAGAAGTGGAATCTTGATGAGCTGCCCAAATTTGAGAAGAATTTTTATCAAGAACACCCTGATTTGGCTAGGCGCACAGCAGTGAGTAATTTCACATAGCTTCATTGGGTTGTAACTCAATAATGGCTTCTATCTAGTAAGTAGAAATATGAACAGAGACGTTGTGGAAAATGACGAAATTTAGGGAAATTCACGCTTATAGATGAGGTGGTACTTCGGAAACAGGTGTCTTCAAATTTTTCTACATAGAATGGTTAAATATAACTGTACTCGGTGGATTTTTTACTGTGTAGGTTTTCCATATGTGGATATAGGTTTTAAATGGCCCCATTAAAGTTTAATAATAGTTTATAAATTTAGGGGCTTGCTGGCTGCATATTAGTGAAGGTTGTCATGGTACTTAGTAGATTATTACAATTTGTTTTATAGCAAGAGGTGGAGACATACAGAAGGAGTAAGGAAATTACGGTTAGAGGTCACAACTGCCCAAAGCCAGTTCTGAATTTTTATGAAGCAAACTTCCCTGGTAAGTGCTAGTTTTGACCCCCCCCCCCCTTTTTTTTATTTCCTCCTTTCTGGGCTTCACTAAATTTTACTGAATTGTTGCTAATTACAGCAAATGTCATGGATGTGATTGCAAGACAGAATTTTACTGAACCCACTGCTATTCAGGCTCAGGGATGGCCCGTTGCTCTAAGTGGATTGGATATGGTTGGAGTAGCACAGACTGGATCCGGGAAAACATTGTCTGTAAGTGTGGGAGACATTTTGAGTTTTAATCTGTGGTCATGTGCTAGAGAAAATGGATTAGGAATATAAAGAAACCAGAAGCTTTTTAATTTAACTCCTGTTGTTTGTTTCCCCACCACAAATAGTATTTGCTGCCTGCTATTGTCCACATCAATCATCAGCCATTCCTAGAGAGAGGTGATGGGCCTATTGTAAGTATATATCTGTATTTTTTGTTAATTTTTGCCTAGGAGTACAATGCAGTGTTTTGTAGAATATGTAGCAAAAAATAATTTTTGTGGTCTAACGTAGAGACATTAGTTGTATCATGTTAATTTAGCTGCTGACAGAGCTGCCTTGATCATACTTGAGTACTGGACAGCAAAATCAGTGACCTGCCTATTTAATGCCAATCAGTTAGTTTAAAACTAGGATCCAGGAGTTTGCTAAAACCTGTTTCACTTTTTGTTTCTCTTTAGTGCTTGGTGCTGGCACCAACTCGGGAACTGGCCCAACAGGTACAGCAGGTAGCTGCTGAATACTGTAGAGCATGTCGACTGAAGTCCACTTGCATCTATGGTGGTGCTCCTAAGGGACCACAGATTCGTGATTTGGAGAGAGGCATGTAACAAAAATTCTATCTGTCACTGTTGGTGCTGGAAGTTCTAGATCTCGTAGTTACGTCTCTGTGTTTAATTGAAGGTGTGGAAATCTGTATTGCAACACCTGGAAGACTGATTGACTTTTTAGAGTGTGGGAAAACCAATCTGAGAAGAACTACTTACCTTGTCCTTGATGAGGCAGATAGAATGCTTGATATGGGCTTCGAACCCCAAATAAGGAAGATTGTGGATCAGATAAGAGTAAGTGCCTTTAAAAATGTTTTATTTTCACTTAGCTCTTAATTTATTCTTAGAATACAATGCTTTTTTTAATCCAAAATATTTTAGCCTGATAGGCAAACCCTAATGTGGAGTGCAACTTGGCCAAAAGAAGTAAGACAGCTTGCTGAAGATTTCCTGAAAGACTACATTCATATAAACATTGGTGCACTAGAACTGAGTGCAAACCATAACATTCTTCAGATTGTGGATGTATGTCACGATGTAGAAAAGGATGAAAAGTAAGTTTTCTATAGAAGTTATAATTGTAAAAGTTTTGCCAAACTTTGGAGTTATCCTTTCATAGGTTATCTTAAGAGTGACTTTCAGTTGGGTGGAACATGAATGTGTTCATTTAAAATTAGTGTCAGTCTTCCTGAAAAATGTTTTCTTCATTCACATAATTGGTTATCACTGTATTTATAGCATTCCTTTAGGTGAAAGAACATGCTTTGTGGCTTAAGGACCAAGGGCAGTTGCTTGTTAAGTGTTCATGCAGGTGTTTTTACTTGTAGCCGTGTAACTGAAGGTAGTGCTTCAGTGATTTTAAATGTGTGGCCATAACCGTGGACTACTCTTAAAATTCACAATTTTTTTCCCCCAAGACTGATTCGTCTAATGGAAGAGATAATGAGTGAGAAGGAGAATAAAACCATTGTTTTTGTCGAAACCAAAAGAAGATGTGATGAGCTTACTAGAAAAATGAGGAGAGATGGGTATGTGGGCTTCTTCCATTGAAGCAGGTGTATGAGAGCTGAGGTTGGGGGGGGCGCAAACTGATCAAGAGTAACGATATAAATGTCATGGATGACCATTACCTGGTGTAAATAAAACTGCTTAGGTGAAATTAAAGGAATTGGTGACTAGATAGGTAGTAGACTAAAACCTTTCTGGTTTCAAATGTGAGCCTACTGATACGGTTTTTCTTTAATGTAGGTGGCCCGCCATGGGTATCCATGGTGACAAGAGTCAACAGGAGCGTGACTGGGTTCTAAATGGTTAGTCAAATGAAAAATTTTTTTTCTCAAAACCTGGAATTCTCAGATTATTGATGATTCTTTCTCTTTCACAGAGTTCAAACATGGAAAAGCTCCTATTCTGATTGCTACAGATGTGGCCTCCAGAGGGCTAGGTTAGTAAAAACTCGAATTCATGGCTTGGTTTCCCAGAAGATCTCCATATAATTCTTTTTAAAGAAAGTTTATTGCTTTCTTTAACCTCTGCATTTTTTCTTAAGTTTTTTTCATATAAAGGTGCAGTCTTTGTGGCAAGGCCTAGGCATGACAATCGGAGGACTCGAGGGGGATGGAGGACTAGTGATCGGCTGGCTGCTTCCAGTCGATTAGAGAGGTGAAAAGCTGAAAGTGTGCCAGTAATCTTCAAAAGGCAGAACATACCACCTCTGCCCCGTAAACTGTTCTCTCCGGGGGAAAAAAATGGAAGTTATCCTCACAGTTCACTGCCGTGGTATTTCTTCTGTCCCATGCTTTGCATGACTGCCATGGTACAGCATTGTTTCAAACTGTTCACTGTGATCTGTGGGTCTTTGAGTTTCAGTGAGTTTGCTGAAATGTTGAAGAAATATTTCCAAACTTCAATGTTCAATGAAATTTTTGTTCAAGTTTGAAATGGAGAGAGCAGCTTTAAAAGGTACTAAGCCTTTTACAAATTGGTGAGTACTGGCACATGAGATCTAGATCAGGAGCAACTTCTCACATTTAGTCAGTGGGAAAAGAAAGCAGTGCTTTGAAAGTTCCTCCCTCACCTACACAGTAGTCGTCATGTCGAGACCTGCCAGAGAGAGACACATTCTCAAGTGAATCCTGGCTTCTTGGAAGCGCTTGCCTAGACGAGACACAGTGCATAAAAACAACTTTTGGGGGACAGGTATGTTTTTCTTGCAGCTGCGGTTGTAAGGTCTTGGCAAGACAAGCAGTGTGGCCAGAATTTTGAACTTCTGATGAGTGTGTAATGCAAAGGACCATGTACATTTTTGTTCAAAGGTCCTCAAAATGAGCACATGAAGAGGTTGCTGTGAACCTTTAAGTGGCCCTACTGCGCAGAAGCATTCAGATGTCACTTGATGATCTGTAAGGGGACTTGGCTGGTTTGGGAATATGTTAGAGAATACACGTCCTTTTGACAGGCTCTCTATCATTGGGTGGGTAATGAGACAGGTAGATGGTGTGTGCTTTTTTTTTTTTTCCCCCCTTCCAACCTCAATGGTATTCCTACAGAGAATGGATAACCATTTTAACTGTATTTTTTGCAGCCCATACCTTCTTGGGAATACAATTGTCTAACTTTTTATTTTTGGTCTGGCTGTTGTGGTGTGCAAAACTCCGTACATTGCTATTTTGCCACACTGCAACACCTTACAGATGTGGAAGATGTGAAATTTGTCATCAATTATGACTACCCTAACTCCTCAGAGGATTATATTCATCGAATTGGAAGAACTGCTCGCAGTACCAAAACAGGCACAGCATACACTTTCTTTACACCTAATAACATAAAGCAAGTGAGCGACCTTATCTCTGTGCTTCGTGAAGCTAATCAAGCAATTAATCCCAAGTTGCTTCAGTTGGTCGAAGACAGAGGTTCAGGTAAGACCAACCTTCATTAAGAAATGTTGGTGATTTGGGGTCACATGATTGTCTACAAATCCTTTAAATGGGATTGGCGGGTGAGTAAAATCTTCAATATGAAACTGAGAAAACACTTCACACAGTGAATAGAGCTTCCTAATTCCTTCTGTGTTCATAATGATTTGTGCCATGGAAATAATACGCTTGCAATTTTTTTTTTTCTTGACAGGTCGTTCCAGGGGTAGAGGAGGCATGAAGGATGACCGTCGGGACAGATACTCTGCGGGCAAAAGGGGTGGATTTAATACCTTTAGAGACAGGGAAAATTATGACAGAGGTTACTCTAGTCTGCTTAAGAGAGATTTTGGGGCAAAAACTCAGAATGGTGTTTACAGTGCTGCAAATTACACCAATGGGAGCTTTGGAAGTAATTTTGTGTCTGCTGGTATACAGACCAGTTTTAGGACTGGTAATCCAACAGGGACTTACCAGAATGGTTATGATAGCACTCAGCAATATGGAAGTAACGTTCCAAATATGCACAATGGTATGAACCAACAGGCATATGCATATCCTGCTACTGCAGCTGCGCCTATGATTGGTTATCCGATGCCAACAGGATATTCTCAATAAGACTTTAGAAGTATATGTAAATGTCTGTTTTTCATAATTGCTCTTTATATTGTGTGTTATCAGACAAGATAGTTATTTAAGAAACATGGGAAATGCAGAAATGACTGCAGTGCAGCAGTAATTATGGTGCACTTTTTCGCTATTTAAGTTGGATATTTCTCTACATTCCTGAAACAATTTTTAGGTTTTTTTTGTACTAGAAAATGCAGGCAGTGTTTTCACAAAAGTAAATGTACAGTGATTTGAAATACAATAAATGAAGGCAATGCATGGCCTTCCAATAAAAAATATTTGAAGACTGAATTAAGTGGAAATTGTACTTTATTTTACATATATAATGTCATGTAAAACTTTGCTTAGATGGTCTTTTTTTTTTTTAACCATAAAAACTTAAATTGACTGCTCCTTTCTCTGGTTTGGGAATTGGGGAGATCAGAAGGCCCTTCTTAGAATGATCTATTTATAGTGCAAGAATTAAAATGAGATTAAATTTACAGTTGTAGGCTAAATTGCATTAAGGCTCTCTGTACCTCATCAGGTGAGTCATTTAATAGCCTAATGGTTAAAATGGTGAAGTGAGATTAAAATAGGAAATAATCAACTGTATAGCTCCACCCTCAAACTGCTTAGTGTGAGAGCAACATGGATGACTTTATTCCTCCAAATAACTTGCTTTTCCAGAATAACTCTTGGCTCTATTGTAAATTACCAAAATGGTGGTGAACAAAGCTTAAAAGACTTTACACCTTTTAAGATCTTTGGCCAAGAGCTAAGTTTGAATTTAATATAGATTGTAGTATTCAGGCTCTTGGGGCACTTAACTGGTTACACTGGGAATCATGAATGTCTTTATGATAATTCAGGGAACTCTAGAGGACTTCAAACTGGACGGTCTATTCATATTCAGAGAAGATCCTATTGAAGTTAACGATTAACCAAGAGGAAGCAACATAACCAAAAGCACAGTGACTATTGTACAAGTCATCTTGTTAGGTCAACATGTTTTTTTATTGCTAGGAAGGTCAGGGGAGGAGGGGGTTTGTTTTAGATTTAACTTTGGCTCACCAACCTTTCTAATACTTCATTTCAGTAATGACTAGAAATAGGTCTGGATGTCTTCCCAGAGTCTGGTATATATGTTCTTTTTTGTCAGGAGAGGAGGAGAGGTCTTCATGAGACTTCACTTAAATTCTGGTTATTAAACTGAGGCTTTAATTGGTGTCAATGCCTTATCTCTAAAATGTAAAACTTAACTAGAATTTGCTTGGGGTAGGGAATGGGGAAGTGGTATTTTTAGGACTAATACATTGAAAACTGATTCAGCCTCTCGTGACTTGAACAGTTTTCAATAGCATGGTTAGTCAAATTCATTATGACTTTTAACTTATAAGAAGCTTTTGGGGTAGGTTGGAGTATTTATTACATATTTTACTGTTTAATGTCTAACGGCCTTTTAATTTGTAAACATTTATTGAAATGATTGTGGGGCTGTGGAAAACATTTACCTATTTACCTTTGAAGTAAGTTTTAAGACAGTCCACTTTTTAGCATGTGTGTTGTGTCCAGCCTGTGGTTGTCTGAACTAATAAATGTGATTTTTCTCCCCATTCTCGCTTTTATTTATTTGTGTATAGGCCTCTTCCTTGGTGTGTGTTTCCTGATCGGAAAACACGATAATAGAGCCCAGCTTTTAGTGGAATTTAAGTAGATTTTTTTTAAACAAAATTGTTCTACAGCAAAACGATCTTAAAAGTTTTTTTTACACAAACTCCTGCACACGTGCTTGTATAAAATGTTTTTGAGCCTGTCCTGCAACATGTTATACATAATGATGAATTAACAGTTAAAATTTAACTGCTAAGCTGTCCCCCTCCTTTCATAAACTGCCCCTTGGTAGTTTAATAAAATCTAGTAGTTCTTTCATCTGCATTAATCTTTCAAGGTTACCCTAACCACTTAAAGGCAAGTTAGAAGTAGGAATCATGGGTTTTGGGAAGCAACCATTTTCCTCTGGGCTGTGCCACTTTCCACTATTTGGGCAGTTTTGAGGGCTGAGTGTGTAAATGAACAATTGTGAGGTCACAAGTGCCTTCTAGGTTAAAACAGGTTATCACATTTTATTGCATGTTTTGATGAGTCTGTAGAAGGGTTCTCTGATAGAACTTGCCTTTATATTAGATTATCAGTGTGCCTCCACGTTCACCTGGGCGGCTCTCTTCAAAAATGTTCTCGGGAGCGTGCAAGCACTGCTGGCTGAGAACTCCACCATGTAAAGCTCCTCCCGGTTCGCCGTCCCAGCCCCATCCCCACTCCTGTAGGTAGGCAGCATGGCGGCAGCGTTTACAATGAATAACAGCTAAGGCCCGGGTCTCTAAACCACCATCAAGGGCTAAGATTTTGAAAGTGGGAGCTGGTTTATTTTCGCCAACGCTTAAATTTGAAAAGGTGTATTTAAATGGTGATTTGGGGAACGCCTAAGTATTTTGATGGGATTTGCAAAAAACTGAGAAGCAAAGCTGACTCTTAGCACCGCATGATAGTGAAAAAGTAGACGGGAACGACATTTGTGGGTGCTAAAGACCTAACAATTAGGCAGGGCTTAATGGAGGCGAAAAACGGCAGGAGGCCCGCATCGGCCTTAGCAACAGGGCCAGGTCCGCGGCGGCAGCAGCCCGTACACGGTGACGCGCTTCCGTGGGTGTGGCCGGCCGCGCGCCTGATCACTTCCGTTGCGCCTGCGCAGTTGGCTCCCGGGCTCCTGTTTGTGGCGGTTTCCCGGGATCGACCAGTTAATGGGAGACTGGGCTGTTTTAACTGCCGGCGGCGATGCGTTCTGGTGCAGCGGTCAGGGCCTGCCAGAAAGTCTGCAGGTGCCTGTTGGCTGGGTTTGGAGGTCGAGTGGATGGGGGGCAGCCTGAGCCGTTACTGGAAGGGAGTTTTTCCTTCGGAGTGCCCGTGAGGTCGCACGCGGAGCTGCCCCGGGGGAGCGAGCCGACCGAAGCCCCCGAGTCCGGTGAGGGGAGCGAGGAGCTGGTAGAGATCTGTCAGAGAAGGCATTTCTTCAGTGGCAGCAAGCGGCAGCTTAGCCGACATTCTCTTCTGAGCGGGTGCCACCCCGGCCTTGGCCCCTTGGGCATAGAGTTGCGCAAGAACCTGGCAGCAGAATGGTGGTCCTCAGTGGTGGTGTTCAGGGAGCAGGTCTTCCCGGTAGATGCCCTCCATCATAAGTCTGGCCCTACGCTGCCTGGGGACAGTGCCTTCAGGTTAGTTTCCGCAGAAACTCTACGCGAAATCTTGCAAGACAAAGAGCTGAGTAAGGAAGAGCTACTAGCATTTCTTGAAAACTTACTAAAAACTTCTGGGAAACTACGGGAGAACCTTCTTCACGGTATGCATCACGATTTCATGCTTCAAAATAGATGGGGTGGAAAGGCAGACTTGCTAGATTTCTCGGATTGCAACAGATCCTTTATTCACGTGGAAAGGAAATTATCTGGTTCTCATCTTTTTGAAGTAATTGGGTATATTGATAATGTTTCTACCAAGGAGAAAACTCGTCTATGGAATAGTTACTGTTCCTTAAAGAATCTGGCTTGAAGGACCAGGTGACGCTCTCAATTTCATGCGGCAACCCTACAGTTCAGTTGAGCAGCCCTATAATTAGGAGTAAATTAAATCATATGAATCATTTGTTCGTCGTTACCAAGATGTTGGTAAATATTTCCACAGTTACTCCTTAATTTTACACATAATAGGCTAATCAAGAGCTCGGTCTTCTAGAGCAAAAAGAAAATACCCCCCCCCCCAATTTTTCCTACCGAAAACCTATCTACGACTCTGTTGTTTGAAGAGCCCTTTAAGTGATTTTTGAGTCGACTAAAAAATAATAGAACTAATCAAGCTTTATAACATTCTTGAGTGAATACACAGAACTTTGTGGGGCACCATTTGCCTCTAAAGTTTATTTATTTTTGTAATCTCTGCAGTCAAGGTGGGGCTTGAACTCACAACCCTGAGATCAAGAGTCACCTGCTCCTCTGAGCCAGCCAGATGCCTCCATCATTTGCCTTTAAAGTCAAATAGAACACAGTCGCAGAGATTCTGAAGAAAAAAAAAAAATTCAAGTTCTTTACAGGACAGACTTGCCACAGCATCTCATCTTTGCAAAATGCTATCCTTACTATTTTAATTAAGTGGCACTACAGAGTAATTTAACCAATGTCCATGGTTCTCTGAAAATTAGTACCCACATAGCTTTTTAAAAATTTCCTCAATAATTAAAGCAAACTAAAGCAAACTGGTGAATATTTGTGACAGTTTTGATTTGTACTACTTTAATTATTCCGTGATGTCTTTATTTGGGGCAAGTTAAATCACTACTTATTATCATGTCCAAAACAAATCAATCTTTTCATCCCTATTAGAGAATGAGACTTAAGGGCACCTGGGTGGCTCAGTCAGTTAAGCATCTGCCTTGGGCTCAGGTCATGATCCCAGGGTCCTGGGATGGAGCGCCGTGTTGGGCTCCGTATTCAGTGAAGAGTCTGCTTCTCCTGCCTCTAAACAGCCCCCCCCCCGCCCCCGCCCCGGCTCGTGCACGGCTCGTGCACGCTCTCGCTCTCGCTCTCTCTCTCTCTGAAATAAATAAATAAATAAATCTAAAAAAAAAAAAAGAAACTTAGATGTCCATTCATCAAAACCTCCATTGATATACCAGACATTTTCTTTCCTTTATTTGCAGAATCCCTTAGTTGACTAGTATTTTTAGCTTAGAATTACCCAGTTTACCACTTCTTTCTATTCCTAAGGTCCTTGCTCTCTTTATTTCATGTCTGAACTACTTTGGTAGCCTCTACTTATGAATAGTTTTAAAAAATTCTCAGCCATTATATTTCCCGATATTGTTATTGTCCCATTCTCCTCTGTCCTGTGACAAATTACATATGTTAGACCTTACCCCCATCTTGTCATCAACTTTCTTGAACACACATTTTGTAAAGTCCACATCCAATGACTCAGATATATCTGTTTTTCTCTAGGCCTTTGGTCATTTGGACTTGTCTCCTGATATTCTGTGTAGTTTGTATATAAACTCTAGACATAATTTGAGCTTCTGAGTGGTGTTTTCTTTTCCTGGGAGGATTTGCTTTTGCTTTTGGCAGGCAGCTAGAGTGGGAGCATATCTTTTTTTTTTTTAAGATTTTATTTATTTGAGAGAGCGAGAGAGCACAAGCAGGGGGGAGGAGCAGAGGGAGAGAGAGAGCAAGGAGCCCATTCACGGCTTGATCCCAGGACCCAGAGATCATGACCTGAGCCGAAGTCAGACACTGAACTGACCGAGCCGCCCAGGCGCCTCATAGAATGGGAGCATATCTTCTTAATACAATCTGGGATTAAGTTTATTGGAGGCTGGTCTTCAGGGTTTTCATCTCCACTCCTACAGTGTAGCCCTTTGAGTGTCCCTAGTGAAAGGCTGGGGTGTTTACCAGGGCTCCTCCTCCTTGAGGAGCCAGGAACTACAGTGTTTGTACTCCCCAGTCCCTTAAGATGTTAGGAAGCTTCTCAGCTCTGCTACTTGACATTTAGAAAAGCAACCCTAAATGTTGGGTTCACCTCTCTTCTCCTCCCTTCTCTCCATATTTTGGACCCTCAAGTCCTTACTGCCTTGATAGCTCAGTCTTTAAGCAGATTTTTTTTTTAAGTTTCTTGACCAGCTTTTCTTATCTTGCTGATCTACTATTTATTACCAGAAGTGGAAATCTCAAGTAGCTTAAACACAGTGCTGTCATTTAGTGGGACATAATCTAAGTGCATAAAGAACTACAACGAAATCTTGAGCTTAGATTTATTCCAAATAGAAATGTTGGAATTATAATTCTGAAGCTATTTCGTATATGTTATAAAGCAAATAGATGGATAAATGTTATTAGGAACCAAAATTTTCACTGTGAGAAAAAAGAGATACAAATATAAAAGAACACAAGGATAAACTTTGCAATGTTAAATTTGAATCAGCAATATCAGTATGACCTTATAATTTTAAAAAACATTATTCTTAACTTTCTTCATTGAAAGGGCCTAGAAATAATGACACTCAATAGCAGTGAACACACCTAGTACCCAGATTTTGATTTCTAAAATGAACCAGTGCTTGAAGAAATGGCTTATCCCAGGTCTGGGGCAGGGAAAGTACAAGGTGAGTTTGGGACATTTTATGGTGCTAGGAAACAAAGAATTACTTGAAGACTGGTGAGGTCATGTGAAAAGGACTGATGGTGGCTTGAACTAGACTCCCACTGGCTAAATTTGAGACAAACAGTATTAAGTATTGATGGTAATAGATCATAACACATTAAAATTAAAAATTTATAGTGTTAATCAGAAAAGTAAATAGTTGAGGCTGCTGGTAGGGGAAGGAGGTGGAGAAAGTTTACTTTTTTACAGAAGCTATGTAATAAATGTAGACGGAAAGACAGAAAAATCACCATTTTGTGATTTTTGTAATCCCTATTATAATAATTGATTGAGGCAGGATCATCAATGGATTCTAAAATGTTGGGTGGAAGATTGTTGAGCAGGATATTGTTGGGGAATGGATATTCACTACCTAACCAGGTAATCAAATTTAGTTTCATTAATACGGGATAATTTGATACTATTTTCTTCCTGTTAGAATGCAAGAAGACATATACATCAACTGTGTAGTATTTATTTCTGCTAAAAATGATTTACCCAAGTTGATGAAACAATCAGCCAAATCTCGAGTATGACTGGTCTGGACTCAAACCAAAAGTCAATGTCATTAAAAGTTAGAAAAGGAGGGAGGAATCAGGGGAAATGTTCCAGATTAAAGAGACTTAATCAAAATGCAGAGCAGGAGCCTTAATTAGGGAAAAAGAGAACAACAATAAATGACATTTTGAGTGACAATTGGAGAAAATAGAATATCGACCATATTTTATATAATATTACGGCATTATGATTAATCTTACGGTATAATAATGGTATAGAGAGTAATTTTAGGAGACACATGCTGACATGTTTTGGGGTGAACAAGGAGAAAAGGTGGCAGAATGTTGACAATTGGTGAATCTAGCTGACGAGTGTACAGGTATTTACTATCAACTTTCTTGTAGATTTGAAAATCAAGTTAGGGCGCCTGGGTGGCTCAGTTGGTTAAGCGACTGCCTTCGGCTCAGGTCATGATCCTGGAGTCCCGGGATCGAGTCCCGCATCGGGCTTCCTGCTCAGCAGGGAGTCTGCTTCTCCCTCTGACCCTCCCCTCTCTCATGTGCTCTCTCTCATTCCCTCTCTCTCAAATAAATAAATAAAATCTTTAAAAAAAAAAAAAAAGAAAATCAAGTTAAAAAGTTGTGGGGAAACTAAGTAGTAATCAATTAAGATCTGCCTAAATAGTTCCGTGGTACTTGTACTGCTGTGTTAGCATTATTATATTAATTTGTTTATAAATTGACCCTTATGACTTGGGTTTATAGATTTATACCGTGACAGATTTCTCTTTTGACAGGTGCTTTGGAGCACTATGTTAATTCCCTGGATCTGGTAAACAAGAGACTACCTTATGGCCTTGCTCAGATTGGAGTGTGTTTTCATCCTGATACTAAGCAGACATCTGATGGTGTTAAAAGGTACCAAAAAATGGCAAATAACTTGGCCTTGTATTTAATCAAGAACCAGTCACTTTCACTTTAGGATAGATTATATAATCTTCAAGTAAGTAACTATCTGATATTTCTGCTATCCAAAGAATCGGTGAGAAGACTGAGGCTTTACTGGTTTGGTTTACTTCAGCAAGAACTGCAGGCCAGTGGCTTGATTTCTGGTTACGTCATCGACTCCTGTGGTGGAGAAAGGTATACCCTTAATTTACGAATTAATAGGTGAAGTGTCTTAGTGTGTCAGAGATAATACTTCTCTACAATAAATGAAATTTTATTGATATGGGGCTGTTATGTTTGTAAGAGACAGCTCTAATAAATCAGTAAGTACAAATAAAAGCCTCTTTGTAATGATTTTCGTTGTTCCATATAAAAAGTTACTTTGTTAAAAAATATCTGTTGATGTCTCTCTTGCTCAGAAGCTTTTGTGATAAGCCTTTGCATTCGAGGTAGAGTTCAGATGCCTCACCTGGCATTCCTGGCTGATAGAGAGTTTGACCTTTGCACACCCTTAAAGCTTCAACCTTTGCTCACTGCCTCCGTCCATGAACTCTCCATATTTGTCAAGATGGTTCTGTGATTTATCATCAAGTTTTAGTACATGCTGAAGAGGAAAGAGTAGGTATTTGTGGCTCACCATTGTCTTGCTTTTCTCCAATTCTTAAAATCCCCAAACACCCACTCAATTAAGTGGAATAATTACAAATAATCACACTCTTCACAGAGGATAAGAATGGTGAGTATACACTTTCTTCTCTATCCCTCTTAGTTTATGGTCACCTTCCCTTCTTATTAACTGGCCAAAAAAAGCTAGATCACTCCAGCAGTTTTTCTCTGTAGTTCTTTCAGGCTAAAAACAGTATTTTTAGCAATACATTTGCTCATATTTAACTGAACTTCATAGTTTTTATATGGGACCTGACCAGTTTCATTCAGTGGCCACATAAAAGTCTCAGGTAACTTTACGTTTTAACATTTAGTTTCATAAATTAATAAAACAAACTTTCTTGGGGTGCCTGGGTGGCTCAGTCGTTAATCGTCTGCCTTTGGCTCAGGTCATGGCCCCAAGGTCCTGGGATCGAGCCCCTCATCGGGCTCCCTGCTCAGCGGGAAGCCTGCTTCTCCCTCTCCCACTCCCTCTGCTTGTGTTCCTGCTCTCGCTGTGTCTCTGTCAAATAAATAAATAAAATCTTTAAAAACAAACAAACTCTTTTCCAGTTTGCTGTGAGTCCATCTAACTTCAGCAGCAGTGATTGTCAGGATGAAGAGGGACGAAAAGGAAACCACCTTTATTACAATTTCCCATGGGGAAAGGAGCTAATAGAGACCCTGTGGAATCTAGGAGACCGTGAACTTTTACACATGTGTCCTGGAAATGAGTCTCAATTACACGTATGTTTTACCTTAAGCTCCTATCCATCCTTTACCCATATTCTCTAACTGATCATTTCTGAAACCATTTGAGAACGGGTTGCAGACATGAGGCCCCATGACCTCTTAATACTGCAGTATGTATTTCTGAAGTGCAAGGACAGTCACTCAGGGTGCCCCGTGGGTGCAAAGTTTTAGAAGCCGTGTGGATGGATAGAATTGTGGCTGAACCCTATGCTGACCCATTCTTGAGTGGTTCCAGATTTGAATGTTTAGATTTTCTGACTGGCCACAGCTGGAGTTTTATGTGCTATTTGGTGACTAATACAGTCTTCTCAGTGAAGAAAGGTATTTGGAACTTGAAAATAATTAAAACATAGTAGTACTCATCTTATTAGAGAAAGTAGATTAATTTTAAATACAAGTAAGATTAATAAAAAGTTAAAAAGGTTATTTATGAATATTTTCCATAACCCCAACACCATCACATTTTATTTTGTGATATTCAGCTCTCATATGAAACTTAACTTGGTTATCATAGTCATTATAGTTAAATAGTCATTATCATAGTTAAAAACCAATCAATCTTGTGACTAGGAATTTAATTTTCTTTCAAGTTCATTAATTTTTTTAGTAGTCTACACCCAACTCACAACGCCAAGATCAAGAGTCGCATGGTCTTCTGACTGAGCCAACCAGGCACCCCAATCTTATAACTAGGAATTTAAAGACAATCTCTTTGTCATGGCTGTTAGTCTCTTATTTTGTTCATTATTGTGGTAACTTTCACTGTCTCAATGAAAAACTTTATTTTGCAGAGTTTTACTCTCCGGTAAATTGTTGCTCTTCCATTTCCACAGTTCTCAAAATTGTTCATCATTAGTTGACATAATAAAGTGTTATAAAATAATAAATAGAATTCCTGCCATTATTTTTTTTAAAGGAAGGTTTCATTTTTTTTTTTTTAAAGATTTTATTTATTTATTTGACAGAGAGAGACACAGCGAGAGAGGGAACACAAGCAGGGGGAGTGGGAGAGGGAGAAGCAGGCCTCCCGCCGAGCAGGGAGCCGGATGTGAGGCTTGATCCCAGGACCCCGGGATCATGACCCGAGCCGAAGGCAGACGCTTAACGACTGAGCCACCCAGGCGCCCCGAATTCCTGCCATTTAATATGCTTTTTTGAAAGGCTTCTTAGGCTATTTTGTATTTGTTTTTAGTAAATTTTACAGTTAACATCTAAATATATTCTTGGAGGGATTTTTAGAGAGTGGTAAAGCAGATCAGTAAAGCCTGAAGAACAGAGTTAGGATAGAAATTCATTCTGGATGGTATGAGAAATCAGATATTTTAGCTAATAAGAGTTGCCATCGGATATCTCTGCATCCTTGGATATGAAATTTTCAAAGAACTAGAAAACAATAGGTGCACCAGGCTGGCTCAGTCTGTAGAGCATGTGTGCGACTCGATTGATCTCTGGGTTCTGAGTTCAAAGCCCCATACTGGGCACAGAGATTACTTAAAAATAAAATCTTAAAAAAAAAAAAGAAAGAAAACATTAAAGTCTTCTTAATATTTAAATATGATTTAGTCTTTTTTAATATTCAAATGGCACCACAGTAGCTTGCAGCGCCTCAGAGTTATATTAAGTATCAGTTCTATAAATGTGTAAAAGACCAACTAATAAAGTTAGAATAGAATCCCAGATTTCAGGAAGTGTACTGCCTTTTTTTAAAATTTAAAATCAATTAACATACAGTGTATTAGTTTCAAAGGTAGAATTCAGTGATTCATCAGTTGCATATAACACCAGTGCTCATTACATCAAGTGCCCTCCTTAATGCCCATCACCCAGTTACCCCATCCCCCCACCCACCTCCCCTCCAGCAACCCTGTTTGTTTCCTAGAGTTAAGAGTTTCTCATGGTTTGTCTCCCTCTCTGATTTCATCTTATTTTAAGAGTATTGCCTTTTGAGGACAAATTTACATTAATCTTTACAGTACCATATGCCATTAAAATGGGTTCAAAATGCCAATACAGGGGCGCCTAGGTGGCTCAGTCGGTTCAGTGTCTGCCTTCGGCTCAGGTCATGATCTCAGGGTCCTGGGATCAAGCCCCACGTCAGGCTCTCTGCTCAGTGGGGAGCCTGCTTCTCCCTCACCCTCTGCCCCCCACACATGCTCACATACTTTCTTTCTCTCTGTCTCAAATAAATAAATATTTTTTTTAAAGGGGCGCCTGCATGGCTCAGTTGTTAAGCATCTGCCTTCGGCTCAGGTTATGAACCCAGGATCCTGGGATCAAGCCCTGCATCGAGCTCCCTGCTCAGCGGGAAGCCTGCTTCTCCCTCTCCCCCTGCTTGTGTTCCCTCTCTTGCTGTCTCTCTCTGTCAAATAAGTAAAATCTTTAATAAAAAAAGCCAATACACATGTGTTAATGAAGACTGTGCTTGATCATGGATAATTAATAGAAGTTGAGGATTGACAAATTGTTTTTTTAAGTATTAGAGAATTACATGAATGTTCAGATGACTGTGATGATAGTAAAAAAAAAAAGAATGAAGGTAGAACTGTTTATATGCAAAACCTTTTAGATTTTTATGATTGACATTGAAAAAAATTTGAGGTGATTATCAGTTTAAAAGAAAGGCAATAATAAGTCTGTTTATCCATCCCTGATTTATATCATGCATTATAGTATATTTTATATTCTTAATTATAAAGTAAAGTAAATACCCTTAAAGTAAATACCCCAAACCGGGCTTTTAAAAGAAGTTTGCTTATTATAAAAACTTTACATTTCCAGAGATTATACTCCAAACCCCTATCCCTAACCATACCAGTTTTTTTCTCTAAGGGCCCTGCTGAACTTTTATTATAATATTATGCTCTTCATTATAATGCTCACCTAGGGACCATTGGAAAAATAGTGATGCTGAGGTCCCACTCCCATCCAGGTAGTTCAGAATCTCTGGGAGTGGGGCCCAAGCATAAAACCTTTACGTTTTAAAATTCAAGGCAGTTCTAATACATAGCCAGTTGAGACTCACTGATCTAAACCCTAATCTCCCTGAGAGCAGGGAATAGGTCATAACCATTTCTGTGGGCCCAGTGCCTAGCACAGGGTTTGCCCAGAGTGGATGCTTTGTAGAATGAATTTGTAAGTTTGTGTTCTGATTCTATAAGTCTATAGTTTTAAGAGAGAGCTCTGCTAACAGATTCTGTATTTTTGTTCTACTTTCCTGTGAAGGGCCGAGATGGACGAAAAAATGTGGTTCCATATGTTTTATCTGTTAATGGAAATCTGGACCGAGGTGTGCTGGCTTACCTCTATGATTCTTTCCAGCTCACAGAGAACTCTTTTACAAGGAAGAAGAATCTTCATAGAAAGGTGCTTTTGATATTTCAGAGTTAAACTTGGGAAACTAAAAATACATGTTTTTCCATCATATGTTAGTGGGCTTGGATTTTTAACACAAACTGTGAATAGTAAATTTCTTTCCATGCAGGTTATTTTACATTTTTCATTTTTTAGAATCTGGCCACAGGAGTAATAAGCAGGTTCTCACAGAATAGAACAAGGCATTCCTATTGGGTAATCTCAGAGGCATTTCTCTTTGATCCTGGCAGACAGGTAGAGAGCAATCTCTGATTCTTAGCCCCTGAGCCTTTCCCTCAGTGGCTTCCATTTATTTGTATCAGAGTGTTAAGCAGGACTATGTCAGACTAGCAAGACTTGTGAGATTGACCTCTCTGCTTCTAGTCTGACTGCAAGTGGCTATTCACTAGATCACAGGAGCTATCTTTGGGCCTGGGTCAAGGACATGTTTATGGGCCCACAATCAAGAGAAAAGAGGGACTGAAGCTATAGGAAAGAAAATAAATGCCTAAAGAAGCAAGATTTTGGAAGAAACATGAAGGGTCAAAACAGAATCAAGAACACCAGTGGAGGGATTGGTCTTGAAAAGGAGTTATTTGAAAAACCACAAAGGAGAGAAATGATGGTATAGATATAAATAGGCTACCAGGGCTGGTTAGCCTTTGAAGGAAGTTTTCCTCATATCCTCTATTTTCTTAGGGAATTAGAAAGCAGGATTATTAGCTTAAAATGTGGAGGAGTAGAGGTTTAAGTGGCAAGAATTTAGAGTATTCATATTCCCCTTGAATGTGAAAGGGAGCTGCCCCAAATCAAAAGTTGCAACATGTTGAGTCCTCAACTGGGTTTGGAAACCATGAATTTGTAGTATCACTTTGCATAGCTGAGTGATTTATTATGCAGTGTTCATTTAGCCTGATACGCCCATAAAGAAAGTCGCATTATAGAATTGTTCTAGGGCTTGGAATTTATGGGATATATAGCAAACGAGGGATCCTTTCTTTCTCTCATAGCCCACATCCAAATCATCAGCAAAAACCATTTGACTCTGTCTTCAAAATATATCCTGAATCTGACCATTTCTTACCACTTGCCCTTCTTCCACTCTGATCTAAGCCACCACCATCTCCTCCCACTAGCACGGAGTGGCCCTTTTAAAAGGTACATGTCACTTGGCCCCGCTGCTCAGAACACTCCACTAAGCTCCTTGTTTCCTTCAGAGGAAAAGGCAAAGCCCCTAAAGTGTTTTACAAAACCCTTCCCTTTTGACCTCCTCCTCCACCCCCCACCTTACTCACTCTGTTCCAATAGCACAGACCCCTTTGCTGTTTCTAGAAAATGTCAGTCATGCTTCCAGCTCAGAACTTTGTCATTTGTTCTCCCCTTTTCCTGAAATGCTTTCCCTCCAGGATCCAGAACCACCTTTTAAGTCTTCGGTCAAATGTCACCTCAGAGAGACCTCTTACCACCTTATTTAAAATTGCAAACAATCCTCTCCAACCCACCCCTCTCCAGCACTTCCTATCTCCTCCCCCGCTTTTTTAAAGCACTTAACCACCTTCAAATATATTATTTACTTGTTTATTATCTCTGTCCCCACCATGAGGGGCAAGGAGTTTTGTCCCTAGTATCTGGAGCTGTTCCTGGCACCAAGGAGCCATTCAGATGTTGGTTGAGTGGATGGATGAATAAGAGGAGTGGTAGGTTTTGGCAAGAGAAAGTTCAATTGATGAGTCCCATGGCTGGGGCTGGGTAGGGAGGGCAGTGATACCCGGAAGGAGCATCTGGATTGAGGGAAAATGGAGTTGTCAGAAAACGGGAGAGTATCAAGTGAACTTACTTCTGCAGAACATCTATTGGAGAAATCAATGAGCAGCTAGATGACAGCCAGCTGAGTATATCATTACATGATTGATGACCTCAGCTAGCTTCCATTTTCGCACAAAATTTTTATGGTTTAAGAAGTTCCATGTTTGATAGTGCTTGTGTTATATTTAAACAAGATGTGCTATCCTTTCCACCCCCCCCTCTTTAAATTGCTTTAGGTACTTAAACTTCACCCTTGTTTAGCCCCTGTTAAGGTTGCTTTGGATGTGGGAAGAGGCCCAACGGTGGAATTAAGACAGGTGGGTTAAATGAGTTTTAGTATCATGATTTTAATTATAACCATTACTTCAAATAAATGAGTAACTACCGTTTAAAATTTTTATTCATTTGCTTTTTTAAAAATTTAATTCAATAGCTGTGGATAAATACTGTGGTTTATTACAGATAATTTGAAGCATGGTATATAAAAGAAGCTGCATACAGCTCAGTGATTTTGCTGTTAAAGTCATGCTTACTCATAGTTGCCTTTTTCAAATGAGTATGCATAGTTTTGGTAATCAAATATTCGTACAGATGTCTAGTGAATTATTTCTTGCCCACTTACATTTTTAACCTAACACTTTTGATACTTATTGGCATAAGCACAGGTTCTAGATCTATACCTTATTTTGGTTCTTCTAATCTATCTGGTCTAATTAAACACTCTTGAGAAGCCAGGAGGGTGGTTTTAGTTTCTTTCCAGACACCCGTTCAGCAGTCATGCTGGGTCCTGGGTGACTCAGACCCACCCAGCACCTGAGTGAGGACACTAGCAAGATTCACCCAGCTTTCTAAGGCTCCTGTGGAGAGGTCTGGGAAGGTGGGGATAGTGCACTCAGGGGAAGGGAAGGTAGTGGTTTAATTTCCATTTTTCCCCCTGGGGTTGTGGCAGCCTCCCCAAGACCCTTGTAGTAGAAGGTCCTTGGGGTTTTGTTTTGTTTTGTTTTGCTTGAAGGACACAAAAGAACTCTGCTCCCTAAATTTTTGCCATTGCAATTGCAGGTCTTGTTTTGTTTTGGTTTTGTTTACGTATAAGAACATAGTAGTATTTTGTCCCTTGGGTGTTTTTAATTTACCGAAGGAGAGTATGTTGTAAATCTCATTCTGTTTTTAACTTTTTTTTCCCTCAGTGGTAGCATAGAACATTCTGGGTTATGCAAGGGGTTTTGCTGGTTATATACATGGAGATGGAATTTCTGGATAAAATGGACACTTATCCTTAATTTCACTATTGTCAGTGAGATTGTCTCCAGATTGTCTGCACCTGTTTGTATTCTCATGGTGTGGGGGTTCTCATTTCCTTACTCAGGCCAGAGCTACTTCTCTTCTACCTCCCAATAGGAAGAGCAGATGTTTTTGTTGTCAACCACTAACTTTTTAAAATAAAATCCACAATGATGTTTATTTTTCTGTTAACTTCTTAGACTTATTAATATTTATATTCTCACCTATCCCCAGAATATCAAGTACCTTCACACTCATTGGTCTTTCCCTGGGAACTTGTTAGAAATGCACATTGTTGGTCCTCACCCCAGAGCTGCTGAATCAGAGACTCTGGTAATGAGGCAGAGCAACCTGTGTTTGACAAGCCCTCCAGGGGATTCCAATGTCCGCTGAAGTTTGAGAAACAGTGCTGTAGCTCAAGCATGCCCTGCCCCACCCACCACGGCCACCCTCCCCTGCTGGGCCATTTGGTGTTGTCTGGCGACATTTTTGGTTGTCGCAAGTGGGAACGGGAGTGCTATAGGCATCTCAGGGAGGCCACGGATGCTGCTAAATATCCTAACGTCAGCAGTGTGGAAGGGGAGAAATCCTGCTCTAGAGTTTTAGCTCTGGTTTGTTAAGGGTATTTAAAATTTTTCCTTTGGGAGCGCCTGGGTGGCTCAGTCATTAAGCGTCTGCCTTCGGCTCAGGTCATGGTCCCAGGGTCCTGGGATCGAGCCCCACATCGGGCTCCCTGCTCCTCGGGAAGCCTGCTTCTCTCTCTCCCACTCACCCCTGCTTGTGTTCCCTCTCTCTCTGTGTCTCTGTCAAATAAATAAAATCTTAAAAAAAATAAAATTTTTGCTTTGTTTTGCCTCACCATTGCTTGTGAAGAAAACTGTAAAGTTTATTATGTATTATTGTAAAATATGTATATGTATTATGTAAAATATTATGTAATATTACTCATTATTCTGTATTTCCAGTCAGGCTTTGTGTCCAGCATTCCCACTAAAACCAGTCGTTCTCTTCTTGAAACGTTTTCTTTAGTTGGCTTCAGAACACCACTCTCCTCGTTTTCCTCATACTTGTCTGGCTACTACTCTGTTTCCTTTACTGGCTCTTTCTTCTCTTTCTGACGTGGTGGTGTAACCCTGGGGCTCAGTTGCCAGCTCTCAGATGAGCTCACAGTTAGCACGGCCCTTTGCACTTACTGCTTTTCTCTGACAGAATCTGTTTTGGTTTTGTTCCTGTTTTGGAGGATAATGATGATGATAAAAATGCTTATATCTGTTATAAAATTTCCTCTTAGGGAAGATTTGCATTTCGTATTTAGCTTTGCAGTGCTTAATTTCTTCATTTTCAGAGGAACTATGCAATTTATAAGTATACAGTTATGAATTGTAAACAATATGATCACATAACTATAAGAATTTATGCCTCGTGTTAAGGACTGAAAAAAGTGATTTGTGGTTTCACAAAAACAGGGTAGTCATTCTAGCTACTTTTACTTTGTTCATATTTGAACTGTTTGTATTTTTTTCCTCAGGTCTGTCAAGGGTTATTTAATGAATTACTAGAAAATGGAATTTCTGTGTGGCCTGGTTATATGGAAACTGTGCAGTCCTCATTTGAACAACTTTATTCAAAGTAAGATTGTCTTGTCACTAAAATATGTATGTTCAGAGTTTTTGATCATATGTTTCTTTACGAGTAATAGAAATCTCTTCTAAATATCCTTCTAAATAAATGTAAATATATATATATAAAATACAATTTAAAATTATTCCTAACTTTCCCATTTATACCCCATACCCCTAGTTAATTGCTACAGCAGGGAACAATATTCATTGGTATATTTGAGCACATATTATCTGCAAGTTCAAGACTTAATGTCATGTAGTATGTGCACCTGAGTTTATCATTTTATCAGGGATGCAATTATGTATATATGCATTTATTGAATCAGGATTGAGGGAACACGAATGGAGTGCCTTTTCCTTGTTGGTGCTGTGGTTCATTCTGAGGCTGAGTGGAAGATAATTCCATCTCAGACAAGGGACAGAGAACTAGTTTCAGTGATCACCTCTATTCACCCAGTTGCTCCAGACTGATACCTGGATTTATTGTCCTTAACTCCTTCCTCTTCCTTTCTCTCCATCCCAGTTCATCACTAAATGTTGTCAGCCTGCCTCCTAAATAGTATCAGATCCATCTCTTTCCATCCTCACTGCACTATCCACATTAAAGTCACCAGTGTCTTTTGGCTGGATTCTTTTTTTTTTTTTAAGATTATTTATTGATTTATTTGAGAGATAGAGCATGAGTGGCGGGGGGGGGGGGGGGCGCAGAGGGAGAGAGAGAAGCAGGCTTCCCGCTAAGCAGGGAGCCTGATGTGGGGCTCGATCCCAGGACCCCGAGATCATGACCTGAGCCGAATGCAGAGACGCTTAACCGACTGAGCCACCCAGGTGCTCCTTCTGGCTGGATTCTTGTAGTAATCTCCTGATTGATCTTCTGTCTCCAGTCTTAGCCCCTGCTATTTCATTAACTTCCATTTTTGAAGTAATCCATTCTTCCCTCATTTGCGTTTATTTTGTTACCTTCATAGCTTTTTGTGTTGAATATCTATCTTTTGGGTGAAAAGTTGGGAAACTTTATGTTTTTCTCTTCAGTTCTCTAGTAACTTGTTAAAATCACCTTTCAGATGATGTCAGAGGAAAAATAAGTTTCTATAGATAAAGCAATTAATGGTTTCATTATATATAAAACAAAGTGGTGGTGCTTGAACTCTCCAGTCCCTGAGTTCTAAAATCTTATCCTTTGAGTCATTTAAGGATAATTGAGTGAACATTATCAAGTTAGAGTTGTCTTTTGAATGGTAAAGGCTTTATTATCCCAGGATATTTTTAATGAAATATTTATTAAGCATACCTACTATGGTTTTTTTAAAAGGATTTTTAAAAAAGATTTTATTTATTTGGGGAGGGGGTTGCATGCGCGTGCACGCGCAAATAGGGGAAGGGAGAGGGAGACAATCTCAAGCAGACTTCACACTGAGTGCGGAGTCCACTGCAGGTTCGATCACACGACCCTGAGATCATGACCCAAGCCAAAACCAAGAGTCTGTTGCTCAACTGACTGAGCCACCTAGGTGCCCCCACACTTAACTGTGTTTTATGCACTTTGATAACAGCAGTAAACAAGACAGAAAAATTTCCTGTTCTTACGAAGCTTATATTCTAGTAGGACAAAGTAGACAGTAAACAAGTAAACAGATAAATAATTTCTGACGGAGTCCTACGAAGAAAACAGACAATGAGATCATGTATCTTGGGTAAACAGAAAGAAGGCCAGTGTGGATATATTCAGTTATTGCTGAACTAGAAATGATAAGTTAGCATTCTAAGTTATATATTAAGTAAGCATGATTTTGGTATAATTTGTTGTATACAAGATCTTTATCAGAGTAGTATTGTAAGAGACTTTAGTCTAAAGTAATGTTTCTTGGATTATATACAAGTACCAAAAGTCTGAGATTATTCTGAGGTTCATCTATAATTTCACTCCAAATGATGTGTTGAGGTACCAGTGTTTATTTCTTAGATTTTATTTTCTTTTACGATTTTTCATCTATTACAATAAGTCAGAGAAACTTTCTGAGAAATTTACTTTGAATATGGTTCAGAAACTTTAAATAAAGTGTTTTTTGGTCCAACTCTCAAGCCCTGCTTTTGAGTTTTATGACTCTGGAAAGTGGCCGGATTCTAAAGTAATTAAACCTGGTAACATGGTGAATTTACAATTTATATTTGTGCTCATGTATTTTGTTTAACTACTTTTTTCCTTAGATATGATGAAATGAGTATCCTGTTCACAGTTTTGGTTACTGAAGCTACTTTGGAGAATGGGTTAATACATCTGAGAAGTAGAGACACCACAATGAAGGAAATGATGCATATATCCAAAGTAAAAGACTTTTTAATCAAGTATATATCATCAGCTAAGAATGTATAGATTTTAATATTTGTGTAATAAATATTCTCCTTTCCTAATTTGATTGTCTTATATTAACTTAGATTTGTTTTTAGCCCCTTCACTCTTATGAAGTGGACATTTTTGGTACTTTTTTAATTCAGTTTTTATTACTTATATTTCTTAATGGATTACATTCTATCAGAAATATGTTCAGCTACAAGAAACAAAAATCCCGCTATATTGGATTAAGCAAATTGTAGTTTGTTTTTCATAACAAGAAGTCTAGGAGGGTAGACTGTCCAGAGCTAGTATAATTGTTTCCTCCATAGTTAGTGACCCAGGCTCTTGATACCTTTCTGTTCTACCATCTTGGGTATGTTGGCTTTTATTTTTATACTTGCTGCTTTGTGGTCACAGGGTGGCTGCTATTTGTCTAGCCTTCTTGTCCACATTCTAGTTAGGAGGAAAGTCAAAGAGACAAGAGCTAACCAGCCAAAACTCTTCCCTTTTTAACTGGGAAAGTAAAAACTTTCCCAGACATCCCAATCAGAAGACTTGTTTACATTTCATTGGTCAGAGCTGGGTCACCTGGTCATCCCTAGGCCAGTCACTGCCCAAGGGAATGAGAATATCATGATTTATTTGGATCAAACACAACTTCTGCCTTAGGGCTTTGGTGGTGTCTTACCCCTTTGAAATGGGTTTTATTATCAGGGAAGAAGGAGTCTTTACAGAATCTGCCACATGTGTACTGTCAGATATTGAAGATTAACCTGAAACTAAACTTTAAAAAATTAGAACATTTATTGATTTTTGAAAAGCAAGATAAAATAAATGGTAGGTGGCATAATCTAATATTACAGTGTATTTTGTGTCTGGTTCTAATAGGTACATTTAAAAGAAATCTTTGAACTTTCATGTGCTGCTTCTGTTTGTGTTAATTATACTATCGTTACTCACCTGACAAAAATTCCAAACAGAAAAAGAATAGTATAAGTAACCCCAAGTGCTATCACCCTGCCCAGTAACCATCAACCTGTGAACATCTTGCCTCATCCACCCAACAACCATCCTTCCATATCAGTTTGAAGCAGATTGCAGCTCTCACTTCATTTGTAAGTATTTTATTTTATTTATTTATTTATTTTTAAGATTTTATTTATTTATTTGAGAGAGAGAGACACAGCGAGAGAGGGAACACAAGCAGGGGGAGTGGGAGAGGGAGAAGCCGGCTCCCCGCAGAGCAGGGAGCCCGATGTGGGACTCGATCCCAGGACCCTGGGATCATGACCTGAGCCGAAGGCAGTCGCTCAACCGACTGAGCCACCCAGGCGCCCCATTTGTAAGTATTTTAGTTAAGAGTCTTTTGTTAACCATTATCACACCTAAAAAAATGAACACTAGATGGTATTAAGGAATTATTGACAATTTTCTTGGATGTGTGATAATGGTATTATGACTTTTTAAAAAAATGTCCTTATCTGAAAGAGACACATACTTAAATATTTTTGAGTGAAGTTACATGATACTTGAGACTTGCCTTAAGATTCTCCAGTTTAAAAAAGGTGGTGGAATATAGATAAAAAATAATAGTATCTCTCAGTTGTTGAAGCTGGGTGATGAGAACATGAGGGTTCATTGTATTACCTTTTTATTTTTGTGCATGTTTGAGAATTTTCATAATAAAAAGTTTTTAAAAACCATTTCTTTAATATCAGATATCTACTCAGTTTTCAGTTGTCTCATAATTTCATAAAATTGAAGTTGATTGTTAGGTCTTTTAGTCTCTGCTTTTTTAAGAAATTGGGCTGCTTATTATGGGGTTTGTTACTCTGGATTTTGCTTATTGCATCCCCATGATGGTTTAATCTGTTCCTGTCTATAATTTCCTGAGGATTTGGAAGTTAAATCCAAAGGCTTAATCAGTTTCAAGTTTAATTTTGGGGGACAAGATTTTTCCTAGGTTGTTGTGTTCTATCAGGAGGCAGTACTGTCTGGTAGCTTCTCTTTTTGGGGATGCTAGCAATCATTGATCAAAACAGTGATATCCTAATTCTCTTTCTTCCTCATTCATTAGCTAGAATACTTCTGTAAAGAAAAGCATCTCATCTATTACTTGCTTAGAGGTGTGAGTGAGGTAGGATAAATGCAGATTTGTTTCCTTTAAAGTTGTTCTCTTTGATGTTCAAATTGTCCTATCTTTGGCCAGTGGGAGCCTCTTCAAGTTGGCCTGGAGTCCTTTTGACACAACTTCAGTAGTCTTTTTTTTTTTTTTTAAAGATTGTATTTATTTGATAGAGAGAGACACAGCGAGAGGGAACAACAAGCAGGGGGAGTGGGAGAGGGAGAAGCAGGCTTCCTGCCGAGCAGGGAGCCCGATGCGGGGCTCGATCCCAGGACCCTGGGATCATGACCTGAGCCAAAGGCAGACGCTTAATGACTGAGCCACCCAGGTGCCCCTTCAGTAGTCTTTAATAGCTTGTATATTTCAGAGTTTCTGTAAGAAGTCCTGGTTCCTTTTAATGGAAAATGGTATTTGGAGGCTGTATCTGAGTACTGGGGATGCTCATTGTTAGAAGGTGGTCTTTGTTTCTAGGCCTTTTCAGATGTGTAAATGTGTGTGTGTGTATTTCCCCCTGAATTAAAAAAGTCATGAATTCACACCAGTACTTTATATTCAAATTCAGCACTGCAGTGTGTGTGTTTGGGGGTGGGGGGTTGTTAATCAGCTTTGTTGGGATAAAATTTATATTCAATAAACTTACTTATTTTAAATGTACAAATTATGAGTTTTGACAAATGTGTAACCACCACCACCACAATGACAATATAGAACATTTCCATCACCCCAAAAATGTCCCCTCATGCCTTTTAGGACTGCAGGGCTTTTACTTAATCTCTTTTATCATACATCTGTATCTCTTCCATTCCAAAATCCCAGTTCTCAAGAATACTGAGGGGGCTGGGGCGCCTACGTGGCTCAATCCATTAAGCTTCTGCCTTCGGCTCAGGTCATGATCTCAGGGTCCGGGGACCGAGTCTTGCATCAGGCTCCCTGCTCAGTGGGGAGCCTGCATCTTCCTCTCCCCGTCCCCTGCTCATGCTCTCTCTCGCTATCTCTCTCTCTCTAGTAAATAAAATCTTAAAAAAAAAAAAAAAATACTGAGGGTGATAATATAATTAGAAAACCATGGCCTACAACTGGTCATTTGCTTGATTTCACCTTAATTGTGGCAATCTCAGAATTACCATACCAATATGACCACCATATGTCAACTTAAAAGTTTAAATTTCAGGGGCGCCTGGGTGGCTCAGTCAGTTAAGCAGCCCACTCTTGATTTCAGCTCAGGTCATGATCTCAGGGTCTTGAGATTTATATATTTATAAATATATAAAATCTTTTCTAAAAAAAGTTTAAATTTCATTTTTATAATTTAATGATAAGAGTGTTCTTTTTTTTTTTTTTTTTTTTTTTAAGATTTTATTTATTTATTTGACAGAGAGAGACACAGCGAGAGAGGGAATACAAGCAGGGGGAATGGGAGAGGGAGAAGCAGGCTTCCCGCGGAGCAGGGACCCCGATGCGGGGCTCGATCCCAGGACTCTGGGATCATGACCTGAGCCGAAGGCAGACGCTTAACGACTGAGCCACCCAGGCGCCCCAAGAGTGTTCTTTTTTAAAAAAAATTTATATTAGAGAGAGAAAGAGCACAAGCGGCAGAGGGAGAAAGAATCCCAAGCAGACTCCGCACTGAGCACAGAGCCTACTGCTGGGCTCGATCTCACAACCCTGAGATCATGACCTGAGCTGAAACCAAGAGTCACAGGCTTAACAGACTGAGCGATCCAGGCACCCTGCTGTAAGAGTGTTCTTGAAGGCATTTGTTTGCTATGTTACACCACGTCTTCCTGTAAGGAAGCATGGGAGAAATTTCTCTCAGACAGTTGTGCTTCTCCTGGCCTGTTATTATATGTGTTATATGTTTGTTCATTTTGTTCATTCAAAGAAGGCTTTTTTGAGCACCTAAGTCCCAGGGACTGTAGGTACTGGGGATATAGTGGTGAACAAGATAGACCTTTCTAGGGGTAGACAGGTGGGAACAGACACTAAGCAGGTATGCTCATGGACAATTTCAGGTAATTTCAGATAGTGATAATGTTGTAGGTAATAGAACAGGATGATGTGCTAGATCATTGCTGTAGTCGTGTGCTTTGCCTAGGTGGTCAGGGAAGCTCGGAGGATGTGACCTTCAAACTGAGGCTGAATGATACAAAGGAGCCAGGTATGTGAGGATCTGGGGCAGAGCATCCTGGACAGAGGGACTAGGAAGTGCCAAGGCCCTTAGGAGGGAGAAGGTATGGAGTGACCAAGGAGCAGAAAGCAGGCCAGGGGGGCTGGAGTAGGTGAGCAGAGGGGAGATGAGTAGAAGATGAGGTCAGACAGGTGGTCAGGACCCACAACACTTAGAGCCATGGTGGCCACAGCAAGTCTTCTGGAAGCCACTGGGGCAGGAGGGGATGGTTTAAGTAGACAAGGGACATACTGTTATTTTGAAAAGATTACTGTGGGAATGGGATGCAGAGGAGTAGGAGGGAAGCAGGGAGACTCGTTAAGGAGCTCTGACAGGTGATGGCGGCCAGGACAAGACAGGGAGCAGTACCCTTCTTAGACCTGGCAAGAGGAGCCCCTGCGCTGGGCCCTTTTTCGAGCATCCTGCTCTGGCCCTTCTCCGTCTGCCTCCTTCCCCACAGGATGTTTGAGGGGCCAAGAAGGCATGCTTGGAGATCATTGTAGTCCTTAGGTGTCTAATTTTTCTAACCTGTAAATCAGTTACAACCTCTGGTATGGTGTATTGGGGAAGAGTTGAGGGCATAGTCCATGTCCCTCAAAGGTGGAAAGGAGAAAGGAAAAAACATTGAGCTTCAGGCATCACAGAACTGTTGATCATTCCTCTGGTTAGGTCTCCTTTACATCCTTCCTGAGAAGCATCACTGAGAGAAGGCATTCTCCTCCGGTTGTAATCCACCAGCCCTGGGAGCAGAAGGGGCAGCTAGTCCTCCCCGCAAGGCTTTTGTGCTGCCTGGTATTACCCTGCAGGTACCACCTTTTCCCATTTTTCTATTGGATTATTGGTGGGTTGGTTTTTTGTTTTTCAACAATTTGTAAGAGCTCATTATATATTATGGAACTTCAAACTTCATCTGAGATGTGGGTTCAAAATATTTCCCCTACTTATTCTTTTGGCTTAGCTTATTTATTTATTTTTTTAAAGATTTTTATTTATTTATTTAACAGAGATAGAGAGAGAGCACAAGTAGGCAGAGCGGCAGAGAGAGGGAGAGGGAGAAGCAGGCTCTCTGCCGAGCAGGGAGCCCGATGCGGGGCTCAATCCCAGGACCCTGGGATCATGACCTGAGCTGAAGGCAGCCGCTTAACCGACTGAGCCACTCAGGCGCCCTTAGCTTATTATTTTTAAATGTAATTTAAAAATGAGTCATCTAATTAAATTTAGCAATTCTTTATATCTTCTGAATTGTGAGTCATACCTAGAAAAGCCTTCCCCTCTTAAAGATCATTTTTAAATTCCTCCTTTTTTCTTCTAGCACTTCTGTGGCTTTATTTTTAGGTATTTTAACATTTGACCTATCTGACTTTATTTTGTTGCAGAGAATGAAGTAGGGGGTCCACCTTTTTTTAAATGTGATTCTAAAGTTTTTACACTATGTTGAATGGTCCATCTTTTCCCCACTGATTTAAAATGCCATATTTTTCATTCACTGAATTCCCATGTGTGTTTAGATTTATAGCCAGACTTCCGGTCCCATTCCATTGTCCTACTTGTTCAGCCATATGCCAATACCACACTTTAAACATCATGGTAGCTTTATAATGTTTCCAAACCTTACATACACATCCTTATCCCTCTCCCCTGCCTCTGTCATTTATGTTTTCTATATCCTTCTTGAATCCTACACCCTTTATCTGTGTTTACTTTTCTTCCTCAAGTACATCGTGTAGTTCTTCAGTGAGAACGCAATTGGAAAAACCTCTTTCTCTGTCTTTGTCCTAAAATGTCTTTATTTCACCCTCAGTCTTGATTGAAATTTTGGCTCATGTAGAAGATATTTTGAGTGGCCCTCTTAAACCTCCTTCCATTTGGTGGGGTCGGAAATCTAAAAGCATTACCATTCCCTTACTGCTGGGGGACGTATGGTGGTGAATATCTTCTAATCAGATGCACATGCTCAGGACCCAGAAAGAAGGGAGGTGGTGATGGTTGCTGAGAAGCAGGTGGCAGCAGCAGCAGAGCTCCACGTTCCGTGTCTGGCCTCAGGTTTCGGGGCCTGAGGCTGTGGGGGTAGGTAGCTGCCTGGTCTCCAGATAGTAAAAAAACCTACAGATAAATTATTAAAGTGGAAGAGAGAGTTTAGTGAGGTTGCTAAGGGATACAGAATCAAACACAATAATATTGATGGTGTTTCTGTATATCAGCATGAAACAAAAACACAACTTATCATAGCATCAAAATATCAAGTACCTAGGAATAAATCTAACAAAAGATGTGTAAGATGTTTATGCAGGAAATAATAAAACACTCTTGAGAGAATCGAAGAAGACACAGTGAGATATTTGTAGTTCGGAACACTCACTATTCTAAAAATGTTAATACTCCCCCAGTTGATCTATAAATTCAATGCAATATCAATCAAAATCCCTATCATGTTCGGGTTTTTTTTTTTCTTTAAGAAAATAACAAGCTGACTCTTTTTTTTTTTTTTTCAAGATTTTATTTATTTATTTGAGAGAGAGAGAATGAGAGACAGAGAGCACGAGAGGGAAGAGGGTCAGAGGGAGAAGCAGACTCCCTGCTGAGCAGGGAGCCCGATGTGGGACTCGATCCCGGGACTCCAGGATCATGACCTGAGCCGAAGGCAGTTGCTTAACCAACTGAGCCACCCACGCGCCCTGACTCTTTTTTTTTTTTAAGCTGACTCTAAAATTTAACTGGAAATGCAAAAGGTCAAGAATAGCTAAGACATTCTTAAGAACAAGATAGGAAAATCTGCTTTTTCAGTTATCAAAACTTACTGAAAAGAGTATGGTACTGACACAGGAGAGATAAGTAGAACAATGAAACAGAATCTAAAGCCCAGAAGGAAACACACATGTATATGGACATTTGATTTGTGACAAAGATGATACAGCAGTTTAGTGGGGAAAGGACAGCTTTTCAGTGGACAGTGCTAGCGTTGGTGATGTTCATGTGTGGGAGCGGGGAGAAATAGGATGCTCATTTCATACCACACACAGAAACGATGCTGCGTGGTTGTAAACCGAAATATGAAAGTAAACGAGAAAAACCTCTAGTAGATAGTAAAATAGAATAATACTTGCATGCCCTCAAATTGAGGAAATACTTCTTCACCTGGACACACATACACAAAAAACACTAATCGTCAAGGAAAAGGTAGACAAATTAAGTTCTTAAAATTAAAGCTTCTTTTCATCAAAAGGCAACACTGAGAGAGTGAAAAATTAAGCATCAGAGTAGGAGAACAACTATTAAAAAATAAGAAAAAGTTAAAACACCTCCTAGAAAAATAGGCAAAGAGCCTCAAACAGGTATTTCATTAAAAAAGGAATCCACATGATCTCTAAATACAGGAAAATTGTGTTCAACCTTATTAGTCTCAGGGAAATGCAAATTAAAATCACAATGAGATATCACTATATGCCCACAAGAATGGTTAAATTAAAATGACAGTGCCAGTGTTGGTAAAAACGTAGGGGGGGTGAAAACTCACATACTGCTCAAGGGAATGAAGAGGTGAGGTGATAGGACCACTTGGGAGAATATTATGGCATCGTCTACTTAGGATGGGGATAAGCCCCATGACCCAGACATTGTATCCCGACACATATTCAGCATGGTTGCATGCAGTTGGGAAGCAGCAGACATGTTCCTAGCTTAAGGGTGGTCACAGCCGCATAATTGCAATAGCCCCACGTTGACAACGGCCCAAATGTGTGTCAGCTGTAGAATAGATAAATTATGGTAGATTCCAACAGTGGAATACCATTTAGTAACGGAAGATGTAATTACAACTACATGCAGCAACATGGATAAATCTCACGAATATAATGGTTTTTGTTTTTGTTTTTTACGTTATTTTTTTTAAAGATTTTATTTATTTATTCATAAGAGGCAGAGAGAGAGAGAGGCAGAGGGAGAAGCAGGCTCCCCGCTGAGCAGGGAGCCCGACGTGGGACTCGATCTCAGGACTCTGGGATCATGACCTGAGCCGAAGGCAGACGCTTAACGACTGAGCCACCCAGGCGCCCTCACAAATATAATGTTGAGCAAAAGAAGCCCGACACAAGAATAAATGCTATATGATTCCATTTATATGAAATTCAAAAACAGGCAAAACTAAAGACGGTATTCAGGAATGCATACTTGGTGGTAAAACTATAAAGACAAGCAAAGAATCGATCCCCTTAAATGAGTAGTGAAGGCGGGGAGGTGGGTTCGTGAGTGGGAAGAGGCATGCAGAGGGTGTCCAGGCCGTGGGCAGTGTTCACTCCGTATTAACTTACCAAGCTGTCCATATCCATTTTAATGCATTTTCTTATAATGTGTGCTCTATTTCACAACAAAAAATGTAAAGAATCTGGATTTGAAAAAGACCCAAAGTGAAGCTGAAACAGACATGACAAAAATGTAGCTATTGAAAGGAAAACTCTGTAGACCTCTTTCTTTCTTTTTTTTTTTTAATTTATTTATTTGAGAGAGAGAGAATGAGAGAGAGCACATGAGAGGGGGGAGGGTCAGAGGGAGAAGCAGACTCCCCGCCGAGCAGGGAGCCCGATGTGGGACTCGATCCCGGGACTCCAGGATCATGACCTGAGCCGAAGGCAGTCGCCCAACCGACTGAGCCACCCAGGCGTCCAGTAGACCTCTTCCCTTTCCTTTTTCTCTTCTTCCTGAACAATTCAATCCGAAAGCCCGAACATCTGCGCAGGGGGGATCAGGTAGAGTGGGCAGCCACAGGAAGTCGCAGCTGGGTGAGGATGGAGTCGTGAGGACTACACGAGCCTGAGTACACAAAGCACTTCACAGCACCTGCACCCTGGTACGTGCTGCACACGTGGCAGCCATTGTTGTCACAGAGGAATTCTTGGGAGATGGTGTACCCGCCACCTCCGTATCTTGCATCACATCCCCTGGGCCTCACCTCCGATTCCAGCTGCCGCTGAGACTTCATTCACTTTGTGTCGACAGCATCTTGCTTCAAGTGTACAACACATGCCCCCATTTTCTGCCCCGATGCGTTGCAGCGCCCTGGGTGAGATGCCAGCTTGGAATGTCCACATGCACTAGCAGTGGGGGAGGCATCACCTCCTGGGTCAACCCTCAGCCAATCAGGGATGAAAGCCAACGGAGAGGTCCTCAAGAAGACAGTTCTGAGAGACATTTTCTCGTTTCTCTGAAGGTTCCAGTGGGATCAATCCCCAGTTGTCCATAGAAGTGCCCAGCTCAAAAGTACGCCCTGGTACTGGCTTTTCCTCCAGTCCCTTATGCTTGTTCCCTTGGGTCACCTCCCAGATAAATTAGTTGCCCCAAATCCTTATCTCAGGCTCTGCTTTCAGGGCCAGTCCAGGATAAGACAGGGTATCAGAAGGCCCTAGAAAGCAGCCCTAGGAAACGGATTTACTCCTTGGATGGATAGCAACAGGCGATGTTGTAAGGGGCTGGTGAGGAGGGTGGTGATAACCTTTACACGCCATAGCTTCGCAATTACTTTATAATTATTAAGATCTTCCTCAGCAGTGCGGATGGAGGCAGAGGTAGAAAGTGCAGCACTGGGCTCTGCAATGGTTTTAGCACTTGAAAGGCACAGGGCAATGGTAATTATCTGGATTGTGGAGTAGAAGTTGGCTTCTACTAACTGCTTTAAAAGCTTTGCAAGGAGAAAATGAGAGACTATTGATTCAGGGCATGCTGTGAAACCCAGAGGCATTCTGGACTTCAAAACTTCAGAAGGTCTTAACTGGATCAAATCCAATTACCATTATGGTCTGGAGCTTGCTAGCCCCGCCCCACCCTGGTGTTGACTTTTCCTCCCTGTTTTACTGCCCTGCACCCTCACTCCTGCTGCCTGAGGTCACCTGCCACATAGGCTACCTGCATCCAAGTCCTTGTCTCAGGCTCTGCTTCCGGAGGGACCTCAAGACAGAAGAAGCAGCCAATGGTGACCAAGTTACCAAGTTTAAGACCTCAAAGACTTATTAAAGATTTCTAAGGGGAGCAGCCAATTAGTAGGACGCAGAGTAAGCACCATACCTCAAATAGCCTTTTTTTTTTTTAAATTATATGCCTGGCCCTGTTCCAAGCCCTTTACATTCATTACCTGAGTTAATTATCACTGCAGCTCCATAATAATACCAGCATTATGGACCCCTCCCTTTCTCCGTCCCCCCAAGTGAATAACACTGAAGCCCGTAACTTATCCAGAGTCACAGAGTTAAGACATGACTGAGCCTAAATTATGTTCAGTCTGTCTGACTCTGGAACCCTTACTTTCTTAGCCTCTATGACACACTGATTTCCCCCCAAATAAAAATGTCAACAGAGAAAGGGCAGAAATTATGCTCATGAATGCTGCTTTATGGCAACAAAATCCTCAAATTAATCTGGACCTGTGTGCACAGTATCCCTTCCCACCCTGGAGAGGCATTCCCATGGCCGGTGCTTCTGCTGATCTTTGCTAGGATTTAACTCCCAGTTCAACCACTACTAAGCTGTGAGTGACCTTGTGAAATCACTTACCCCATCTGCGTCTAAGTTTCCTTACCTGTAAAAGCAAAATAATAATATCCCCCTGTAGGATGCTAGACAGTTAGTGTCTAGTAACTGGTAGCTATGATTTTTCTAGTCAGAGGTCCACTGTTGGGAACTATTAAGACTGAGGTTCAAGCAACCCCCAGAAGAAGAGCAGAGCAGAAAAATTTGGGCCAAGTTGTTTTGTTCATCTAGAACCCTACAAATGCATCTTGGCTTTTATTGGACTTTACTAATAACACCTAGGATGAGAGATTTAAACCAGATATCATTTTGACCCACCCCTGTAGTGGTCTGAATGGTGGCTCCCCAAAAAGATAAGTCCATGTCCTAACTCCTGCAACCTGTGAACGTCACCTTATTTGAAAAAAAGGTCTTCAGAGGGGTGCCTGGGTGGCTCAGTTGGTTAAGTGGCCAACTCTTAATTTTGGCTCAGGTCGTGATCTCAGGGTCCTGGGATTGAGCCCAGTGTCAGGCTCCGCACTCAGTGGGGAGTCTGCTTGAGGATTCTCTCCCTCTGCCCCTCCCCCAGCTCTCTCTCTCTCATAAATAAATAGATCTTAAAAAGAAAAAGGGGGTGCCTGGGTGGCTCAGTAGGTTGGGCATTTGACTCTTGGTTTCAGCTCAGGTCATGATCTTGGGGTCCTGGGATCAAGCCCTGTGTTGGGCTCGCATGCTCTTCCTGTCCCTCTCCCTCCCCCTCTGCTTCTCCCCGCTCTCTCTCTCAAATAAATAAACAAAATCTTAAAAACAAAAAATGTCTTTGTAGATATAATTAAGGATCTTGAGATGAGGGGTCCTAAATCCAATGACCAGTATCCTTATAAAAGAAAGGCAAAGGAAAAGAAGTCCATATGAAGACAGAGGCGGAGATTGGAGAGATGTTGCCACAAGCTCAGGAACACCAGGAAGCATAAGAAACAAAGGGACAAGCAAGGATTCTCCCATAGAGTCTTTGGAGGGAGCACAGCCCTGCTGATATCTTGATTTGAGATTTCTGGCCTCCAGAACTCTGAGAAAATAAATCTCTGTTGTCTTAAGCCACCAGTTTGTGGTGATTTGTGAAGACAGTCAAAGTAATCCATTCTCCTGTCTCCCACAGAACACTACTCTCTCTACAGAATGCCGATGGGAAATGCAGCACATAAAGGCATGCCTTTGACATTAGCTAAGTTTTGAGGACTGAGAACATCCACGAAAATCAATATAAATATTTTTGCAGCCTTCCAAAATCTGAGAGCAAATTGAAATAGCGATGGATAATAAATGTGTCCTTGGTGAATAATCTCATTTTCCTCTCGTAACTACTGGGACTCTTTTCTTCAGACATATTTTCAAGGTCACCAGTTTTTGTTTTAGAATTTAGACATGGTTTTTTTCCTCTGAACCTTCGGTGGGCATGGTGCTGGGGACCCTGGAAAGGTGATCGCTATTCTGCCCCCAGGATCCACTTACGAAGAGCACAGTGGTCTGGCAATTCCTCTTTTTTTCAGTGATGTGGCAATGGGGAGAATGGTCCATGCCTAAAAATGGCAGAAGCATTTAAAAACGGTCACCAGTCAGGATCCCACCTGACAAAACTGTTGCCTGATGACAGGATTGGATGTACCCAAATAGGCCAAAGGAATGGTGTTTAATCATGAAAAATAGTAATTCACTTTAGGTCGCCAGTGACATATTTTTGAGTATCAATCACATTTGCCTTTTCTTCATATAAATCAGCTTTATAAAAAGGATCTTAATCTGAGATGTAGCTTGTATCTTTAAATTTCAGAAGATGAGTTCAGAATAGATATATCCAGTTTTACAATCATTACAGGCTTCTGAAATATAAGAGAGAAAATAATTCAGTAAAATTAGGATATATATCCATAGAGACTCTAAAACCACCCCCCCCCCCCAAAAAAACCCTCATTTTAGTAGCTGGGTGGTCTGAAAGAACCATGTATTAACTGTTTTTTTTCCTAGACTATATAAGAATAATTTATTCTTGGGCGCCTGGGTGGCTCAGTTGGTTGGGCGACTGCCTTCGGCTCAGGTCGTGATCCTGGAGTCCCGGGATCGAGTCCCGCATCGGGCTCCCTGCTCGGCAGGGAGTCTGCTTCTCCCTCTGACCCTCCTCCCCCTCATGCTCTCTGTCTCTCATTCTCTCTGTCTCAAATAAATAAATAAAATCTTTAAAAAATAATAATAATAATTTATTCTTGAAAATCGTTTAGAAGTACCCCTGCATCCTCCTCTCTGGATTTTTTTTTTTTTTAAATCATCAGATCCCTTTTTTTTTTTTAAAGATTTTATTTATTTATTTGACAGAGAGACAGCGAGAGCAGGAACACAAGCAGGGGGAGTGGGAGAGGGAGAAGCAGGCCTCCCGCTGAGCAGGGAGCCCGATGCGGGGCTCGATCCCAGGACCCTGGGATCATGACCTGAGCCGAAGGCAGACGCTTAACGACTGAGCCACCCAGGCGCCCCTGGATTTTTTTATATGAAACTCTCCGTGTCACATACTTCCCTCCCCAGCCCCCCTTCCCCCCCCCCCATCTCCTAATGAGATTTGTTAGGAGTTGTAGTATTGGTTGTTACTGGCTTCCTGGGGTGTGCACGTTGCCTCCATCTACTCCATCCTTGGGCTCCTAAAGCTCCGGTGGCCTTATGTCTCGGGTTGATAGGATCCTCTTATCCCAAACTGTGGCTCACCATGAACTCTTGGTGCCGCCTTCTGGAACACAGGGGTAGCATAGAGTATCCCCTGGGAGCACCCAGTTCCTGGGCAAAAGACAAGGAGCAGAGTTACTGGGCCTATAATCCGAATCTCTGATCACGTGAGGGCAGTGGTTTAGCCAGCCACCCTCGACACGGTGTGCAGCCTCTGGACTTTGCAGAGAACACTTACCATCTTGGGCTGTGGGAACACACTGCCTTGGCTCCAAGCCTCGCGCAGATTCCTCACCTGTAACATGGGAACAACGTAAACTGGGAGTTAGTGGTGTTTGTGTAGGACAGGGCAGGTAAATTGCTTAGCACCGTGCCGGAAACAGGGTTAGGGTTAGCGTTGGCTGGGTTTGTTCTCATTGTTACCAAGGCCCTGAGTCTATTTACCATAAAGCAGTGTATGATGCTTGCCTTAAGAGGGGATCATAAGAGGCTCCGGAACACTGTGGATCGTTCCAAACTGACATTAAAACATCTCCAAGTTACGTTAAGTGAAAAAATCAAGGTGTAAAACGGCATATCTGTGACCTGCTACCCTTTGTGTAGATGCTAGCTAGCACCCACGTAGAGGATCTATGTGAGGATTTTAAAAATTGGTTGTTGCCCCGTAAAGTAGGACTGGATGTCAGGGGTGGGAGGAAGACATTGTATTCTAATTCCTTTTATTCTTTTTTTTTACCCCTGGGTCGTACAACCTTAAAAAAAATTTAAAGACAAAAATCTGAAACCAACCAACCACACCAATCAAAATACCCCCAAAAATTCTCTTACCTGCTTGATTTTCACAGATATTTGCGTATATTCTAACTTCCCTGGCCGTATTTCCATAGTCTCTGGGTGCTTTATCTCTCATAGCTTTTCCTACATGAAGTGAATCATTTATGTAGAATCATTAAATTAAACCGGTTCAGCCACATTTTCTCATTTCCTCTGCCAAGGAGCAGAATCCCCCAAAGTTCAGAAACAAAGAATAACCTGCTCCTATGGCCTAAACTGTTGTCTACTGAAGGAAAACCATGGCCTCAGCAAGGAATCCATAGCACCTGCTTCTCCAAGCCAGAAGCCCTTCTGATTTATTTTCCTGGGTCTGCGAGGAACATCCTTTGCTTATGCCAGAGACACATTTTCTTTCCTTCACTGAAAAGAACAGTTTGTAAAAAGCTTTGTAATATCTGCAAGAGACAGTAAATTACCCAGCTGAGTTCTATTTAGCCCTGGCCAGTAACCAAGAATACTAATTCTACTTCTGCAAGACTTTTTGTAGGAAGGGAGGACAGGTTTTTAAAAATGTATAAGATGTATACTTTTTTTTTTTAAGATTTTATTTATTTATTTGACAGAAAGCACAAGCAGGGGGAGCAGCAGAGGGAGAGGGCGAAGCAGGCTCCCTGCCAAACAGGGAGCCCGATGAGGGGCTCGATCCCAGGACCTGAGATCATGACCCAAGCCGAAGGCAGACAATTAACCGACCGAGCCACCCAGGCGCCCAGATGTATACATTTTGACATCTATTTTCAAGTCTTGTGTCAACTAAGTTTCTGACTTCTCTGAATGGTAACTCTCTAGAGGAGGCACAGGAGGTTAACAAGTATCACTTGGTGCTCTCCCTAGCTATGACAGTACCTCCCCGTTCTACAGGTCAGAACGCTGAGGCTCAGGCAAGTGAAGGAGGCTGCCCGATGCCCCTCAGCTCACTGCTGGGGTGCTGGTGCTGAGACACGCTGTTCTTTGTGCATATCTTGATACTCCTCCATACTTGCATGCCAAGTGAAAAGGCCATTTTGAAATCTTAAGTAGAGGTGGTCATAAGAGGTGAATAATGAAAAGCAGTGGCTGGGGCTTGATGCAACACTGAAGGTAGACAGAGGACAGTGATGCTCTTGTTGCTCTTTGACTGAGCTTCCTCCGAGGGGCCGAGCGAGGCAGCATGCTGACAGATACAAGGCAAAGCTCTTGCCTTTGCGGAGCTGCCAGTCAGAACCCACCACCTCGTTTGCAGGGCCTGGTGCACGGCGAAAATGCGGGGCCTCTTGTTACAAAATTATGAAGATCTGTGCACCTGTGTTCGTGGCAACAGCATCCACAGTAACCAAAAGGTGGAAGCCACCCAAGGGCCCATTGACGGATGAGTGGATCAACTGAGTGTATATATGCCTATGTATCTATGGATCTGTCTAATGAAGATTCTTCAGCTTTAGAAATGGAGGAGATCCTGACACATGCACAACATGGATGAATCTGGAGGACTTCTGCTGAGATGAGCCAGTCACAGAAGGAGAGAGACCGTAGGAGTCCATCATCGAGGTCCCCAGAGTAGCCAAATTCATAGAGACAGAAGAGAGAGTAGTGGTTGCCAGGGGTTGGCGGAGGGCCACTGAATGGGGAGGGCGTAATGGGGACAGAGTTTCAGTTTTGCAAGATGAGAAAAGTTCCATGCGTGGACAGCGGTGATAATTGCATGGCAGTAACAGTGAACCTTATGCCATTGAACCGTATACTTAACGATGGTTAAGATGGCAAATTGGGGCGCCTGGGTGGCTCAGTCGGTTAGGCGACTGCCTTCGGCTCAGGTCATGATCCTGGAGTCCCGGGATCGAGTCCGGCATCGGGCTCCCTGCTCAGCGGGGCGTCTGCTTCTCCCTCTGACCCTCCCCCCTCTCATGCTCTCTGTCTCTCATTCTCTCTCGCAAATAAATAAAAAATCTTAAAAAAAAAAAAAGGATGGCAAATTGTATTGGTCTGTATATTTCACAAATTAAAAAATAATTTTAAAAAAGTTACAAAGAAAAAGTATTCAGAATTTCAAGACAGTGACAGCAGAGCACGGAACCCAGCGTGGGGCTCTTCTCAGTGCAGGGGCGCTCCGTGTGACCGCACAGGTCACGGACCTCCAAGCCATTGAAACAAGAAGGGCTTTCGCCAGAGAAATGAGAACCAGCTTAGGTGTGAGCTGTGTGGGAAGTCAGCTTCATTTACCTTCCCCTTTTGCATCTTTCCCTTCTCTCTTCATTTCCCTCGTATCCCATTTTATATTTCCCTTTCCCTTCCTCTTCTTCACCTTCTCTTCTGCTTTCTGTACCCAACACCCATGGCAAACAGTGCAAAAGCTGCTGAAGAACTTACTTGCTTTGTACTTTGGTAGTATCCAAAATGCCAGAACCAAGATTATTACGATTAGCACCAGCAATAACCCCGGAAGCAGTAGCTGCAGGCAGAAGGGACAGCCGTCTCCACCTGGAAGAAGACAGCATTCACTGGTCACCACACAGCTTTCTTTTCCAATGATACTGAACTGTGGAATGTTCTGGAAAGGGCAGTCACCACCATCTCCCAGGCTAACTAATGTACTGTGCACCCCGGTCTCCAGACTGCTATGGACACCTGCCACTCTTGAGAATTAACTTGTTAGTGAAGTTCTGGAAGTCACAACCAAGTGCATCTTCCACATGGGGTCATACAAAGAAGAGAAAAACAGCACAGCATTTAACAGATGGATTCCTGGCAGCATTGTTAGGATCATAAGGCTCAGAAAAGCCTGGTCATTTATTGGGCAAAGCCCTTAGTCATTTGGTATGATTTATGTCACCTAAACAGCTACCATTCATTATTAACTACACCCGAGACACTGTGTTAAGCACTTTACATGCATTGTCGTATTTATCTCATTGCTATCATTCCCATTTTGCAGATGACTAAAGTAAGGCTCAGAGGGGTTAAATGACTTTCCTGCAGTCACACAGCTAGTAATTGGAAGGGCTGTGCCTGTAGGCAAAGTTTGACTCTGGGGCCTGAGTCCTACAGGCTGCCTCATTTGTTAGAACACCAGGGCATGGGCTCTGTTCAATACCACCACTGATTCTAAGACTTCTCGAATCTTCAGAGAAAAAGTAATTTTTGCCTACATGATGGGGATCTAGAGTAAAGGATCTAAACTTACTTGCTTTGTACTTTGGTAGTATCCAAAATGCCAGAACCGGGATTATTACGATCTAAAGATCTCAACAATTTCCCAAATTGTTCATGTAAGACTTTTTGTCTAAGGCAATCAGGCTACTATTATCTGAAGTAGGCAGAAGTCTTTGGAAGAGGTATTCGGGACTGCCAAATGTCGTTCCCCAAGTGCCAGCCATTGCATTTGGCCCCTCTAACCTGCTCCCCTGCACCCAGCTGAATATGACTTATCTCTGGAAGCTGGGAAGGCACAAGCTGAGCGGTTGGTCATATGAGCCCACCCCCTTAAACGGGAGTACTTGCTTCAGTCAACAATCCGAGCCACAGAGGGCTCCACGAAGATCCTGACCTGATTGGTTCGACCTCTGCAAGATTAGCAAATATCTGTCCCAATTTCAAACCCACTCCGAGGACCTCACTCGTAGGAGCTCTGTTTGAAATTGGGCCCCTCTTCTTCTGGTATTATGTTTTCAAAACTGACAGAGATAGGAAAAAAAAACACAAACTTATCTAGGAAGGAAAATTGGATCGGACATTTAATGTTTCATATTAAATCTGGCAACGATGACTCTATGTATTACTGTTTAAATAAATCTTCTACTAATCATTTTTAAAAAGTCTTTAGAAGAGAAAGTAAAATGGAATTATTAAGAATAAAGACCTCAGTGACATACATTCCAGGCTCTTGAGTGAGTATTTGTAGGGGAGCAGAGAGCTCACTATAGAACAGGAAAGAATCCCACAAATCACAGGGCCCCCCCAGGAATGAGTGCCCTACTTACCCACAAATACGAAGTTGAACTCGCGACTGTATTTGACCACTGAACAGTTAGAAACTTGGGCTTTGCATTTGTAGGGGCCCAGCTCATGGGCTTCTGAGATGCTTAGGTTAAAAATCATGGGTTCACTTTTCCCATCATGGGTTCTCAGGTGTTTCTCACGCCAAAACAAAAAATAGGTGATCTGTAGTGATTTGTTCTGGTTGGAACAAATTAGCGATACATTTTGACCCCTCATGACCACTTTTGTTTCTGAGTCCAAACTTGGAGAAAGGAGTTCTGGAAAACAGAGTAACACAAGAAAACGTCTTTGTGAATATCCCTTAATAACTAAGTGGTAACCTGACCACATTTTGTGGGTCAAGGTGATAGAGATACTGGTTCCTGGAGAACTTTCTTGCTGCACAGCCAGGCTGACCAGTGTATGAGGAAGCCTCAGCATCTACAGAAGCTCCTTCCAGTGCTGCATGGGGGGCCTTGACAAGCTCTCATGCTCGCCACCTCTTTTGCCACTGAGAGTGTGAAGTGGACACTGTTTTTTTTTTTCCCTCTTTTTTAAAATTTAAATTCCAGTTAGTTGACATACAATATTAGTTTCAGATGTACAGTTTAGTGAAGTGTACTCTTAACACTGGCTATGCTGACTTAGAAATATTAATTGATGGTTTGTATCTCTAAAAGATAAAGACTTTTTTGGTAAACACAACAGTACCATTATCACACTTAAAAATTAATAATGTTTTTAAAATGTCATCAAACGGGGCGCCTGGGTGGCTCAGTCAGTTGAGCATCTGCCTTAGGCTCAGGTCATGATCCCAGGGTCCTGGGATCGAGCCCCGCATCGGGCTCCCTGCTCCGCAGGAAGCTTGCTTCTCCCTCTCCCACTCCCCCTGCTTGTGTTCCCTCTCTCGCTGTGTCTCTGTCAAATAAATAAAATCTTTAAAAAAAAAAAGTCATCAAACGGGGCGCCTGGGTGGCTCAGTCAGTTGAGCATCTGCCTTCGGCTCAGGTCATGATCCCGGGGTCCTGGGATGGAGCCCCACATTGGGCTCCCTGCTCTGTGGGGAGTCTGCTTCTCCCTCTCCCTCTGCTACTCCTTCCTCCCCCACTTGTACTCTCTCTCTCAAATAAATAAATAAAATCTTTAAAAATAAAATAAAATGTCATCAACATCTAATTAGTGTTCAAATTTCCCTAATTGTCTGTTGATGTTGTTGTTGTTTTTGGATCCAAAATGGCCCACTATAACTAGTTGATATGTTTCTTATGTCTTTTTTAATCTATAGACACTTCCATCTTTTTTTTTCCCCTCCCCCTACAGTTTATTTGTTGAAGATAGCAAGCTGTTTGTTCTATAGTGTTTTCCATGGTCTTGATTTTGTTGATCACATTCCCATGGTATCTTTTACCATGTTCCTCTGTCCCCTGCCCAGAGGCTTAATGAAATTCAGATTAGCTTTTATTTAGCAAGAATGCATGGGGGTAGTATGCACTTCCATGAGGAGGCACATAATGTCTGATCATCTCTCTTTTTGTTTCTTAGTAGGCTTTGACAATAACCACTTGGAAGCATTATTTCACTAGAGGTTGCAAAGTGGTGATATATTAATTCTATCTTTCCTTTTTCATTTATTATCTGAAATGATTCTATAAAGGGAAACTTGCCCCCATCAACTCTTTAGTTCTACTGAAGTATGGTTTGCATAGAAAAGGCAGGATAAATGCTTGGTTCTCTCCCTTTATTGACCAGTTCTGAAAATAATGAGTTTGTTTCCTAGCATCTTGTAACAGTAGGATATTTTTCTTTCATTGTTGTTATTTTTTGTTTAAGAATCATTATGAATTCATAATTTAAACATATTTGATGTATTTCAATCCATTGCAATTATTATTTTTTATTGTCCCGTTTTTTGACCATGGGAAGCACCTCGAAACCAGCTCCTAAGTCCTTTTTTTGTTTTGTTTTTGTTTGTCTTAAGGTTTTATTTATTTATTTATTTGAGAGAGAAAGAGAGCGCATGCGAGAGAGTGAGCGGGGCGGGGGGAAGCAGAGGGAGAGGGTTTGTTTGTTTTTAAGTAAGCTCTATGCTCAATGTGGGACTCGAACTCACCACCCTGAGATCAAGAGTCATATGCTCTACCAACTGAGACAGCGGGCACCCCTCCTGAGTCCTTTTGACACTACCCAGCAGTCTTTGATAGCTTGTATATTTGTATTTTATTATTTTAAAATGCCAAGGGAAAAAATAACCCTCATCAGGAAATCTAATGTAGGGCGCCTGGGTGGCTCAGTTGGTTAAGCAACTGCCTTCGGCTCAGGTCATGATCCTGGAATCCCGGGATCGAGTCCCGCATCGGGCTCCCTGCTCAGCGGGGGGTCTGCTTCTCCCTCTGACCCTCTTCCCTCTCGTGCTTTCTGTCTCTCATTCTCTCTCTCTCAAATAAATAAATAAATCTTAAAAAAAAAAAAAGAAAATCTAATGTAAAAGAATAAAATTATTAAAGAAGAGAAATATTAGAAAATGTTTTTATGGGCGCCTGGGTGGCTCAGTCGTTAAGCGTCTGCCTTCGGCTCAGGTCAGGATCCCAGGGTCCTGGGATCGAGCCCCACATCAGGCTCCCTGCTCAGCGGGAAGCCTGCTTCTCCCTCTCCCACTCCCCTTGCTTGTGTTCCCTCTCTCGCTGTCTCTCTCTCTCTCTGTCAATTAAATAAATAAATAAAATCTTTAAAAAAGACAATGTTTTTATATCACCAGAGAAGAAAAGTTCTTCCAAGTCAGGCCCAGAAATTGAGAGCCACAAAGAACTTAAAGCTTTTCTGTGGCAAAATTCAGACAAGTGACAGCCTAAAAAGAAATACTTAACACATAAATGAAAGCAAAGGATTCTTTTTATACATATAAGTCAATGGCAAATGAATAAGAAAAAGACAAATAAATGGACAAATAATATGAATAGGTAATTCCCAGAAGAATGAATGCAGAGGGCCATTAAATATGCTAGGGCCAGGGGATAGCTTGGGTGGAGGAGGGGTTTAGGCCCTTCAAAAATGCCAACAACTGCCCTTCCATGCTTTGGTCTGGACAACTAACATTTTCTCAGTCTTACGTATAAACTCAGCTTCAAGACAAAGCCTCTCCTCTCTTCCCAACCATATAGCCATCCCTAAATTTCCTCTCCACGGAACTGAGTGTTCATGACCAATAAACATGAAAAAGATGCTCAGCCTCACGAGTAATGAGGCAACTACAAATTACAACAATACTGAGATACTGGTTTTTACTCATCAGATTGGCAATTTACAAACATTGTCTCTGCTATTGGAGAGGCGTGGGAAACACTCGCCCATGTGAGTGGTCACTGTTGGTGAAGGTTCGGGGTATTGGCAGGGCAACTTAACAATTCAAATGTACCTGACCTTTGACCCAGCAATTTCACCTCTAGGATTTTATTTTATTCATTTATTTTAAAGATTTTATTTATTTATTTTTGAGAGAGAGAGAGAGCAAGAGAGAGCACAAGAGCCGGGGGTGGGGGACAGAGGGAGAAGCAGACTCCACCCGCTGAGCAGGGAGCCCGATGCAGGACTCCAACCCAGGACCTTGGAATCAGGACCTGAGCTGAAGGCAGACACTTAACGGACTGAACCACCCAGGCGCCCCAGTGGCCTAGCATTTATTGACGGTTCACCAAATGCCAGGCGCTGTGCTGAGGGACATGGCTTGTCTCACTCAGTCCTCCTCATAAGAACCCTCCCCAGTAGGTGCTTTTATTATCCCCATATCACAGAGGAAAGAGATTAAGTGTCAAGTCATCATCCACCCAGGCTGCCTGCTGGAAAACAGCAGAACCAGGGTTAGGACTATGACCCTAGCAGTCTAGCTCTATGATGATAAACTGTCTCCCAATATATATTTTTTATTTTGTTGCTTAAATTATTTTACAATGATTATGTGTTGATTTTCTACATTAAAAACAACAACAACAGGGATGCCTGGATGGCTCAGTCGATTAAGCTGCTAACTCTTGATTTTGGCTCTGGTCAGGATCTCAGGGTCCTGGGATGGAGCCTTGCAGCTGGCTCCACGCTCAATGGGGAGTCTGCTTGAGATTCTTTCTCTCCCTCTCCAGTCCCTTCCTCCCCGCTCCGCCCCTCTGCCCACTCTCTCTCTCTAAAATAAATAAATAAATCTTTAAAAAAAAAAAAGCAGAAAAAAAATATTTCATTATAAAAACAATCTCAGTATTTTATCTTTAAGTCTCAGGAAAAAAGCTTCAACCCCGGCCTCACACTGCTTCATTTAAACTGTAGGTAATGGAAAAGACTCGACTCTTTGGTTGCTCATCTAAAAGCATAGAAAGACTTAATCATCAACGGTCGCGTTGAAAGCTGACCATCCCCACCGTGTCGGTGAAAATGGTTTTGGTAAAAGAGAGAAGGAAGTAAATGAAACTTACTGTTTATTCTTCTTGTGTCACAATCCAGGGCAGCTTTTTGTACTGAAAGAGATAAAAGGAACATAAGAAAACTCTTTTTCCACATCACGTTTTGGTTTGGAGAGGCAAGCTTCAAAATGGCAAATAGTCCTTACATGTGAGAGAAGAAAAAATGCCCCAAAAGAACAGTTTATTCAATTGTCTCCACATTCTCTCAGAAGAAATCAGATAGGAGGGGAAAGAAGGCGTGGTGCCCCCATGGGGGTGAGTCATTTAAGGACTTCCTCCTTTTCTGACCAAGTTGAAGAAATTGGAGTTGCTTGGACAAGCTTGAAACAATATGACTGGTTGGTTGACCAGCGTGTGTTCCCCCAGTGAGTTCTTGTACAAAGAGAAAGATGTGGTAGGTCACCCTAACTCTGGCTGCCTGGGAAGCTGGACAGTGGGAAGAAGAAGGAAAAATAGGACTGTGATTTCGTCTTTGCAAAAACCCACCTGATCATCTCTCTCTGGATTCGGCCTGTATCAAAAGGAATTTGACGGAAGTTGGGTTCAACCTTGGGAAGCAAATACTGACTGTCTGGAGTAGATACACGCAAACGAGGCATCAGAAATGCCTGATTGTGTTACATGCGGATTCCTAGGCCCTGCTCCAGACTTCCTAGGGATAAAACCTGGAACTCTGAATTATAAGAAGGGTCCCAGCAGTCTCAGAGTCTCTACCATGCAACCCAGAGGGGCTTGTGATTCACTTCTACTCGATCTAGAATCCTCCTGGCTCTGTGAACTGGACGCAGGAGTAAACCCCATGTTGCAGTGTCACCAGTCTGAGGTGGGGAGTGGGATGTGTTGAGGAGCTTTCCAAGTGGAGGGAGCTGTGACCCAGCCAGGCCCCTTTGGCAGTGATTTCTGTTGCCACTAGCAGGCCTGCCCGATAGGTCTGGCACTTTCTTGTGGACAAGCGCCCGGTTCCCTGCTCAGGTACATGTTCTTCTGGGGCATTGT